TAAAATATTTACATCTTTAATTTATTATAATTACTTAATTTGCATTTAATAATTTTTTTATTATTAATAATTACTTTTTTGGAATTTTAGTATTCTTTGACTTTATAACTGAGTTTATTTTTTATATACAAAGTATAGTTGATCTTGTTTATTTTTCAAAAATGTATATGTATACAATTTTTATAATGTTATTGAATATAATAGTTAACGAAAATTGATATTTTTTTTAGTTTGAATATTATTTTTTAATTAACTTAATTTTTAAGAATACTTTTGTTATATAATAGAAATATAATTTTTTATTATTATATTTTATATTAAGATTGCGGCAAAAGAGCTAAATATTATGTGCAGGCAAGATCATAATTTTATGTCCGCGAGCATTCCTTCTCACAGGCTGAATGTGCACGTGCAAAGGTTTTTTTGAGTTATAATTTATTTTAAAATCTTGTTAGAAATCAATTTTTGAGTATATAATTGTTTTGGGTAAGTGTATATTTTATTTGTTTATAGAAAAATAACATTAATCTTTTTAAATTTTATGGAAATTGTGTAAATTTAAGGTTGTGGTTAAGAATATAGCTGTTTTGATTTTTTTATAAGTAATAATAATTTTTTGTGTATAATTATAATAAAATATTTTTATTATTTGTTATCTTTAAGGTTTATATTATTATATTAAATATTAGTAAAGAGCTAAAAATACAAGATAAATTAACTTCTTTAAATTTTTCCTTTTTTGAGAAATAATTTAATTTTTTGTAAATACTTAGAAAAATATTTGATTATTGTTTCATAAGATTTATAATTTCCATTTAAATTTAGTAAAGCTGAAAATTTAAGTTTAAGTTTAAATTTGTTTACTTCGTGTTTTTTTCTTTAAGTTTAACAATTATTTTTTTGTGATAAGATTTGCAGAATTATTTAACTATTGTTATTTTCAAGATTTAGAACTTTAATAAGAATTCAGTAAAGCTAAAAAATTTTTATTTGTAATTTTTAATTTCTTTAAATCTGCTAAAATTATTTTTTACAACGGCCGACGCATAATTTTTTTAATAAAACTGTTTTATTGAAGTTTATATAAGTTCTCACTTTTTAAATTTATTTAAATTTATAAAGAAATATATTAAATAATATAATTATATATACATATTTATATTTTTATATTTATAGAAACAGTGTTAATATGTATAATTTTTTAATTATTTTGTATTTTTTTTAAAATTTATTTAATGAATATACTTTATATATATATATTTACTATAAAAAAATTTTTAAATATAATTTTTTTTAAATTTTTATATATTAATTATTCATATATATATACTTATTCAAATTTTTTTTTATTTCATATATAAATATTTTTTAATATATTTTTTTCATTATATTTATTTTAGATTGGTAGAGTTGAACTATAAAGTTGGAGTTGTACAGCAAATAGAAACGGCAGCAATCAAGGCCAAAAGTACTGATAAAAACAAATTGTTTTCACGAGAGCTTACAGCATTGTATACTAAAGGTATAGTAACTCCTTTCTAATTCGTGGTATCACATTTGTAAAATTAACTGAAGCTCTTATTGGCTGTTTTTTTCATGGCATCAATTTCTATTTTTTGTTATTATTAAAAATATAAGTTTGATAAGCATTTATATTAATGAAATTGTTCGTAAAATAGGGACCTTGATTGGTGAGGTGCTCGGCCAGGGTAATACGGACCTATCGAAGGTATTCTATATATTATAAGCCAATAAGTGCCGTTTCGCCCGTTATTTGTTTACTAAATAAACAAGGGACCCGACAATGGCAGTTATTTCATGTGTTTGTATGAAAAAGAAGTAAAAGATCAACAGGATGAAGTACTTTTCGGCTGCGTGGTAGTTTTATTAAGGACACTTTTTTATATAAATAAATTATTATAAAAATAAAAGATTATAAAAGTTTGTTAATAATTATTTTGAAAAATTAAAAAAATATAATTTTATAAAATTGAATTTTTTTATTGAATTTATTTCAAAAAAATTTATTATTAAGAAAATTTAAAATCAATTGAAAATATTTTTTAGCTTTTTTTTAAAAAATATATTTACTATTTTACTTTTTAAAAATTCTGTAAATAGTTACTTTTTAATAAAGTAATTTTTTTTAACTTTACTATTTATATGCTATTAAAAATTTCTTTTGAAGTTCACTTTAAAAAATATTTATAATATTTTTTATATTAAAGTTAAAAAGTATTTATAATAATTATGATTATATAATTTCTTTAAAAATTTGTTATTAAGAAATGAATAATTATTTATTTTTTGTGATATATTTTATTTTTATATAAATTTATATATCATAATAATTAATAATTTATATTTATAAGTTTTATCGCAAACTTTTTATTTTGTTTGTAGTAAAAAAAATTATGAAGTCTAAAACTTTTTTCTTAGCAATTTTTTTTGAGATAAATCTTTTTTGTATTTATAATAAAAATTCTATATTTTTTTATTATAGAATTATTGTAATACGACCTTTTTTTACTTATTACTATTATCTAACAAATTAGTCGACTCGTAAATTTATTTTTTCTTCATCTCTATATTTCTTTAATTTTTTTTATTAATAAATAAACTCCAACTTTATAAATAAAATTTTTGAAAAATATTTTTTTACTTTCATTATTTATTTGCATTATACAAAGTAAATTTATAACATATATAAAATTTTTATAATAATTTTTTATTTATATACAAGTAAATTATTCCAAAAATATCTTTTTTCGTTTTAAGAAAGTAACTTTATTAAAATACTATTAACATATTGAAAATCCAATTTTTTCTTAATTTCTATACTTTTATTATTTATTTGTATAATAAAAAGTAAATTTATCATATTTATATTTTATAAATATTTGTTTTTATTTCATTATAAACAATTATATATACGAGTTAATTATAAAAAAATTTTATATTTTTAAATGAATATATTGAAAATAATATCAAAATACAAGAACTTTAATTTTTTTAATAAACTTCTGTTACATTATTATTTTATTCTTTAATTATTTATTTGCTTAATAAAAAGTAAATTTATTTCAATTACAAAATATTTATAAATATTTTTATAAATATAAATTTTGTTTAAAAAAATATAAATACTAGAAATAATATTATAATTCAAAACTTGATCGTTTAATAAATATTTTGATATGAATTTATTTTACTTTTATTATTTATTTGCTTAAAAAAACAAAATTTATTACATTGAAATTTTTATAAATATTTTTTCTATTATAAATATTTATATATTTACCTGTAATTTTATGAGATAATAATATTTTGGTTAAAAATAAATTTTCTTTGAAATAATTTTAAAATATAAAACTTTTACTTTCAATAAATTTTATTATATAAATTTATTCAATACTTTTATTATTTAATTGCATAATAAAAAGTAAATTTTTTATTACATTTATAATATTTTTGTAAAGTTCAAATTTTATAAATATACTTTTTTCAAATTTTTTAAGATTTACAGAAACGGATTAATTTTATATTATAAAAAAAATTTTGGTTTATAGAAAAGTGATCTTCAAAGTTTTCTTATTAGTATTTTTATTTCCCACTATTTTTTTCTAATAAAATTATATATTAAAATACCTTATTTTTGTATATAAAAAAAGTGTTAGAGTAAAAATTTGTTTTGTTATTTAATTATAGAGCCAATTATTATTTAAAATATTATAATAATACTTATAATAAAAGTTAGATTTATATGCGACTCTTTTATTAATTTTTTTTATTATATGTAGAAAAAAAATTATAGCTCAACTTTAATTTTATAGGCTGTTAATTTTCACACTGGCGATGTTATTTATGATAATTTTAAAGACTTTTTAACCAGAAATGAATTACAAACGAGAATTGGTATGTCGAAAATAATAATGAATAGTATAAAGACTTCTGTTTTGTAATATTTATACCTGCACGTGCTTTTGAAAGGGATAAAATCATAAAAAATGCTGAAAAATAATAATAAACTGTTATAAAGATTTTGTTTTTACCTACGCGTGGCTTTTAAAGAGACATAATTATTAAAAATGTTGGCAAAATATTCATACTAAATAAAACTTGAAGGACTTTTTATATTATTTATTAGCTACATGTGCTTTTAAAAGGAATAAATTCATTATATATGGTGAAAAAATATAATATAAAATAATTGTTTTGAAAACTAATAATTAATAATTTGTGTTCTCTTGATAATTAAAGTGCACGTGTTAGAAAAACTAAACTTTAAATGTTCAAAAGTAATGAAAAAAAATATGTTTTTAAACTTTTTCTTGGACTAAACATTTACGTGCTACGTAAAATATAAAACACGCAGCTTATAGTTAAAAACGATCTCTTTATCGATATTTTGGTAGTTAAAGTAATTAAACCCTATCGACCTCCACGTTGATTGGGTATTGTAATGCTTTAGAATATTTTGAAATTTACATGAATTTTTATTTTTATTTTTAGGTTTTATTTTATTTTTATTATAATTATTACTGTTATTATTATTATTATACTTTACCAATGAAACAAGCTCATTTGGATCCGTGCGAGTTTCTTATATCAGAAAAAACTTCTCGAAGGACACGTTCTTTTTTGTCCACTTTTTCACGACAAAAGTACGGGGTTTTCCCCTTTCTATAAACCTTCCCACTTGCAATTTTTTTTTTATTTAGGAACTTTCGAGTAGAAACTCAACCGGAAAGTTTGTTTGAGTACAGCACCGCCTTTCCTTGCGTGACGCGCTTCTTTTCAAATGCTTCTACTAATGCAGCTAAACTGGAAGAACTTACTAACTTGAATTACTTGGTTTTTTTTATTTGTTTATTATCTATTTTTATTTTTTTCATTATTATTACTATTATTATATAGATTCTTTCATGCTTGGGAGCTTTAATCCAATATTTAACAATTTTCAAACTTGGGCGCATCTTTTTATATTCAAATTTAAAAAAGTTTCAAGAAGCTCAAGTTTTGTATCTTAACGGCACCACCGTGTCTAACTTGGAACTTTTTTGCAATCAATTTGGTATTTATTAAATTATTTTAGTCCTTTGGAAGCGCCAATTTTTTTTATGAAAATAGACGGTCTGGAGTTTGGCTCTCTATTTTGGGTGATAAACAAAACTCGAAGCGTAATTGGTAGAAGAAAACTTAAGCAGTGGATGTGCAGGCCTTTAGCTTCATCCTATGAAATAAACAAAGTTATTTATTATTATTATCACTATTGTTGTAATTATTAATATTAACAGCGTTTGGACGCTATTGAAAAACTTCGCGAGTGTAAATATTTGGAAAGTTTAAAGGAATTGTTGTTAAGAGTTCCAGATATAGAAAGGGGGCTGACTCGCATATATCATAGTAAGGTTGCTATAATTATAATAATTATAATTATGTACACACAACCCAATAATTTTTTAGAGCTCTTGTGCTGAGTTTTGCAGTATACTAAACGGGTTTGACGATGTTATTTCCGTTTTTGAGAAGTTTATTTCCATTCGAGATAATCAGTATCTGCTCTCTTCGGACCTTCTTTATTGGTTAATTTTTTTTAGTCTTTTTAGTGAATTTTAAGTACTATAATAGTTTATTCATTTTGGAGACATTTCTACTTTTGTTATTTCATTGCTATGAATTAATATTTTACTTAGGAAATGACTGTTTTGGTTTTTTTACGCTTTCTACGCATGGTTATATAAGTTTTTCATTAGTTTTCTTGTAGGGTTTAGCAAAATATTAAGAAATTTAATAGGATTATTTATTTAATTTTTTTAAGCTAAATTATATATGTATATATTGTTAATATGCTCATTATTATTTATGAATCACTTACACTTTTCGTATATTTCCTTTATTGTGACTCGAGAAAATTTATTGGTTGTTTAAAGAAATCAGCCGTTTGTGATTGGTTGAATTATGAATAACTTAACTAATGATATTTAAGGATTTTTGCTGATGATCTCCAGCATATAAGTACTCTGATTAACCAGCTTTATACTAAGATTGACCAACAAGCAGCCAGGCATATTTTATACATATTGCATCTATTTTTTATGTATTTTTAGTATTTTTTATGATCAGAGAAGGGAACTATAACAATATATTTAATGAAAATTATTTTCCCGAAATAAAAGCGTTAAAAAAAGTGCTTTTATAGATGTTTATTACTTTTTTCATAAATTTTAATCTCAACCTTCAATCTTTTTTTTTTTGAGAAAATAATTGATTGTGTTGAGAAAATCAATGAACTTCGTGAGCCTATTATGAAAGCCTTGGGGATAAGTAGTTTTGAGTATGTCACAGTTTCTGGGCAAGAAGTATTTTTTTTATAAAGCGTGTATTTAATTTATATTTTCCATATTTTTTTATGAGCTTAATATTAATAATAAATATTTTTTCTAGTTTTTGATAGAAGTTAAGAATTCCCGCCTTTCATTTACTAACATTCCATCTGATTGGATAAAAGTTGGCGGGTCGCCCATATTTTTTCCCCCCCCTTTTTTTAACTTTTTGTAAAATATTTTTACATTTTAATTCGCGGAGTTCTTCATTTTTGTTTAAGTTACTATTTATGGGTGCTTCGGAATTCATTATATATTTGAACTACTTAAAACTTTTACTTCAATATTATAAAAAAAAGTTTAGAAATTTTTTTACATTTTACTAATGGACTTTTGTTACTTATATATTATTATATTAAATTGTAATTTATTTTATTTTATTAATTTATTATAAACTAAAACTTTTTTTAAATTTTTTTTACAATCAGAATTTTTTTTAAAAATTCTTAAATAATTATATATTATAGTTTTTGTGGGCATACTGAATAGTTTTATTGGCTTTACTACTCTTTGTAAAAGATGAACTTTTTTTTATAGTTATTAAATAATTATATATAATTTTTCATTATAATTTTTCTGAGCAATAAAATATTTTTATTTACTTTATTAATTTTTTTATTGTGTACAACTTTTAATTATAAATTTTATGTTTATTTTTTCTTCAGAAGTTTATAAATAGTTTGTTATAATTATTTTCTTAATACTTTCTCTAAACCAACAAAATAAGATTATATACTTTATTAATTTACTTACTGTGTATACTTTTTTTTTAATATTCTTAATATTTTATTATATTTATTTTATAAAACTTTCTTTTTACATATTATTTTTAGTAATATTATTATAATATATATTTTACTATTAATATATTTATTGTTCTTATAAATTTCATATATATATCATATAATTAAATACTCTTTATACTTCAATAAATCATTTATTATGAGAAAAAATCTTTGTATTAATATTTATTTTATTTTATTATATTTACTTTACAATACTCTTAATTTTTAACATATTTTATATTTTTTAATACTATTATAAATATTTACTTTATTAATCTATTTATTTTATATTTAATATACTTATATACCTTGTTTTATTACTATATTATAGTAAAAAACTTCTAATTATTAATATTGTTACTAATATTTTCTATAAATATACTTTATGTACTTTATTATTATATTTATTTTCCTTTCGAACATTATTTACTTTTAACTCTGTATTAACATTTGTTTTCACTATATCTATAATCAATTGCACTGTTTGAAACTTTACTTGTATATAAATATTTAATTTATTGAAGGAACCTTATAATTATTTTCATTAACATTATAGTTATTGTATTAACTTATTCTTTTTATTATTTCTTAAATTTAATATAATGTTGATAACTTTACAATTTCTTTAATGAAGAACAAAGCATGCTTCGCGCTACCAATCGCCTCCTCTTATTGAACTCGTCGACGAATTGGCGGCTTTACGCGAAGAGTTATCCTTGAAAGCTAAACTTTTATGGGCCGATTTTTTGCAGTAAAAGTTTTAATTAACAAATTTTCTTTATTTTTTTTTTAGATGAAGACTTAGACTTATACTTTTTATTAAATGTTTTTTATGAAATACAAATCTGCAAGTATAATTATATATTTATTTTGAAAATAAATAAAAGCTTCTTGTAATTAAAAACTTATTATCATCGTGTTGAAGTATAGAAAAGTTATTTTTATATGAAGTATTAAAAAGTTATACTAAATAGTTTATTTAGTATATATTTTTTGCATATATTTCTATGAATAAACTTTACATTTTTAGTGTCAACCTTTATTAAAAAAACCATAGACAGTTTTCTTCGCACTACGACACTTTTCATGAACTTGTAAGAAAAGTTTCTGTGCTCGATTGTCTCATTTCACTAACGGAAGTCTCCATTCAAAACGACTACACTCGCCCTATTTTTACTGCGCTTGACTCTTCCCTGCCTTTTTTAGATATTAAAGCTGCACGTCATCCAATGGTAGTTTTTTAGAAATATTTATTTTGCTTTTATTGGTAAATTTTATTTGCATAATTTCCTTTATTTTTATTTAATTTTTCAGCGGTTTTTTAATGGTGCAATTTTAGTATCTTATATTTGGTTTTCATTGGCGCTTCACAAAATTCCATTTTTTTATTGGTGAATTCTATTAGCATTACTTCCGTCATTTATATCATGTTTAAGTGGCTTTCAATTGCGCCATTTTCGTCATCTTTATTTATTTTGGTTTTTATTTGTTCTTTTCATGCTTTACTATATTTGCGTGTGTGCACTACGCCAATATTTTGAATTCTGAATTTTTTGGTGTTATTTATTTCTATGCTTAATAAAGTATTTTATAAAATAGCGACTGTTTAAATTATTATGAGGGTCTAATTGTTTATTCACCCTTTATTGGTTGGTCTTAATTCTTTTGAAATATTGTTACTTTTTTTGCGTTATTTACCGCATATATTCTTTTTCTTTAATGAAACTTGTATTATTTTTTAATGAATAGTTTGTTTATTATAATTATCTATTTATAAGATATCATTACTTATTCACGATCAGTTCGTTCCCAACGACGTAAAAGTTCAGGTTAACTCTTTATAGTGCATATGTTATTTCTATTACTGTAACACATTTATTTATTCATTACTATTGCTATTGTTAGCCTTCTTGCGGGATTCTTATAACCGGCCCAAATATGGGTGGGAAAAGTAGCTTCATGCGTATGGCTGCGCTCATTGTAATTTTAGCGCAAATTGGTGAATTTTTTATTAATGAAAAATTTTTTTATTAAAAAGTTCATGTTACTTTTTTTTAAAGGTTCTTATGTTCCTGCAAGTTATGCTGAGCTTGGAATTTTTGACTCCATATTTACCAGGTTTATTAGTATTATTTATATCGTTATTTTTATTATTTTATTATTATTTATTATTATTACTTTTAGAATGGGCGCTCACGATGAAATTCACAAGGGACTCAGCACGTTTATGGTGGAAATGCAAGAAACAAGTGAAATTTTACAGAAAGCTACAAATCGGTTTATATTAATTTTCTAAAAAATATATTTATATTGCATATTATGAAAATGTATAAAAAGTTAACAATTTTATTGTATTTTTAAGGAAAAACATTGTAAAAAGTATGAATCCCTTATTTATATTTATAATAAATTCATTATTATTTATACCTTTTTATTTGGTTTGATTATTATTATTTATAAAGAATTTACTTTTAAATCTTTGGAGTATTAAAGTTTTTAATAATTCATTAATTCTCCTTTACTTCGATATTCACAATTTTTTTATTTTACTTAGAGAAATATTATTATACTCGTATTGCTATTTGTTTTTTTTTTTGTTATTTTTACTTTTTATTATTTTTTTAATATCAATAATAAAAGCTTAAACTTTTGCTTCGACTCGACTTGACTTTTGTAACACGGTCTATCGAGTGCCTTCAGTTATCTCGCGCGGTATTTATACGCGCGCTGTTATCCAACATTTGCTTCAGTCCTAATATAATGAACCGCAAACTGGCAGGTCATACTAACAAAACAGCGAGCTTTAATCCTTTCTACTGGCCGATAAAGTTTAAATAAAGTTTTATTCGCGCCCTAAAAGCCTCCAGTTATCTTAGCGCGTTTATTACTGCGCCAAAATACGAGTTCTTTTACTCCGAGTTTTCAGTGAGCCGCCGTAGAATTATGAGAGTGGCATCAATGAAGACAGCCCTCTAAATATATAAGCTGAGTTAAGCCCTTTTTTTTTAAAGAACCACCAATCCTCCAATCATAGACCGTTATTTACAAATAGCGGTTTATTTTTCAAGTATTTGGGGGATGCCACTTTTATAAAAACTCTACCGTTTTTCATATGTTATACTTTCATTCAATTTCTATATTTTTAAAGAATACAGATATTATATATAATAGAAAAAAAATAATTTTATTATAAAAAAAATTATTAGCCACTTTACTTAATTATATATATTTAATGAATCTATGTTTTTTACTTTTATATATATTTATATATATTTATATATTATACAATCATTTTATTATATTTATAAATATTACATATACTATTTTATTTTGTTTTTTTTACTCACTAAATCTTTTTTTATTACTTCATTATATTTACTTTTATAAAGTAATTTTTTATTTGATTTAAAGTCTTTATTTTCAGTTTTATAAATTTTTATATGTTAAAGTTTTATAAAAAAATATAGTTTACTTATGATTACTTTAAAAAATATATTAATATTTATAATAATGAGTATAAATATACTTTACTATATAAAATACTTTTAAACAAAGTATATAATAAAAAATATATGAAAGTTTTAATTTGAGATTATGGGAAAAAATTCACTATTTTTTTAGTCGGATTATACAAATACTAAATTTTTATGATCAAAAAATATTTTCAAGATTTTTATATTGAAGTTGTGTTGAAATAGTCGTTTTACTTATTTTTACAGCTTTTTTACTGTCAAGTAATTCTTTTTATTAATTGTTTAGATATTTTCTTGAATTAAATTTAATGGAACTTTTTTTTTCCAACTAAACAAATTTTTTTTTGAAATTGTGTTAGAATTTTATTTTTCCTTATTTGAAGTTTTGTGAAATACATTTTTTTAGAACTCATTAATAAAGAAAACATACCTTTGTCCAAAGTTTTATTAATTAAATATATAAATATATAAAAATATAAATAAACTTTTACTATATACTATATTTAGAGCCAGTTTTTTTTTTATTATTAAAATTTCATAGTAAATATTAATTTCTTAATATTATGTACTTTAAAATTTCTTGTTACTAATAATAAATATTGACTTTAATAATTTTTCCGAACTACAAAATATAGAAAAATATTTTTTACTATATTTCGTTTTCTTTAAAATTTTTACTTCATATTAATTTTAATGGATTAATTATTGTTCATAACTTTTTTAAAACGTGATATATCCAGAATTTTTTTTATTATAAAATATATATTATGGTGATACTAATAAAATTTTATTATTATTATTTCTACTATTATTTATATTTATTAGTTCGCTTGTGATTCTAGACGAGCTCGGCCGCGGAACTTCCACTCATGACGGCATCGCCATCGCCTACTCGACTTTATATTTTTTAGCACAAAAAGTTTTATTTTTATTCTAGAGATTATTATTATTATATTTTACTATTTTATAAAATTAACTTTTTGCTTAACTATTTTAAATACTTTTTGTTTTAGTGGTTTTTACTTCTTCATTATTGCGTATATGTTTATATTATTTATATTTTGCTTATATTATATTTCCTCTTTTATAAAAATAACTCTCAACTTATATAAATTTTTATTATTTTATATATTATTCTGTTTTTATAATATTTAGTTATTGTACAACAACTATTAATATTAATTTTTTTTTTTCATTTAGTTTATTGTTTACTATTATTGTTATTTTTATTCTTAATATATTTTCCTCTCTTCTCTTTTATATGTTAGTTGTATATAGTCACACAATATTCTTTTCATACAATACTATTTAAGAAGTTAATATATTTCTTTGTTATATTTTTATTTTTTTGTACTTTATAGTTGTCAGGAAAAAAAAAATCATTAATTCGTTATTATGGAACTTCTCTTTATAAAAAAGGCTTTTTAATTATACTTATTATATTGCTAATTTTTTTAATACATCTATTAACAATTATATACAATCTTCTTATTGATGAGCTTTTTCCTTTAATATTGTGTAAATATTTGCGCTTGGCAATCACGCCTTTTTTTTTTCATTGCTTTATGCTTTCCAATGAGAAGGCAATAACAAACACGTAGCCAATTAAAGCAAGATTGTCATTTTTATTTGAAATTATAAAACGGATTTGTTATCACTTTATTTTAATACTGCATAATTGTTTTCATTTTACTGAAATTCTTTTATTATTAAAAAATTTAGTGTATTATTTACTTTTTAGTGAGATACTTATCGAAAATTTTTGATAATAATAATAATAAATTCTTAATAATGATATATTTATCATTTTATTATATAATAATAAAATAGGAAATATTAATAATATAATATATAATAATAATTTCTTATTTCCTTTATATTAATTATATTTATTAAATAAAAATTTCTTATTACAAAAATTTCATCGTAGGTAAATTTAATGAATTTTTATTAAGCATTTATAATAATTTATAATTTTTTACCGCAATTTCTTTGTTTGTATAAATGACTTCATGATTTTCAATGAATATTTAATTTAGTTTTAATTATACACGATGTTTGCTGAAGATAAGAAACTTTTTATTTTAATAAAAATATTATCAAATCATTTTTTATGAATACTTGATTAAGTTATACACAATATTTACTAAAAATGAAAAATATATATAAATAATTTTTTTTATCTAAAAAGTTAATAATAGAAAAGTAAATATTTTAGTAATAAAAGGTGTACAATACTAATAAAATGCTTCTAAAGAATTAATAATTATTAAAAATTATTGTTTATTTGTTTTACTTTTTACTGTTTAATAGTATTTATATATAAAAATTTGTTTAACATTTTTTTATGAAATTCAGGTGGAACTACTTTTTTTTTTGGGCTTTTTCAATGTATTATTATTTTATATAAAAGTTTGTCATTTTTTTAGTATTACTAATTATTGATAACATTGCAAGTCATTTTTATTTATATATATGTTTGGTATTATTATAAATAGTATCCCTGTATCGTATATTAAAAGCCGCTACTTTTTTATTAGCGTGTAAATTGTGTTTTGTTATATTTTAATTGTTGTATACTATTTAATAAATTTATACATAAAAAAGTATTTTTTTATATTGTTATAATATTTTTTAAACTTCACTGTATTTATAATAAACTTTATTTAAAATAATTTTATATAAATGTTACTATTATTAATTTATATTATTAAATTTTTAAATATGGATTTATCTTTTATATAAATTATAGTAGTTAATTAAATTATTTATTATGAGTAAATTTGATTTACTTTTTTATATTTTATTACTTTTAGTACTATAATCTTCTTTTTTTCCTATACATAAATCGGTTATAATTATATAAAAATTTAAATTTTTTTTTTGTGAGTGTAAGTGTTAATAGAAAATAATAGTAAATAAACTTTCTTATTTTTTTTCTAAGTATAATAATTTATTTACTATTTTTTTTATATTAATTAATTGAATTTTTTATTATTTTTATTTTATATTAATAGAAAAATTGCATCTTTTTTTTTGCTACGCACTATTTATCGTTAGCAAGGTTTGAAAAAATTTTCCCTAATAAAATTTATAATTATCACACTGAATACCTGGAAAGCCCTGAAAATACTGAACTTAATGAATTCAGTATTTTATTCTTTTTTTCAAATAATTATAAATTCATTATTTTTGTTTACTTTTATATATTTTTTCACAAAAATAAAAGTAATATATTATTTGTTATATGAAATAAATCTTCTATATAACAATGTATATTTATTTTAATTACGAATATATTATTAATTGTTTCATAGAATAAACTTTCGGATCTTCATTATGTATAATTTATATAAAATTTATTACCAGTTATGTTTAATTGCTATATAAAATAGATTTTTTATGATATTTATATATAAATATTATAAAAAGTTAAAACCCACTAATATATTATTAATTGTATTACGAAATAAAGTTTTAGGATATATTTTATGTACTTTTTCTTAAAAGTAATATATATTGTATATAAAATAAATCTTTTATATAAGTATATTTATTATATATAATTAATAATATATTACTAATTATATAAAATGCTTTTCTGCTTTTAAAATTTTTACTTTTTCATACAAATTCTAATACTTATTTTTATGGAATTTATAATTAAAGTTAGTATTAACAGTTCTTTATTATAAACTTTAACAATTTCTTTTATTGTATTATATTTTTCTAAGACTTATATTATTATAAATATATATTTATATTTGATTTTATTATATTTAACAAAAAAATAGTAAAAGTAATAGAATTATTGTAAAAGTTTTTTTTGTTAAACAATTTTATAATGATTTTTTTATTAAAAAAATTCCAGCTCACTTTTTTAAAATTTTATTCATGTAATATTTATTTTACTTTATTCGATAAATATATATTTAAAAGTTTTAGGTATTATAAATAATAATAATAGAATTCATATTTAATAATAACATTTAAAACTTTTAGGTGCTATAAATAATAATAATAGAATTCATATTTAATAATAACATTAAAAGTTATATCGTAAACAAAAAACTAGAAATTAGAAATTAGAAATGTTAATAGAATCCATATTAATAACAATATTTTAAAAATTTTATTATAATGAAAAGTTAATCAAGTAAAATATTTTGAATATTATAACTTTTTATATATTTAAAGAATAATTATCTTATATTTTATTAAATATAACAAAAATTTTTTCTTAATGTTATATTATAAGCAATAAATTATAATAAAAAGTTATTAGTAAAAATCAGTTAATAAAGACTTAATATATTTTTATTTAATATAAAATTATATATATTTATATATTGTAACAAATTTTTTATTCTTATTCTTATTCATTATTACATATTTGATAAATTTTTATTAAAAAATTGTCAAGTAATAAAAATATTTAAAAAAAGTTATTAGTAATTAAAGTCTAAAATGACCTTTTATATATCTAAAAGATATATAACAATATTTTATATATATATAATTATATATTTTATTAATTATTAACTAATTTTCTATTCTTATTATTATTATATCATAAATTATCGATAAATATATACTAAAAAACTGTTAATAAATAAGAAAGTTATAAAAAAGACTTAGTAATTATAAAAGTTTATTTTATAGTTTATAAATTATTATATATAGTATTAGGTTTGTCGTAAGTCTTTTATTTTTAATATTACTTTATACATATTTACTTTTTTATATTTTTATTGTAATGAAGTCGATAAATAAATATCTTAAAACTGCAAAGCAATAAAACTATTTAAAAAGTTTTGCTAAAATTTTATGATCCAGCACTTTTAAAATATAATTTATTTTATTAATTGTATAGAAATTTTTCTTATTTATTATTATTTTTAATATAAATTGATATTATTTTTTTTTTAATTGCTTTATTCGATTAATATCTTTAAAACTTTGAAGTATTAAAATATTAAAAAAAAGTTTGTGGACTTAAATTTTATATACTTTTTAATTAATAAAATTTTTGGTTTTACTTTTAATTTAGAAAACTTTTCTGGATCTACTGAATATTAACAGCTTTAATACTTTTTAAAAATCTTTTTAATTTACTAATTACTTTTTATTATATTATATTATTTGAAAGCCCGTTAGGGTTATTAAGGAATTTCACTTTCAAACTTTATTATATTAAATTTTATTGCTCATTTTTTTAATTTAAATTTATTTGTTACGTTGTAGTTTCTGGTAATTTTTCTCATATGTTAATTTTTTTAATACGTTTTCTTAAGTATAAACTAGGAATTCATTACAAATCGTCGATAATTATTGATAAATTTATTACTTCGCTTTATAAAATGAAAGTAGATTATTTTACTCAAAACTTATACTTTTCACAATACTCTCATTATTTTTTAAAAAAAAGTTTATATTTTTTAGAAAAGATATAAAAAACTTAAAAAGTCATCTGGGATTTTTAAAGTCTTAATAATATCTTTTTTTTAATAAGTTTGAAATTTTTTTAATACTCTTTTTTCGTTAAAAGTCAATACCAAGTTTTATTTTTACTTATAAAGCTTAAAAATATATAAAAATTTTACTTAAAGGGGATAAAAACATTTAAGATTTTAAAATTTATAGGAATAATAAATATCAGTTTTATATTAATTAAAATAATTTTAATTTATAATTAAAAACTTTATTCTTGACTTCAAACTTAAGCAAGTTAACTGTATTTATAAAAAATAATAAGCACTTATGCCGCAAGGAGTTTATAAAATTTATACAATTTATGTCAAGTAACAAATTTTTATCGCAATGAAAATTTAAAATTTAAAAGTAACTAAAAGCGTCAATCTTATAAAGTGAAGTAAAAATTTTTAATCATATTTATTACGGTAACGAATCTATTTAATTCGAATTGTCATCAAAAAAAGTTTTACAGTTATTGCGAATAAAAGCTTAATTTATACTATTAATTGTATTTATAAAAAGTTAATTAGTAAAATTTTGATTCAGTTAGTTTTCGCCGTCTTAATTTTTTATTTTTATCACAATTCTGCTCTAATTATTTTTTGTAGACAAAATCGTTTTCCTGTATCGTGTCGTTCCTAAAGTAGCGAAAGGCAGTTACGGACTTCACGTAGCGAAACTGGCGGGGATAAACGACATAATATTACGCACGGCTGCAAGGAAATCAAAAGAAATGAAACAAAAAGTAGAATCGGTTAATGAATCTAAAAAGTCGTCTAATTTTAAATTATTTTATAAAAAATTAACTTATTTAAATATCATAACAGGGAAAATGAAATAAAATTTAGGCAAATTATGAAAATAGTAAAAAATTGCAAAGAATAATTTTAATTTTTTGTACAAGTAAAAAAGTATTGTTGCAAGCGAGGAAATTTCTTAAAATTGCTTACTTTACTAAATCTATTTTTTTTTTTGGATCGATTGTAACATTTTATGAATAAACAATTCTTTGTTCTCCTTGTATAAGGCGTAAGCAGCCGCATTGGCTGGAGATTCCAAATCGGGTTCACTTAAAATGTGCTGAATTGTTTTTAAAATATATTCGATAGTTATTCTACAATGCCATCCTTTTTTCTCATAAAAATTCTCTTCCATTTGCACGGCTGGTTTCTGAGAGGAAGACTCAGGATCAAAAAAGAGCATCGCTAAAGGAACTAAAAAACATTGTAAATAGTAATAAATCATAAAAAAAATTAAAGTTAAGTAAAATAATTAAGGAAAAGTTATTTTATAATTTATAAAATACTTTTTCCTGTAGATTCATAAATGTTAACATGAAAAATAGGAGGAAGTATAGAGCAGATGGGCGGTTCAAATGGATACGACTCTGGAATATTTAGGAGTATATGGAACACTTGCCCTTTGCATAATCCTACGGATTACCACAAATAGAGAATAAATAAAAACAATTAAGGCCTTTATTGATATGTACTGTTTGTAAATTTATGAATGTTTATAAACTACCTTGAAATATTTTTAAATATTTTGAGTAAGTTTATAGGTTAATAGTAAAAAATTAAAATTTAAAGCAGTAGGCACCCTTTAAACTAGTAATTTCGCAATTCAGTACGGTGTAAGCTGAATCATAAGTAACAGAAAAATCTTTTTTTACTGAAAGACTACGAATTTCTTCTTTTAAACGTTCTATCCTTAGGTTTACTGGTCGCATGACGAAATTAATCTTGAGTCTTTAACGATATATACCCAGAAAGGTCAAATGAGTAGAAAAACTACTTTTCGGGGACCGCGTGGTAGTCACGCAAGTATTGATAACCCTTAACAGAATGAGTTACTGGTTTTGTCTATATTGCTTGATTAGGTTTCACTATTATGTTTCCATAAAGTAAAACTGCAAAGTAAGGAAACTAAGTACAAATAACTTTTTATTTTTATGAGTAAGACACCCTGCACAGAACTTATAAAAAATTATGATAAAGCAGTTATTAAAGAATAAAAATTTTAGTTTCATATATAAGTTTGAAAGATAGCAATTATTAGCGCAAATGTAGAAGTTTTTTTGCCATTATATAATTGCTGAAGCTTGAAGATGGCCCACTTGATTTATTAAACAATTTTACAAAAAGAAACTGCCCTGAACTAGCTTAAGAGATATTAAAATTAAAATGTGTTTCATTAAAGAGCGATTAACTTTCAGTTTAAAATATTGTTAATTAAAACAAAGGCTATTAGCGTACCTTCATATTGTTTATTAGTTTTTTATTTTATTTTTAAGTAAAGGTATATACTATCATTTTTGTGTAATTTTGTTATCCAAAGTTATAATTAGTTTAATTCTAACTCCCTCTCCTTATTTTTGTCCATATTCTACATAATTTAAAGTCTGACCAATATTTTTATTACAATTTCAAGTAAATTAATTATAATAATCTTATAAATAAGTTTTTTTTCTATTTTCTTGCAGTTAAGTAAAAAAATTATATAAAACTTATGATACGGAAAAACCACATTGTTTAAGTAAGTTTTTTTTACCAGGAACACATACCTGGGAAAGGTACTAAAAATACAAAATACTGCTATGGCAGATTTAAATATTTCAAGAATTCTATAGTTACAGTTTTAAAATAAACAATCTTCTAAAGTTTTTTATTTATTTGTTATTTCAACAGATTAAATTAAAAAAACATATGCATTATTTATACTTAGGTTTAGTAGGTATATAAGTATTAATGTTATTAATTATAGACAAAATTAATCGCTTTTGCAATTTTTACAACTTACAACGGTATTGACCATAAAATTAAACAGTAATTTTAGCTTAAAAAACTAGCCCACTCAAATACTATTTTTATTTAAACAACAAATTTATAGCCATGTGCTTCAAATTAACAGTCTTGGAGGCTGTAAGCACCTGCACTAAAAATAAAGGAGTATAAAATATTAAAGAATTTTTGTAATCAAGGCAATAACATAAATCAAATATTTACCCCAGCCATATTAATAATTAGGTTGCTTAAAGATTAAAAAAATATTCTGCAATGAATTTTAACAGAAATAAAAAGTTCTTTTTTATAAAGGAAGGAGATATCATAAAAGTTATAGGTACAACACTATAATAATCTTTTCATTACCCAGTAAAAGGTAAGGAAATGAGTCATTATTAATATGTGCTGCCACATTTTTATAAAAGAAATCGCCGAGCTTAAACACATACTAATGATGAAATCCACCTTTAGTGAGTTTATAAGACACATTTCTTACAATCAAATTTATAAATATAAAAATAACCATTAAGTTACGAAACAGTTATATTTATATGCTTGCCCTCATAAATGTTGTAAATTCCCCTAGTCCACGTGCTTTACATAAATTTTTGTTTATTTTTGTGCGCACGCGTGTTTAACCAAATTCATTTAGCCTCTTCACATTTAACTGTAGTGACGTTTTCTGGTGCTCAGCGTGCTTATTCACGTGGGAAATACCTTTGTTTTAGGCCATGGTAAGTGCGGCATGGAACATAATATGTTCTACACGTATCCCTTATTATTGTGTAACTCAAAAATAGCGTTAGCGTTACTGATATTTATCTAATCTAATATTATATTGGGTAGCAGCATTCGGCGTAATCACCCAGTAGACTTAGCCTTTTTTCATTTTTCTCTCTAATTGTAGATTAAGTGTTTGATGTCTAAAAACAAAAGGAAGTTAGTTTATGAAAATAGTTAATAATAATTTGTTATTATATTTTTATTTGATTGCCTATTAATTTTTTTTTTGCTTCCTTCTTTGGTCTTTTATAATCCTGGTAGTCGAAAATAAGGTACTGTTAGTTTCTTTAATCTTAAATTTTTAAACTTAATATTTACTTTTTAATAGCGAAGACGCCAAGCGTGCTAATCATAATGCTCTTGAGAGAAAGCGTAGAGTTTATCAGAAGGAGCGTTTACAAGAACTAAGACAGTGTGTACCTATAATCAATTCCGATAAACCGTCAACTGTTGAGATTTTGCAAAAGTCAACTGAGTATATTGAAATTCTTCGAAACAAACAGGCTGTTCAGGTTTTTATAATTAAATAAACTCTTTTACTTTTGCTTTATAAACATATAATTATTATTGAAAAGGAAAGAGAGATAAACGAATTAAAACGTATTAATTTGGATCTTCTTGAACGTTTACAACAAATTACTAACCATAAGATCGAGATTCCTCACGAATTTAGGCTGGTAAAATTTGAAGATCCATTATCCGGTCCGGATGGTAGTTGAATTGTTTTAAAAAATTATAAATATAATATATGCTTAATTTTTTCTTATCATTTATTATTATTATTTATAGCTGCTGATGTAGAAGAAGAATCTTCAAACTTTTTGCAGGATTTAGATGATTATCCTGATATTAAACGTTTAGCTGCAGAAGATGAATACTTCGCTCAAACGAAAGTTATAAAATCTGAAGAAATTGATTTTCAACTATAGGTTTATTAATTCTCTATACGTTTACATAATATTTTTTTAATATATAATTTTTAAAATTAATTAAAGCTCTTTCGATATTGCAGGCTTTCTATTAAATTTTTTTATTGCTGGTTTATTAAAAGCTCAGCAAATCATATATACTTTTAAGCTTAATTAAAAGGGACGTACTTGAACTTTTCCATTGTTATCGTGAAAAATTTTATATTTTTACGAAGTTAATAAAACTCTAATTTCTGTTTATAATTTTTTTATAATATGGTGCATTAAAAAATGTGTTACGTCTAAAGAGAATTGTAGAGAAAACTTCTAGTTTATTTTGTATTAAGTGGTTTGTTTATTTACTTGAAATTATATAAAAGTGCTCTTTTGTTTAGTTTAAAGCGTACTACTTTTAAGACATAGTCGGTACACAAGTTTGTTCATATTATTTTTACGAAACTTCTATTTTGGGCTTATAGCAAAACTTTAGTTCGGGCATCTGCTCTGGATTGCTAAGCACCAGCCTAAGTCATTTCGTGTGATTTTTACAAATTTAGATGTATTTTTGTCTAAAACTTGTTAGTAAGTAAATATTTAGTTGCATCCTTATAATTTCCTTTCCCCCTCACCAGTTTCTTTAGGTTTTTTAACTGACTTATAATCTAAACCAAAATTTATTTCTTATCAATAATAAAAGTACGCTTTCACTAGCACACCTGGCTTTTGAGTAAATTAAAAAAATCTCCTCTTTTCTAATTATGGATTTTTATAATAAAATAAAAATTTTATTTAATGCTCAAAGTAAAAACTTTTTTACACTTTTCGTTTAAGTTGAACCTATGCCCAATTCTACACAGCCATATTAAAACAGTTATATCTGGACGTACTATTTTGAAAAAACTATTTTTGGTATACTCTTCCAGCTTACCGCACTTTTTCAATTAAAGTGAAGATTGAACTCTTAATATACTAAAATATAAAAAATATAAAAAAATATAAAAAAACCCTATTTATTGAAAGGCAAACTATTCGGATTATTTTTATAACAATTTATGTTTTAATTCGCTTTAGTGTACTTAAGCGTTTACTTCCTTTTTTTCAAAAAAGGTTTTGCAATTCAAAAGTATATTGATAAGGTTAACAAATAACATATTATACGTGAATAGTAAAAATATTTACTCAAATGTTATTGTTACATAATATGAGCTTTAAGTTGGATTCTTCAATAATTTAAGATCTCAGTTATAACTTTAGGACAACTTTATAATAACTAAGATAAAAAGAGAAAAAATTAAAAGAAACAAACCTTAAAAATTTAAAGAAAATTTTTTGGAAATAAAGTATAAGTGAAGCGCTTAAAAAAATACGGTGAACGTCACAATATTGGGAACAGTTTCTTGCATTTTAGTCATCACTTAAAATATACAATTTAAAATAAATACAAAATACAAAGTTCATAAAGTTACAAAAAAGTAACCCTAAAAAAACAAAAAAATTTACAGGAATTCATAGTAACTTCACATACCCCTACTGCAACCAACAAGACCAAAAAGTACCAAACAGAACAAACAACTACTCCAACTTAAAAAAAAGACAAAAACAACTATGAACACATTAAAAGCAAAAGTTATTAAACAGTATTAAACTATAATGACACCCCAGCTCGCTCGCCGCGCACACCCCCGAACATTTAAGGCGAAGAAGCAGAGCATATACCCCCGATCAGTCTCGAAACCTCCACACTAGAAAAGAAGAGCGGTTGTTCTCTCGCCAGTACTCAAAACGCTGCGCGACCACGAACAACGACCCGAGTAACCCAACATAGGGTAAACTCGGGTGGACCAAGGCTCTTCTACTACTCACCTCCCCACTTCCCACAGGCACTTACTATTTTAACATTTATAGTATAACGGGAACCCGCGCGAACGCGAAGCTCCCGCTAGCATAAATTATGTGCTCCAGTCCCCCTTTAGGGGATGATACACAGCACACGCCCCAGTGCAATGGCGCGCCACCGTGTAGCCAACTCGCCTCACTGATCACGAACTGAGCGCACCAGGTAAGTGAAGCTAAGTTTGAAAAGGTCGAGTACACATACCTAATTGATTGCATAGGAAATTGGGGGAAATCGATAACTATTCCCATTGGAAAATTTTAATTTTAAAAATGTGTGAAGTTTAGAGTAATGTCACGTGCGCGTAACGCCCAATAAGACATGGTCTGTTTATTTATCTTTATCATAGCTAAGGCACATAACTGCTAGTAGCTTTGGTTAAGTGCATCCAAAATGAAAAAATTAATGTGCCACCGCCTTCCTAACCGCATTTAACCTGTGCAATTTTGTTACGTTTGCCAAGACCGGATCGATGCGCGCGGCGGTGTGACTGTCTTGGTAAAACGGAGGATTCAACATCATTTGTTATCTCTACCAACTCTGTACGTGGCCAGGTAGTGGGAATTTCCCTATGTATGACAGACCAGGAGCCCGTATCTGTGGTTGCTGCCTACAGGCCCCTTGGAAGCTACTATCGCCCTCCAACTAGGACGCCTATAACTAACAACTGGTCGTTTTTTTGGTTACAATTTTAATTTTGCTACTCTCTTTTTTGCAGATAGAGAATAATAATTAGCACTTTTGTGATTGATTACTTTACTTTCCTTTTACTACTTTATAAATACTTAAACCCCATATAAAAAAATTTTTTTTTCACGCGACGAAAGCGTTCCAATTTTCCTTGAGTTAAGCTGAGTAAAACAAAGATTTGCTCTATTAAGATCAAGATGAACTCTTCCTTAACTTAAAACCAATTATTGTGGGTGGAAATTATCATAGAAAATAGTAAAAACAGTAACAAACGCGGAGACAATTGAAAATTGATCTGAGGTGCCTGTAGAGCTCTTGCACTTAATAATATATGGCATAAAATTGTGCGATGCTGACTTCGATTTTTTAAATTTTTATTTCTTAATTCTTATCGGATCGTAGCCCGACACTGGCAGGGATGGGCGGCGACGAACACCTTAACTGTAAATCAAACTCAGATTTACACTAATTTACACTTCAAAACTTTTTTAGTACCTATAAAATCTAACGTAGTTGTTCTACTCGAAAGGGTGTTTAATAATGCATACGTCTCGTCTTTCGTTATTAAATTTAATATCTAAATTATGTTAAAAACACAGTGAAAGATAAGAATTCAAGAAATTTTAGGTTATCCTATCATTTGTTTTCAAATCAGCAGCAAATAAGCTTAACTAAATTTATTATTTTTCAGATCGTGGGAAAAGATAATATGACAAAAAATTGTCTATTAACAAAAAACGCATGGTTTTGCACGATCTGATGCAGATAAGCAAAATTTTTTGAAGTAACCGCAAATTGCTAAGTACTTTTCAACTTTATACTTTAATAAAGACCATATTAATTCAGTTGTTAAAACTTAAACCCGATTATGTCTCTTTACCTAAAAATTCTTAGTTTACTAGGCTTTAGAACGGAAAGCGATAAGACCACGTTGGCCCACAACCCGATGACATCACCAACTTATACCTAAACATGCATTAACCCGGCCCTTATATAAACCTTAATTATATATATTAAGCTAAAATATGAACCATATATAAAGGTTTCGAACGTTTTGAAATCAACTATTTGTCTAATGGTTTGTGCGAGGTGCTCAATTGCATAGTGGCCTGAAGTTGAAGAAGCTTCAGCTTCACTAGTATTTTCCTCGCATCACCGTAAAAAGCTATGGAAAATACTTAACTCTTCCCCACGATTTATTTGTTGAAGCCATAACCTGCGAAGCAGGTTTCGTTTAAGGATATATGTTGAAACCTCCTCACAGCCTTAACGGCGCTCAAGGATAAAAAAAAATTCTTTTCCTAACCTATAATTTAAACCAAAAACAATTATTTTACGCAGTTTTTTCATATAGTGTCTGGCTTTAGTAAGTCAACAATTGAATTTAATAAGATAAAAATAGAAACTTATGCGATGATAATCTGACTATTCCTTAAATTTAAGTTTTTCGCAGAAACTTATTTACAGTAATTACCTAATTAATGCTTGCCAGGGCCTTCCGCTGAGGCTTAATTTTCATTAACAAAGTACTAAACTATAAAAAAAAACTTAATTATAGCTAACTTGAAATTTTTTAATACTGTATCTACAACATTTTATGTAATTGCTTTGATGTAAATAAAAATAGATTTTAAAGCTATAGTTTTGATTATACTAAGAAATATGTTTTCAGCTTAGAAGAATGCGAAGAGCGCGTAAAGAATTCTTTATGGTTAATTTTTTTTCAATCAAATATTAAATGTGCCTACTGCGCTACAGGCACATGTTTACTAGAAAAACTTTAATAATAGCTTAAATCCATTATAAAAAAACACCAAATAAATTATACGGGAAGTTAGTAGCAATAAAAATTTATTTAAAAAAAAATGTGGTTTTTAAATAAATTAATCATCAATATCATAAAATTCACATGTAATGCTTTGACAAATATTCCTCTATTTAAATTTAAACGCAACTTAAAATGTGTTCAAATTTAAGTCTTAATCTGTTGAGAATCCCTAGTATCACTAAATAGCAAATTATTGACATAACACTCCCCCAGACTACTAACTTTTCTTACTAACTTTGATTTCTCTAGTCCTCTAGACTAAAAACTATCGTCTAACAATATTGCTAGCCGACGTTAGACCAGAGTCATGCCACGATAATGTAGGCGAAAAGCCCTGAGAAACACCTAAGCACAAAAAATATGCGTTTTTAAATAGTTAAAAAACAGGCAATTTGTTCTACCAATAATAAAATTTTCTGCTTTACTACAGGTTCTTCCTTGGAAAATGATTGGTTCACCTGTTAACTATATCTAGAAGTTATCTTAATAACAGTGTAGTACTACAGTAGGCTTCTTACTTTTAACTATTTTAGGACTATACAACTTTTTTATATGCTGACAACAATTCTGCAGTAGATTAATATTAGCTCGTTATAGATTTTAACACAGATTTTGGACAATTTAAAAGGCTGAAGTGCTGTAGCTACGCAGTAAAAATAAAGAAAACTAACATTATTGGTAAACAAAAATATGGTCCATAAGTTCCTAGCCTAAGGCCTTCTTGCTTTTCAACACACTTATTATATCGGGTAGATTAACCTTTTTAAACCCCTATAAAAATAACCTGAAGTTTTGATTTCAAAATGTGCATAAACGGCCGATTTTATTCGATTTATTTCGCTATTTTCTTTATATCTCCTCCCTCTTAGGTTTGATTTCAGCTTTGCGAAGTGTTTATAGTATGGGTAGTGCTCAATATAAGTTCGGCCCGCGCACCTCCTGCAGTTTTTTTTCTTTTGCTTGTTGTTGTGCAGATGAGTTTGGTGCGTCTACGAGTCTATAATAATCGAATAAATTTATAGTGCTTTCAAGTACATCGACTTCCTTGTAATATATTAACTTATTGTCTATAGTACCCTTTATATCTATATTATTTAATTTGCTGTCTACAATATACAAGTTCTCGAAGGGTTACAACCTGTGAAATCACCAAAAGATAGAACAGTCGCTGGGGGCCAGGTCTGATTTTTAAGGTCGCATACCTCGCTTAAGTATGCCAAGCCGTCTTTCTTTGGTGACATCACGTAAGTTAATAAAATATACTGGCGTAGTACATCCCATTTGAGGTGGTGTTCCTCTCTCCAAAATCTACCATTGAAATTCCCTCGGGGTCACTGGCCATAATTTTTTTTGCTTCTTGCTTTTCTTGGTAGTGGTTTACCCCGACGATGCCACTTCACCATAATTTCGCCTTCAGGAACAATGGACTCCTTTACTTCTTTCTCAATAACCGGCGAAACTTAAAAAAATTTCGACAACATTATTCATAATGTGGGGTGAGAAGTTTGGGTACCCATCTTGAGCTTACCTTTGTCGAATGTAAATGGTCGTGAAGAATTCGAATAACCGTAATTTTTAAGAGATTAGGAGATTCTGCAATTTTCTTGGTCTTCAAAAGGCGGTCACCTAGTAGCACTTCGACAAATTTTATATTTTCTGGGGTAGCACTTCTGCTTCAATAGAATCCTTTCCTAAATAGAAAAGCTTCAAACTTTCTTCTTCTGTGGTGAATGTTGGCATAATCGCCAAACGTTATTCAAACTTTGTTTAATTTCTGTAGGTTTAAATTCTCTTGTGTAAGAAACTTTATTACTGATCTTACTTCAAGCCTTAACATTTTGCAAAAATTCTTATCACGATGCCACTTAGTTGATTATCACTTTGTCGTTTGAGCAAACAAAAGTCTGAAAATTCTTTTACAAGCTACTGAGAAATGAATGATACTAATAGTATTAAAAAATCCGCGGACCTTTTTTAAAAGGGGAGGCCGTACACCATTCCATGTAATCATGTTGAACTTAGAAAACTAAAAACACACTTGATAACAGCCATAAAAGGCTAAGCGTTTTAACCCTTCTATATTTAACATCGGGTAGGAAATGAAATTGAGTATAAGATTAAAAGTTTTTTACTAAAAAAAAGTTTAAAATTGTAAGGTTTTTAACTTTTTTTTAAAGAAGCTTAAGAACGCCTCTCTGAAGGACGGAATATCGAAAATAGTCTACATATTTGCAATTTATATATATTTTTTAGTATAGTAATAACATAATATAATTTTATAAAATTAAACTCGACTTAAATCTAACATCATTTTTAAAGTATATATTAATTGCTAAAGGTGTTTGATGTTATAATTCTTTTTAAAACTTTTCTTATTACCAGTTAGTAAATAACGTAATTAGGTTTAATTTCTTACTTTTGTCCTTTATGAGTTAAGGATGTGCCCACTCTACAGTATATTAATTAAGTTTGTTAATTTATATAACAAATGGAGCTTAATTTTGTGCTAAACAATTTAAAAAGTGTCAGTTAGAAAAAGTTCTGGATTAAGATAGTATCTTGTAGATCCTTACTTCCAAACACTTAATTTTAAAAATTTCAAAGGCCTTTGAACAAGTTGTGGGGGTTGCTTTCAAATTTATTTAATCTTAGATTTGTCTATAGTTAACGTACAGAACATTATAAAAGGATTATTTTAAGGGCACAGTTATACCAGACTGTGGTTAGAAATAAATGCTTTGCAAATATATTAAGTTATGTCTTTGAGTTGGGCGCAGACTGATGCAATCTGACAAGTTGTGGGCGTTAATATATTTTTTGTGTTTAGTACCCAATCAAAAGGGGGTTTATCATAACAATGCAAAAAATTAAAATTATTATTGGATGTCAAAAAACACCCAAAGAAAACCTCAAATCCGTGACGTTTTCCTCCTTTGGGTTTATTTTTCTTTGTAACCATAAGTTTGATTGTCAAAACTGTGCCTTTAGTAAAGTAAGCCTCTATATTATACTTTACTCTATGTACTTATAGAAGTTTAAAATATATATAGACGTATGATATTTTTTGTTACAATAATAATATACGTTCATTTTAACTATGTTTATGAATTTGATATATACATTTATCGAGCGGTGTCGCCATAGTTTCTTGTTTCACTTATACCTTTTTAAAATTTTATTAGTGTTAATATATAAAATTTTAACTTTTATATAGTTATTTTTAAATTTTTTTCGCAACTGCTTATAACAAAAATAACTTGTTTAATATGTTTTCAGACTTTTTAGATTTATTCTACCTATAATAATTAATAGATGCTTACTATAAAATGCGTAGTTGTGGGGGACGGCGCTGTGGGGAAAACATCATTACTTATTTCGTATACAACCAATAAATTCCCTCACGATTATGTGCCTACTGTTTTCGATAACTATGCGGTTACTGTTATGATCGACGGAGAACCGTATACTCTCGGCCTTTTTGATACTGCAGGACAGGAAGACTACGATAAGCTTCGGCCCCTCTCATATCCTCAAACGGATGTATTTCTCATATGTTTTTCTGTAGTGATTCCTTCAAGTTTTGCTAACATCAAAGAGAAATGGGTTCCTGAAATCTCTCATTATTTTTCGAAAGTTCCTCCTTTTTTGTTGGTGGGAACACAAGTGGATTTGCGAGAAAATCCCTCTTTCGTTGAAAATATGGCTAAAAATAGGGAAAGGCCCATTGAAACTTCTGAAGGGGAAAGATTGGCTAAAGAATTAAAAGCAGTGAAATATGTAGAATGTTCAGCGTACACCCAGAGAAATCTTAAAACAGTGTTTGATGAAACTATTTTAGCGGCTTTGAATCCCACTCCTGAAAAGGAAAAGAAAAAATGCGTTCTTTTGTAAATCTCGGTTTGTTTATTTCTATGTCTAATATTTTACTTTATACAAAGTTCTATTATATATTTTTGCTTTATCTGTCGTTCTTTATTTTAAAATTTAAATAACTATACTTCGCCTTTGGTAAATATTTATACGCTTTCCTGTAACTGTTCACATATATATTGGTCTCCTACTTTTATGTTATACCACAGAAAACTTTAATTTTTTAATTTTTTAATGTAACATTTAATTTTACTTCCCTTTTTTACTGCAATAATATTTATAATACTCGAGATGTATTTTCGGTTTATTCTTTTTAATCAATAGTTAATTTATTTTTAAGAAATCACTGCTGACCATATTGTTTTTTATATTTTTGAAAATACTCTCTTCTCTTGTTTCTTTTTATGTTATAGTTAAAATATCAAGCCCTTTTATTATTTTTAATTTATACAATAAATTTTATTTAAGGCCTTCTAACAAAATATGAACTGTAATGATTAAAAAATAATGCTGTTTTCTTTATTCGTATTCGCGGTTTATAGTCAAATTCTGCTCGAATTACTGGAGCCTACTGAAATTTTTGTTGATTCAGTAACAAATATCTAGCGTTCGCTTATTTATTACTATTGCATAAAATTCTACACTTCAACTTTTGCATGTTTTGTTAACGATAATTTTGAAAGACAATATATTATTTACCTCTAAGTTACATAAAAAAAATTTTATTTCTAAGAGAAAAATTAAGTTCTCGAGCAATTGTTATTTTAAAAATTGGAATTTTTAAATAATTTGGGATTAAAATATTTTTTTTGAAATTACTTTTATTTATTAATCTTCTTTCTCCTTTCAGTTTAAAGGGTAAGAAATATAATTATAAGAAAACAATTAATCTTTATATATAAGAACTATAATTTTTGTTCAAAATTTAATTTTCTGAAAGGGCGAAAATCGTTTTTCAAAATTTAAACTTTATAAAATTATGTGGATTAAAAATTTCTGGAATAACTTTTTAACTTTTAAATTTTTTTCTTTTTATAGTCCAAAAAGATAAGAGGTGTACTCAAACTATTTTACTTCCTAATAACAAATAATAAATATTTTATAGTTTTAAGTACTATAATTTACTTAATAAATTAAAATTTTTTACGGCACAAAAAAAAGAATTATGTTAAGAATTTATCTAAACTTAAAAATTTACATAAAATCGACGTTTATTTACACAACTTTTTAATTATTAGTCTTCTTTCTTCTTCCAGCCTATAAAAAATAAGAGATTTATTCAAACTATTTTATATAATAAGAAAACTCTTTTTTTGGAATTGCAAATATAATCGCTAGAAGAGGCTGTGTAACCATCTTACGGAATCGGCAATAGAATTTATATAGCCAACTTTTTGTATTTAAATATTCATGTAATCAATTAATAAAATTCTTAAAATAATTTGCTTTATTATATTTTTATTAGTATTTCGACTATAACTTTATTAAAGTTATCAGTAAAATAATTCTCTTTGATTTCCAAAAATATTAAGGAAACATTTTACAACAAAGTGAAAATATATAAAATCGTTTTTATATACACAAAATTAAAAAATTTAAAACAATATATAAAAGAATAATAAGTAAATTGCAATTGATTATAATTTTATTATATAGCAATGCCTTTAGTAAAGATATTAATTTCTTTAGCAATTTTCTATGTCCCTAAAAAGATCTTTAGGTAGGTCACTTTTTTTAGGGAAGCTTTGTTGGGTCCCTTGTTTTTCCACGACCGCTGCCGCCACTTTGTTAGCTCTGTCAACCGCGGAGTGTACGCGATCTAAATGCAAACTTGTTAATATCATAAATCTATAAAGTGAAGGTTTAAAAAAGTAAAAAAATAATAATTACCAATACTTTGTTAGAAATAAAGAGGGCTTTTAAAATGGATTTATACTTACAATGTTAAAAAACTATAGTAGAAATTTTTATATACAAAAAAATAATATAAAAACCTCTATGACAGTTTTTTTTCGTGCTACCAAAAAAAAAAGAAAATGCTATTTAAAAAATTAAAGTTAATATAATAAAACACACTTCCGAATTTAAAAAGTTCAAAAAAAAATGATGCGGTTAAGAAAATTTGTTACCCCCAATAAAAGAATCTCCGGCGCCGGAAGAATCAACAACACAAGGCACTTTCACTCCCGGACAGTGCCAAATTAGATCTTCTTGAGGCTTAAGCAATAAGTAGATAAATCTAGATCTCCGTAGAGAAAGTAAAGCTGTAGGAAACCCTGGGTTCATTGGCAAAAACAAGTGCACCATTGGCGCCTAAAGTTAGTATAACATTGCTACATCCAAGTTTCCTTAATTTTATAACTAATAAAAAAATATAAAAATCGAACAATTAATAAAGTAGTTCGAAAAAAAGTACCAGCAGACTTAGCAGAGGGAATGTTTAGGATGCCATCACCTATAATCGCTGCTGCTTCTGTTTCGTTAAGTATAACAAAGTCTGAATATTTAAAGAAATCAAGGTTAAAGTGTTCGGAAACGGGAGACGGATTGAAAATGGTGGTAACGCCTAAGCAAAAAAGAGGAGTTACTAATCTGAAGAAAATCAAACAATGTTTTAGCTTAGCATAGTTAACTGAAGTTAAAGCTCAGAAAATATTGAAACTTAACCACGTAAAGTGTCAAGAATAGCCACAATATTTACCAGAATTTTTGGCAACTTTCAAACCATGCAAAGCAGTTGCGGGATCACATTCAAGTTGGGTTATAAATATACTGCTGTCTGCAATAACGTGTGATAACGAATCGAGATCTTTTGTGCTTAAAGAAGTGTTGGCTCCCGGACAAACTACTATTTGATTTTCTCCAGCTTGATCAACAGTTATAAAAGCTTTATTTATAAAAATAAAAGTATATGCATATTAAAAAAAATAGCAATTCTATAGTTTTATATTTGTTGATAATACTAGTACTCTAAAATTAATGAGACCGATGCCAGTTGGAATAGTTTTAGAAGTCAATATATAGCTTATTATAACGTTCTGTGAAGAAAGTTCTGACTTTAAATAATCGCCGAATATATCTTCTCCTACCATTCCTAATAAATTCAGTGTAAAGCTATAAGTCTTAAGGGTCTTTTAGAATATGTCACCAATAAGTGAAGTTTTTGCTCCTAGTCTGGCTGCCATAACCGCTTGATTTCCCCCTTTTCCCCCAGAACTTTTTTTTAAATGATTCCCAAGAATAGTTTCTCCTTTCTTTTAGGGTAAAGACTTCAAAAAAAAAAAAGATTTGTCTTAAGCAGGCCAAAGGCCCGCTATAGAATAAAACTCATATAACTAACCTTCGGCTGCTGGCTTACTAGACAAGTTAAATCTACATTACAAGAACCGAAAACACAAATACGTATCATCTCTACAAGGACACAAAAGAATATTGTGCGTTGAGACTAATGAAGCAAGTAATCTAATAAAATTGCAGGTTTAAATGTTTTCCTTTAGCAGAAAGAGTTTTGCGGAACACTAGAGCGTGCCAAAGGTTTACACTCCTCACGTTTTATAAACCTTAATTAATTGCTATTTTACATCAACTATTTGCACTTGCACCCGCCTCTGGCTTTTTATTGTACTATATAAAAGATGTTAATCTAGTTCCATTCGCCTCTTTAGGCAATCTGTATTTCGCTTTAGTTTTAGAGCCTTTCATATTAATGTAAACTTTTCCTACTTGAGCAACAACACTTCTTCAAGAGAATTAATGAGGGTACAATCGATGGAAACAACTTTAACTTCCCGTTTGCTACAGTTCATCTAATCATTACCGTTTATTTAATGTAGTAGGTCAATCTAATCTAGAATAATTATTAAATTAATGTAACATTTATAACAACTTTAGATTCAGGGCCGTGCCTTAAGCAAAATTTGATATCAAACTTGATTTTATAGTTGAAAATAGCTAAGCATTTAGGTTGCTTTTTACAAGCGAGTGAAAAAGATCTGGCTTTATTTCTTTAAGTCTAATTGGTTAACTGCTTAGGGGCTACTCCGCCTGAGCAGCTATATACATATAAATACGTATATACATAAAATTGTATCCGATAGGCTTCCGGTTCATCTCTCTTGATGGTTTTTAGCAATTTTCCACCACATCAGGTTAAATAATGAGAGTCCGAACTCGATACATGTCCACTACCCCACCGTTTCTTGGGGGCTTTCGTGATATATCATTGCAGGAGTAACACTGTGGGCACTTGTACCCCACTCCGTAAACGCCCCCTCAGGACGGGTGTACCATGGCCAGTGATAATATAAATCGCAAGCTTTTCTTCATTCCTCCGCTCGAGGATACCGTTATCCGGTTATATTCATTAGTTTCTTTTTAACAATTTTTAAACATAATTTTGGCATGGTTTTGAGTAGGTAACTGCTATAAAAATACCTGTAACAAACTTACTCGACAGTTTATCTGTCAAAAGTAGGGCGGTGCATTTTATTGTAACGTTAATTTGAGTCCGTGCATTTTTTATTACTTTTTAGTTCAATAAAAGAACTACACGATTTACAGTCTGGAATACATTTATAAGCTTTGTAAATTTTTTTTTCGATAAATAAGAATGGCGTACTCACTGTCTAACTCGGTTTGCATCTGCATTCAAAATTTTCTTGCGCAGATTTTATTTAAGTATTTGTTAAAATAATACTATTGAAAAATGAGAGAAAGATATAGATCTCTTTGTGCAATCACTAGCGTATTTCATAGCAATTTTTAATTACTATAACTGTAAAAAAACAGAATTAATAGTAAACATACTTTTTACTCTCATATGCTTATTGATATGTACCGTAAACGGAAACCTAAAACCAAGGTGGTCAACCCGCGCCACACGGCTCTCTCCATCCTCGCACCTGCTCACTGCAGTGAAAAACACACCAGTGGAGCAAATAAAAGTTCAAGTAAAAGCTTTTTTCCTCATTCGATTCAGATGGACAGTAAAACAGGGGTACATAAACATTATATCTCAGAAGAATTAAAAAGAAATGATAAGTGGCACGTCAGAACAAAAAGGTTGGCCAGAGACAATCTACTTTGGGGACAATAATAAATTTTTTTTATTAATGCTGGAAAGTTTTATCTTTTTTCAGCATTCATATCATTCCATCACGTCCTTAAAAAAGTTCTTTTATAGTAAACTCGCTTATTTTAGAAGAGATGGCACTTAACTAGCGCTTTTATAGAACTGAATAGTTAGGCCACTTGGCTATAAAAGAATTTTTTTTAAAGCCCCTTCGTCAACAAAACCTTCAATTGTGCTTAAAAATTTGATATTGCATTACACTCTGTGTGATAATTCTAATGGTGACACAATATGCATGGTGTATATTGCTCGCAAATAGCAAGTTTCAGGATCGCCGCAGCAGAGGCCTAAGACAGAAGCAATATTTTTACTAGTTGATGCGTTCCTCTAATGTACGTCCAGAAAAGCTATTGCCCTCACGCTCCAACAGTTAGGCAAAATGGGCAACCCACCAAAGAATGTTTTTACGGCTATTAAAGCCAATTAAATGTTTTGAACCTAATTCATGCATTTTATAAAAAAATATAATTTAACAGTCATTAATAGTTTTAAATATGTTAATTATCTTTTTTTGTATACTGGCAATTTCTTAAATTTTTTTTAATAAAAAAGTTATTCAACTTTCCTTAAAAAAACGGAAAACTATTGGGCTTGGTGAAATGTAAAAGGGTTTCTAAAAAGCGCCAAAAAAATTGAACACAAAAAATTCCCGCCATTTTAGTTAGCAAAATGTTTATAACGTATTTCTTAAGACAAAGAGGTTGAAAATTTTTATGGCAGGTTTGAGGCTTTCTTATCATATTCTGGAGGTCCTTACGTTATCTATTAGCTTTTTTTATACAATACTCTCATTTGAATTCCCATATAGTTGTTCAACCTAAACGTATTATACCTTAAATCTGGTAAAAAAAAAACTAAGTTTCACGTTTTTGGCAAAAGTTTCAATTTGCTATGCCAGTTTTCATCTTTCCTATTATCGCTATTAAATTTTGAAGTAAAGATCGTAATAATGAAATCGAACATTGCTAACGTTAGAATGCCACTAGGGGATATTAAAAATAAAACTGAAGAAAAGGAAAATCCAATTAAAAAAGTTAATATTTTGATAAGTTTTTTAGGTTAATAACGTTAATACTTTTTTTGTAAACACAGCCTGTAACTAACAAAAATGTACACGTACACGATACTGATATACAAGCTAAAAAGAATTCAGAATTTAAGAATACTTTCGAAAGTCAAAAAATACTTATAGAGAAATACCTCAATGAAATTGCAGAACTAAAGGAGACCATAAAAGACTTGAAAACTAGTCTCGATATATACAAAAGAGTAAGTATTGCTTTTTAATGGAAACAAATTCACATCTTTTAAAAATTTAGCCAGTTTATATTTTTTCAACTTCAAGTAATCCTCTACGTTTTGTATATTTAGTCCCATAAAGAAAATTTAACTGAGCTTACGGATCTACAAGCCATCTGCGAAATGGCATGCAAGGAAAACGATGTGGTATTGAAGGACAACTGTTTTATAATTATTTGAGTTATATTTTTATAACTTTTTTTATTGATTTGACTTTTTTATATTAAAGCTTCACAAAGAATTAGAAAATAAAGAGAAAGAAATTTCATTACTGAAAAGTGAGCTCTCCTACTTTTTGTTAATCAAAGATGTAATTACGTTATAATATTTCTACTGGGCCGAGTGTTTGCTACCATCCTAACGTTATCAACTCTCTAGGCTCAAACCGAAGAGAACGAAGAAAGTTCAAAACAATAGAAAAGGAAGGCAGCGATAATAAGTTTTGCGACGTTTACTATATAAAAAGCGTAATAGAAATTCTACTAAAAAAAATATATGCAGTTTCAAAACTTTTCGTAAGAAGCTTAAACGTTAATAAAGAAATAAATAAATTGACCATAGAGGATATTATTAAACAAGTTTTCTTGCTATATTTATTGACTATCATCCACCGTTCAAGTTCACCAAATAGTCGAAGTGACTTTCAATACAAACCAAATTGAGTAATTCTTAGCTTTGAAGAGCGGTTTAAAAATTCTAACGCTTATTCAATGAACTAAATTAGTTCTGGTACTGTACAAAGTCCCTTGCACAATTTGGTTTGTTTAAGTTTTTTATAGCCTTAAAAGGTCACAAATTTAAAAACGTGATAGTGTGTTAGGGCATATTTAAATACAAAACGATTAATCTTAAAAAGAGAAACGCGTTGATAATAACAGAAACAAAGATATATGGCCCAAAATGTTTAATTTATACTATTTCGACGAGTTTTACCTATTAGCAAGCTTCCATAACTTGATTATTAAGCATAATTAATTCCTTCTTGGTTCTGACTTTTTAAGTAATTCACATGCCCTTAACTAATTTGTTTTTAAAAGTTTTACCTGTATTTAATTTTTATTTTTCTGGGTCAATTATTAAATGAAATCTTATAGAAAGAATTATACCCCATGATCTTTGATTTGCGTGGGATGGCCGGCGAGCTTCAGTGTCAGATTCCCACCACCCACCACGCCAAAAAATATTGGACGCCACCCTTGGGGGTAAGGTAATCGTTAATTAAGGTATCAAATCCTAACATTCAAAAACGACTCTCACATTCACTATAATATTTTACCTATACAAACTGTTAGCATAAATTTTAAAATATCGCACTCGTAGATCTTCAAGTATTGCAAAGCGAATTATGTTAAACTGGTTAGATCAAATGATTTTTTACATTTAAAAAGCGGTAAAGTTCACTTCCTAAAAGAAAAATAAGGTCTTTTCTAATAAGGTTTATTTCATCGCACACAAACCTAAAATACCGACTCCCTTTTTATTACAATGCTGGACCTCGTCACTTCTTGTTCAGCGCAGTTGCAAAGTCGGCTAGAGCTGAACTAATATCAATGAATTTACCATACTCCGTTGGTAGCCCCAAATCAGGTATTTTTTGTCATCGGTTTACAGTTCTGATGGCAATTTGTCTTAATGTCGGGTCAATTCGTAACGGCAATTCCTACATCCAAAGCCTAAGTTATTAGCCAAAGTTGTTTTGGTATATAAACTTCATTTGTTAAAAAAGTAAAAAATTTTTGCTGATAAGCTGTCTCCTTTCAAAAATATATAAACTGTTGCTGATCTAAAAATGCTAAATATTTTTAAGGAACCTAAAAATTAATTTCACGTAACATTGTTAAACATGTCACTAAATCATTAAACAACAAGGTATATACAGCTGATTGTATAAGAAAACCTTTCAACAGTTGAATTTATCTGCAAATTTTCTGTTTTTAGTATAGTAACAGGCGTGTCATATTTCCAACGAAGGCTTCCTTTTACTGTCACTCTATTTTTTACCTGTTAGTAGTATAAGAGCTTTATAATTGTGACAGCCCTTAGCTAGCCCTTGCTACAGCATAACTTGAAAAAAATGCTATCCAGATTAATGAAAATCACTTTGTAAGTTACGGTTCTTTTAAAACAAGAAGGGAGGAGAGAAAGAATGAGGTCGACTCATCAGCGCCTTAACACAACCAAGATTGACACCGAAAATAAAACAGGTATAAGCTAAACTAAAATATCATAGCTATTACTTGCCGAAAAGAAGTGTTTTTTTAAAACAAAAAAATTGTTAGCGAGTGTTTAAAACGTAAGCTTATTGTACTGTCTCAAAATCTCTGAAAATTACAAATTTAATATTTTTTTATTAAGGAACCCAATGTACGCTCTGCTCCAGCTGCTTGAAAGCTTAAAAGAGACACCACTTATATACTGTTACAAAAAGATTGCCGTTAAATATTTAAAGAACTTCAGAAAACATAATAGCAACTGCTTAAAGGAATAATTGTACTACAATCTCTGACCGAATTGTAAAAAATGCTTGAAACACAATAAAACAAATTAATAAAGAGAGCGGTTGTTTGCAAATAGAATTTATATTATTTATAACAATAATTAATTTTAATAAAAACAAAACTGAAAATAAAACAAATTTCACGTCCCATTTGAGGTATATATATTGAAAAATCAATAGTAACGGTAGATATCGTAATAATAAAAAGTCACTACCAGAGCTATAAAAGAGGCCTCGAATAACTTTTTTATTTCTAAAAAAAAACGTTTGCACAAAATACTTTACCATATAAGCAAAATCTTATAATTATAAAACAATGTTATATAAAGCAAGGTCAGACCGCTTTAAATTCATACTTGAATAAAAAAATCCAGATCACACGAAAACATATAAAATAGTAGCAATATATTTTAATAAAAAATTTAGAAATTAAAACGAGTTGTTCCTGATAAACCGTTGGTACTATAAAGTTTTAATATTCTTAACAAAATTTATGGCTCAAATTTTCTAAATTTTCTTTCATCTTTTTCTTAACCCTTAAGAGGTATTTCTTTTTTTCTTACTTTTACCGAGACGAACAGATTTACGAATCGAAGATGAAGAGAAGCTGCTGGAGTCGGACTCACTACCAGAAGAACTGCTATCGTCACTATTACTACTTTCTTCAGAACTTGTGGCGCTGTTAGGCTCGCCAGAATTGCTGCTGCTGCTACTAGAATCACTTTCATCATCGCTAGAAGAAGTGGTGCTTCCGTCGCTACTTTCGCTACTTTTTTCATCTTCACTAGAAGTTTTTGAATGGGTGCTCTCCCTTGAAGAATCGGTTAAGCCCGCAGCTTCTTGATCTTCATCGGCCATCTTTAATTTTTTAACATCTCTATTACATAAAAGGGCTGTAACGAAAGACAATAGTAATAATGAAAAACACAGTATGACTAGTATAGTAGAAACATAATTCACCAAAAAAAACAAAACAAACGCAAAAAAAAAATAACAAAAATTATTAAGTCATAAAATTGTTTATAAATAACTTTAAAAACCTACTAAAACTTAACATATACTAGACTCTAGCTAAAAGACAAAATCCATAACTGTAGTGATGACTTAAACTTAGAAAGAAAGCAAAATTTGTTAATAAAAAAATCTAATAATAAAGTAAACAAAAAAAATGACAATATTAAAACTCAACATACTTGCACAAAAAAGAATTAATACCTCATCTGTAGTAGTTTGCTTCGAGAAGGCCTGACGAGGTACTTAGGGTCATTCTTACACTCATATATTAAATGACCTGTCCTCAAACATCTCTGACACTTTTTTTGATAAGACGGATTAAACTCTTTACTAATAAATAAAATAACTTAAAAAAAGATTATCAAAATAAAATAAAAATAATCTAAACAAGCTACAACAAATTATTTAAAAGCTTGAAAGAAAAAAAAAACCAGAAAAATACTTTTTTTTCTCGTGGTAACGTTGTAAACCGATGCGTAGCAAATCTTCTTTGGAGTATCGATGCATTCGCAGGCTTGAAGCAAAAAGTTAAAGTTAAAACTTGCGCGTACTGTTAAGTAAGCTGACCGCTAACGGACGCACGTCTCGCTTAAATATAAAATGCTGACACAGTGCTTTTACTCCTTTATAAAAGAGTAAAAAAATATAAGGTTATAATATAAAATAAAAAAAGTCTCTAAAAAAAGTACTAAAATATGACATAACAAAGGGGATATAAAACAAAAAATATTGTTTATTACAAAATTATAAAAATTAATCAGCTCTTAACGTAGCCATACGCCCTCTTTTGCAATAAGCTGATGTGGATGCTTACAGCATTCTTTTCTTCCCTCTGTTTTGATTTTTTTTATTACGATTATTCTTTTTTTTTTTAAGTTGAGGTTTTATGGTCATTACTTATAAGAACCTTCAACTTTTGCAACCTTATATCGGGTATTTAGTTAGTACACTCTCAGATTCTAATTTATCGGGCCATTTAAATCAAATAAATCAGTTAGAGGATATATTTAAAGTAGCATATATATTTACATCTCACACATAATATTATTGTTTACAAAAAAAATTTATATAGACAGATCCCTTAATTATTTCAATTTGTATACTTCACTGTTTGCTTTGTGAAATTGATATTCGCAAAGAGTTTTTTAAAGATGATTGCGACAATGAAATTCAGGAAAAGCCTTACAATGCAGTCAATAAGTTGAAAGAGTTTTATCAGAATGATAGCTCAAAAATAAAAATTTTAACGACAGAAATGAATAAAGTTTTTGAGTATAACTTTGGTAGCAATTATCTTTTTAAGGTAGCATATCTCAATTTTTTATTAGAAGAAAAACTGATTCTTTATTTAATAGTGCTTTCACATACCCGTCCTCCACCTCGATGGGGAGGAATCAACTTTTAAAATTAGTATTAAAAAAATTTCCCGAATTTTAAACTTTTCACCTTATCAACTTCTTATTTTCGCTTCCTCACAATTGAATTGTGATGATTCTTATGGCTCCGAAGGTTTTTTAATTTAATTTTATACTTGCATTTTTTTAAATTCCTTTTTTAGCCCGGAATATACTTAGCAATAGTAAATTAATTTTGGAAAAAATTACGGAAAAAACAGAGATTACTACTGGTGTCTTAAAGAATTTTTTAAAAAGTTTAAATTTTGTAAGGACTACTGACAAGCAAAGGACTCGAGTAATAAAATTACTTCGAGGAAGATTTAACCTCGGAAAAATTCCTGCCGATGTTTCTTTACTTTTATACTCGATTCCTAGCGATGAAAATTTTTCCAGGCATTTTTAATAATTTATTGAGAATTCTTGCATTATTTATTTTGCATATTTTTTTATTTTTAATGATTTTTATTTTCTTTGCTCTTCTATTTTTATGTACTATAATAAGTTTCCATTATATTAGTTTGCTTTTCTAAATTTTAATTTTTTTTAAGATTATTTCTTAGCAATCAAGTTTTTTTTGAAAGAATTTTTTTTTCAAAATTACAGACTTTTAGAAAGCCGAAATATATTAATCTGGCCGGAAAGTTCTTGCGAATCCGTTAATTACGCTGGTATTTTTTTTATTATAATTATCAGCGTTTACTAATTTTTTTTTAATGTCAATGTCACGGAATTTTTATGGTAATTGTAAGTTTATAGATAATTTTTTTTTAATTATTGAATTTAACAAATTTTTTTTTTTTTTAGATCTACTTGAAAGTTTAGGATATTCATGTACGACTTCCTTGTCGAGCTTAAAAAAACTTTTTACACTTTTTCCTTCCGTTTCTTTCTCATCGTTGTCGGTGGCAAAACTATTTGGGAAAATTATCAATACTCATGCGCGAGAAATTCAATTGTTCATGTCTGAGCAGTCTACGTGGTGGTTTTTATCGGTACTGATAATAATTTCTTACTAAATTTATATTTTTTTAAAAGTAATAATATTAATGTGAGGTTTGCTGGTAGTTTTCACGGGTTCTACTAAAACCTTTACATTTAATTAATTCCCGAATTTTTTTAGTGTCACAAAAAGTTTGACTATTTTTTACTATGAATGAACTTTTCTGTAAAAAGTTAGTATCATATTAATGTGTATTATTATTTTAATATGAAGAAAAATTTTAATTATAAATGTAATACACAAAATTTTATCGGTTTACTATTTTACTGCAGCATAACTTTCACGCCTTTAATATTCTATAGGCAACGAACACGGGTCAGAACGAGGACGTTCAACCGCCTGCTGACTCGTGGAATATAGAAAATATCGTGGAGGCTCTGAAAGCTTCCAATCCTGAAATTGATTGGTTAAAAGTCGCCTCATGTTTGGATTACTGTAATTTATTTTATGCACGAATTAGAGTGGAAGTTGTACTAAACGGCTATTTTTACTGTTTTTCTCAGCTGGCTTTTTTGTTGAAGACGCCGAGTCGTTGAGGATACTTTTGGGCTTGATGCAAGCCACAAACGCTCTCGAATTTTTTTTGAGTTTTGCTCTAAAACAGTCTTGGAAGCACGTGGAAGGTGGCCCCTGCTGCACTCTTCTTAAGGAATAGGGCGTAACCCAATTATTTTTTTTCTTTCAGCGCAATGGTCTTTTATAAAAAGACTTCTGCTGGACAGCAGCGTTAGTGACGTGCCGTGCGAAAAGTCACGTGCTATTACTTCTGACAGTCTTTTTTCACGTGCGTTTAATGTCATTTTATTAATCAAACGCTCGTAAACTTTTATTTACTGAAGCTCTTACCGTTACGACCAATCGTGTGTGGGCTTCTCTTGGTCTCGCTGAAACTCTCGTACGTCTTTCTCAGCAACCCAACCTCTACGACGAAGTTAAGGACGTCTGCCTGGCCTGCCCTTGCCCAGATATTCTCGTTCTCTCATTGGGTAGTTTTACGAGTTCTGCTAGTTTACTTTGTTAGTGTTATAAAAGTTTTATGTAATCTCTGTATTGTATTTTAATAGCATTTCATTATTTTTTAACTTTTCTTATTTTTATTTGTTTTTTTTTGGGTAGTTAATCTCAAGGGCTCTTTAACGCAGTTTCAGAAAGAAGTCTGTCAAACTTTACTCCAGGTTAGCAAAGAAAACTTTAAATAAACTACCCACGTGATGTACAAAGATCACGCGGGCGGCATCGTGCTTTTGTTTTATAATGAATTTTTTATTTCCATATATAGACTTTTTTCTGCGATTTAAGCCGTACTTCCCAGATTATATGTAAAGTCTGGGTAGTGACTTCACAACTTTTACTTCAAAGTTTAGCGGCATTTAGCAGAAGCTCGAAAAGTAATGCCGCAGCGATTGTTTCTCTAGCAAAACTGCTGCACGTACCGCTCAATTTGTTGTTTCCATATTTCCTCTTTCTTAATTGGTTCATTAGGTCCCATCCGTCCTTTCCGTTCTTCCAGTTTCCCTGTCCATCCACGTGGCTTTTGAGCCAAGTCTTTTGAACAGCAATTTTTTCCCTTCAACTTCGTTTTCCGGTTGGTTGACGGCCAATATTAAGCACGTGGACTTTGAAAAGGCCCTCCTTCTCTATGTTTACCAACGTTTAAGGCACATCTAATCATTATTTCTATTGTTATTGTTATTCATTAAATTTAGTGCTATTACAAGACCTGTTTTTTTAATTAACATTTGATAATTTATTTTTTACAGTATATACTTTTCTCATTCAGTTTAGATTTTTCTAGCAAAAAAAGACCTGTTTATAGATTCAATGTATTTTCTATTAATGTTTCTTGCTATCCATTTTTTTGTGAATAGAACGGGGAAACCGCCACTGCCTACCGACATTTGTGTTTGTCTTGTTGAAGCTTTAGACTTTCACTACAGCGCGTCTTCTTCCAATTCTCCAAGTCTGGAAGAATATAATTCTATTCGGAATTTACTTCTTATACAAATTCCAGAAGTATGAGTGTCTTTTTTAATGAATTCCAACATGTGGCCGTTTTTTTCACTATTTTTAAAATTTATATTTTATTTTACTGGTTTATAACCAAGAAATTCAGAAATATTTATATTATTTACTGAAGGCCCACATGTCATTATATTTCAAGGCTTTGCTTTATTTTATGTGATATTTATTATATTTTATATATGGCTAAACATGTATATATATATATATTTATTGATAGTTTTTTTCATTATTTTTAATGATAAGTTCGACCATTCATAACAATTTTTATTATGGAACTTTGCTCTAATAGTCTCCGTTCTTGCCTCGAGCCGATTATTATAACTCTTACAAAAATAATTATGCAAAGCCCGTCCTACCAAACTCCCAACAACGTTGTTCTCCCCCTTATTTAGTAGTATTTTTGTCTAACCACTCTCTAGCTCCCCTGCGACCTCTGGCGCGTCCTGTGGAAGACCACGACTCCCATACCTATTCTGGAGACGTTGAAAAAGAAGCTGCTCATTTTTTTCAACAACTGTTCGTTCACTATATTAATTGAATACTTTTATTATTTATGATCTATATTCACTAAAACCTTTTCTTTTGTTGTTGTTGTTAAAGATATTCCGGAAAGCTTACCGTCAACCAATTATTGCATTTACTTAAAAAAAAGCAAATGAGCCACGAAAAAATGGATCGGGACGTATACGCGTGCATGATTCGTGATTTATTTGACGAATACAAATACTTTGAGAATTATCCGGAAAAAGAGCTCACTTTGACGGCGGTTCTTCTTGGTCAATTAATACACCAGCAGGTACCTTATTTGCCTTTTGGCTCTTTTCCTTTGTTTATAATTTTTTTGTTTTATAATGAAAATTTATTTTTAGATGCTGCCTAATAGAAAGGACTTTCTTCTCGCATTACGTTTTATTGTGAATTCCATTCGTAAGAAACCGGAATTTTTTTTGTTTAAGTTTGGAGTTACGGTAAGTGCTTCATTATTATTATTGTGATGCTTATAGTCAAATTACTTATTATAGTAATCCTCGAAAAAATAATAACTTGTATAAAATAAAAATTATTTAGTTATCAATTTTTTTGTAACTTGCACAAAGTAAAATGTTTCTTTATTTTTATTTATCATTCATAAAACTTTTAACTTCTCAACTTTTTTTTTTCAGGCTTTTGATCAGTTTCGCATGCGGATGCTCGAGTTTCCCAGAGAATTCCCTCCGCAATTTGCGCAGTGTTTGCTAGAAACTGCCAGTTTTGTGACTCTTTTTCCTCAGTTTGCTGCAAGTTGCCGGCAGTTTTTGATACAAGTTAGCCAGCTTCCTTCAGAGCGGTTCAAAGTGGATAAAAGCGGCGTTCAGGTTTTCTTTTTTTTTTTTTTTTTTTAATATTTCCTCTTTTTTTATGCTGTCATTGTGCATATATTGTCTATATATTTCTTACTTTATTATTTCTTCTCGGTACTTTCTTATAAACTTTTTATTTACCTATTATTAGTATTAGTATATTATATATATATATTATACTTTATAAAGATATATTTATTGATATTTTTTATATAACTTTTTTTTTAATGATATGATCATTAACTTTTACCTCCTATTATTGTTATATATATTTTATAATAGTTTATATATATTAGTTATTTTTATATAACAATTATCTTATTTTTTACTTTCTTTCCCTTGTTTCTACATATTCACTTCTTTTTGTTTATTTTTTGTAATAAACTTTTTATATTTTGAAGTGTTATTAAAAAGTTCATTGTACTTTTTTATTGAATAGTTGCCTTTTGGCAGCGTTAATAACATCAACACTCTCCTTGCTGCTGCGCCTCCCATCGATATTCCTGACGACGCAGTAAATTTAATGCCTTGTTTACTTAGTCTAGACGCTGACTGGCTATCTTTGTTAAGGTTGTGGACAACGTCCACTTCATATTTAACAACGTTTCACGTGATAACGTTTTGGAAAAAGTAAAAGACCTTCAGTCTGCCGTCGCTCCTGCATATTCTCTTTGGTCTTTTTTTTTAATATTTTTTATTGCGACTCGTGCATATCTTTTTAACCACTAATTATGTGAAATCTTCACGATATCCGCCAATGAAAAGGCTTGCACAGTATCTGGTGACCAGACGGGCGAGCCTTGAGCCCAATATTCACGAGATTTACATAACTGTCGTTGATGCTGTTGGCTTTCCTAATTTTTACCGAATGGTGGTTGACCAAACTTACGAAAACATAAAAGTTTTATTGGCCTCCTCAAAAATATCAACATCGTCCTCTGAAAGGTTTGATTCTATTATTACTATTTTTATTACAATATTACTAATCTCTCAAGAGCATTACTGAAACATCTTGGCACGTGGCTGGGTTTAATAACGTTGGCCCGAAATAAGCCTATTCTTTACCGCAATTTGGCTCTAAAAGAGCTGATACTAGACGGTTATATCCACAACGCTCTTATATATATCCTTCCTTTTGTCACTAAAGTTTTGGAAGCGGGCTCGAAGGGTACCTGTTACTATTATTATTCTCATTACATTATTGTCATGTTACCTTATAGGGAAGGTGTTTGTCCCGCCAAATCCGTGGCTCATGGCGATTCTTCGTCTCTTGAAGGAGCTTCATTTACTTCAAGATACGAAGCTCAACTACAAATTTGAAATAGAAGTTCTCTGCAGAGCGCTGAAGATCGATATTAACGATATTGAGCCGAGCAACTTGCTTAAAGAACTGGAGCCCCAGAAGGAACCGTCCGTCCATTCTTTAGGAGACGCGTTGGGGCGCGAGAAGCCAGAATCGAGCCCAGCTACCGGACTGGGCGACCTTTTCCCTCTTCACTGGGTAATTTCGATCGATCCGGTGGTCGATCCGGAATGTAAAATATTCCTGCAAGACGTGCAAGCCGTCAAGCAGAGCGTGCAGGCTGCCGTAGAAAGGTGGTTTCTTTATTTTCATTATAATTTTTTCTGTTCAGATTTCATGTTTTTTAATGATTGTAGGGCCACCCAAGACGTGTCTCCCATGCTGGAACGAGCTGTCTTTTGTTGCTCCGCTGTCGCAAAGGAGCTAATTCTCAAGGTGCTTCCATCAATAATATATCCACGCAACATGTGACATTTATTAGGACTTTGCTATGGAATCGGACGAATCAAAAATGCGTACGGCGGCCCAATCTTTAGCGCGGGGTTTGGGCGCTAGTTTTTCAATGGCCACGTGTAAAGAAGCCTTGCGATTGAGTCTCTCTAACTGGTTAAAGTCTTTGTTACAACCATTGTTGGGGGCGTCCTCCGAAGACCAGCAGAAGCCGCTTCTTTTAAGCGCCGTGCAGGTCTTTTTTTTGTATTCATTATTTTTAAATTCAAGGCATTATCAACTTCAGACGGCGCTGCGGGACAACTTTGATGCTGTTCTATTGGCTCTCGAGAAAGTTGTCTCTGAGAATTGTGCCGCCATCCTTGACAAGCTTCTTGCCGCCTCTTACGCCAGTCGACAGTCCCATCGGGAACGGGCAGCCAAGCCGCCATTTTGCGACGCCGACAGGCTACCAGATAGTAGTTTTTTGGATCTATTGGGCTCTCTATACCCGAGGTTTTCAATGTCATACTTACTTTATCGCTTATTTACCGGCTTCTTACTAGACCCGACGGTATGACCCCTGACCAATACCGCGTCTACGAGGATTTTGCCAGTATAAATATGCCCGACTCCTCGCTTCACTCACAGAAAATCGGGGACATATCCTCCAATCGCATTTCTGGCGCTATTGCTGGCCCCAATTTATTGGACATGTCCACCTTTCATCCGCCAGGTGTGAACCCTACGGGAACTTTAACGGTGGAGGGCGATCCCGTTCTTTTGCAGCACAACCAGGCATTAGAGAGAATGTCATTGGTCATGAATGAACTGTGCGTTGATTATTATTATTATTATTATTATTATTATTATTATTATTATTATTATTATTATTATTATTATTATTGAACCACAGTTGCAAAATAGTTGCGTGTTCACTATTGGAAGGGTCTTCCAACCTCTCCAGCATTTCCGTCACGACCAACTTTTTCCCTTTTTTGCGGCAGTTAACAATTATTGTTATCCAAAGCAACGACCGTGCCAATGTTTGCATCCACTTTGCTCGAAAAATATTACAGTCTCTTTTCGATCAGACTTCAGAAAAAAGTTTATTATTATTATGGATATTGTTATTATTATTACTATTATTATCAGGTGCACTGTTTAAAGAGATGCTGTTATTGGCCCTTCAGACGGTGCAAGACATATCGAAAAAAGTTTTGCGAGAAGTACTCGAGCACGTTAAGACCCTTTTGGAAACTGAAAAGAAGTTTAACTTAAAGTCCAACAGTTTTATCGTATATTTTATTATTTTTTATCATTATTTTTTATGATAGAAATTTTGAGGTTTTGACCGACCTTGTCAAGTGGCGGCTTATCTCCCCGTTCCACTTAGACGAAGTTCTACATCGCTTGTTGGGTGATCCCAACACTGCCGCAAACTCGAATTTATTTGTGTATTGCTTTACGGTGGTGAAGGCAACTCTCATACGAGAGCCGCTTCCCGCTTCCCATCTGTTTTTTCCACGCGCTAACCTCCCCCATACTACTGGTAACGTTTTTTGAACCAATGTCGTTAGCTTTTATTTATCGTTGCTATTAGAAACTCTCCGCGGCTCGCAGTATCTGTTGTCTCTTAACGAGACTAGCGCCGTTCTTGCTGAAGTATACCGCCAGCAAGTGGTGGATCACTGTCAGGCGCAGTTACCCTCCGCTATTCCCGTGCTTGCCAGGGAGACAGTCATGCTGTTGTTCGACGAGTGTATCCGTCTATCCTATCATCACCAGCCCGCTCAAGTAGACAAAGTTTATGCGCTTTTTATAGCCAAGATCCAGCAACAAGGTGATTTACTATACTTTTTCTATTTTTCAGTGGCTAACTTTATCGCGAAAAAGGCGTGTTGAAGACGGACGAAGTGCAGACCGTCTTTTTCCAAGTTTGCATCGAAGCTGCGGTCGAAGCCGCTTGTTATGGTAGTTGGGATAAAAAATATGAAGGAAGTATAAGCCACAAGCCCCGGCTGAACGGGCGGCCCATTGAGGCTCTTGCCAGGCTAATGGTTGTCCTGGTTCGCATGGCGGGTATGATATTGGGTGCTATTACAGACTTGTGCCTTATTTTTGACCATTCTCTGAAGGATGTGACTTTAAACAGACCAATAAAACAACAGTGATGGCAAATTTACCTGTCCGAGTTCAACTTGCTAGCAAAGTTCTCCACACGATTGTCGAAGTAATGAGACGGGACTCGGCACTTCTTACTTTCCGCTGCGAAAGCGGCCAGGAAAAAGAAACCCTCAATTGTCCGCCGTCCACGCGTGACGGCGCCGGCGAGGTCGGGCTTGCTCTTAACCAACGCGCTTATTATAAGCTGTTTTTGTGCCTAATAAGCGACCTCTTGGTATCTTTACCTATAACCTGAATTGTGTTTTCACGCGCACCCTATGTATTGGCGTCAGGCACCCGACCAATTGTTTGAGACTATCCGCCCCCAGCTTCTTACTGCCCTGGCAAACGCTCTGCATTGCTTACAACCCAAAATTCTTCCCGGGTTCACCTTCGCTTGGCTCGAGTTGGTATCCCAACGACAGCTGCTGACTGCTTTGCTCCGCTCTCAAAAGGTTTTTATTTCATATTTTTCCCTGAAGTCCTTTTCCTTACCTATACTTAAGGAGTCTTCCCTATTCCACATGTTGCTACTGGACATTCTCGAATTCACGGCCCCTTATTTGGTTGCAGTGCAACTGAACGAGCCTCTTCGTTTACTCTATAGAGTTCCTTTTTTCCTGTTTTTCTTTGTGTTTAATAGTTGACTATATAATTTTTAACGCAGGAGGTCATGCGCCTTTTGCTGGTTCTGCTTCATGAATTCCCCGACTTTTTGTGCATCAATTATCTCAGCCTTTGCGATATCCTCCCGCCATCTTGCGTCCAGATGCGGAACGTGATCCTCAGTGCGTACCCCATTAATGTGCGGCTGCCCAATCCATTCTTGCCCACCTTGAAAGTAATGGCGGGTAGTGCAAAAGTTTGTCACATCACTTTTTTGACGTTGTGATTCATTTACAAGGCTGACTGGCTCCCCGAGCTCAGCCAATCCCCACTTATCTCAACAAGTGCTACTCTGGAAATACTGCCCGATTATTTGCGAGAAAAAATTACCGGCTACATGGAAAATAAAGACGTTGGATTATATACGTTAATACTTAAAGTGATAAAAATAAACGAAAGAAACAGGCCTCCTACTTGGAAAACCTTTCGGAACATTTGATGACCACAGACACCACTGCAGGCGCCAATTACAATGTTCCGGTGATTAGTGCTCTAGTGTTGTACGTTGGATTGCAGGTTTTTTTTGTCGGCGCCTCCGCGCATTTTTGACGCGAATATTAATTGGGTGTCGGAAAGGCACTCCGACCAATAAAACTAAAGGAGAATTCTGCACCCCCAATCGCCAATTGCCCATCCATGGGCGTCTTCCTGCATTTGGCGACGGACTTGAACTCCGAAGGTTTAAATTTTTAAAGAATATTGCCACGTGGCCGACCATTTATTTTCTTTGGTATGTTCAGGACGATATTTGTTATTAAGTGCCATCGCCAATCATCTGAGATATCCAAACAAGCATACCCAATACTTTAGCTGCGTGTTGCTGTACCTCTTCACCAAAGCCAGTCAGGAGGCTGTGAAGGAGCAGATTGCACGTGTTCTTGTGGAGCGGTTGATTGTTGCCAGACCCCACCCGTGGGGGCTTCTCACCACGTTTATTGAGCTAATAAAGGTTTTATTAGATTTTTATAACATGCGTTTTCTTAATTTTGTCTCATTAGAATCCGCAGTACGACTTTTGGTCTCACAGTTTTGTGTTCTGCTCGCCAAAGATTAAGAATCTGTTCGAGTCTCTTCAAGAATCCGTCCGCCATTCGTTTATGTTCACTCAGCGCGCGCAAAATTCACTAGACTCGCAGAAGTCGAAGCAGCCAGTGACCCCTCTTAAAAGACCGCCTGTGGATGCAACGTCCTAAACACATCCCCTAGTATCCATGGCATGCCAGATGCACTTGTTTTTTTGAACCGAGTAAGTTTTGGTTGAGTATCACGCTTTAGAAAGACAATAAAGCGAAAATGATGAATCAGTTTATCTACCACTTAATAAATAAACCAATAGCATTAAAACACTGCTTTATTTATGTTGTTAATGGCTGTCAACAATTGCTTCCAGAGCTGGTTGTGTTGTGAGCAAAAAAAATGGGCCGCACTTCCTATTTGGTACTTTATATTTACCAAAGACGGGCCGGTAGCGCGCCGTTAGTTCTGATTAGTTGAGCTTTAATTTTTCTTCCTTTTTAAACACCAATAGTAACAATTATTGTTTAAAATAAAAAAATAGGCTACTTCATTGGTCCTTTTTAGCTTCGCTTTAGTATAAACTTTAATGAGTTTTTCCTCGCTTACCGAAGAAAATGATATAAACTTGGTGGCAATAAAATCCCATAAAACTCTAAAGATTGGATAATAATTATAATTATAATGACAATAATAGTGAAAACCTGCGATGAAGATCACTTTCTAAAGGACTTTCCTTTGCTAAAACGGATTCAATATGGTCGCCAAGCTCGAGTATATACTTTTATATAAAAACAGCTTACAACTTTTTTAGCGAATACCAATACTGCATAAAAAATAATGAAGCGCAGAGTAAATACCAACCTGTTTAAACTTTTCATTCGCTTTTTCTCTCGTCAAATTGTACTTTATAACATTTTGCTTCAGTTTAGAAAGTGACCTTAGCGTGGCTTTATGCGAGCGCAAACGGGATTTGCACTATAAAAAGGTTTAACCAATAAAAAATTTTGGTAAAGAGCTTCAAGAAATATGTTTCAGTTAAAAATATATAAAAAACATAATGCAAAGAGTCTTTCGATAGTTCGTTGGTAGGTGCAGCTTGCTCGAGAGCGCACGTGTCAACATCCTTGCAGGGAGATGTTTTACGAAGTTTGGGGATCTTTTTTCGTGCTAAAAAATTAAATATGAGCCCTTATACAAGTGTACCAAAATAGTAAACCAAGAGGGCCACCTTGCAAAAGACTATTGGCTTGTTTTTTTTGCCGAAGATATTTGAATAACATAACACTAGAATATAAATTAATTATTTTTTCGTTGTCATTATTCATGATATTGTCACCATCTGTTAAAAAGATGAGTGGCTTGAGGCATGCCGCCATCACCAGGTAATATTTTGTTCAAATGAAATAGTGAATCTTTTTTAATAGCCTCCCAATTCCCTAAAGCACCAATAAAACAGATATTCTACTCAACAATCACTTTAAACCAAACCCAATCCATAAATATAAGTTCCCAGCAGTAAGAAAGAGTCGTCCTTATTTTTCCAGTCACAGTCCCACCGCTGAAAAATAATGATTATAACAATAATAGCAATAAAAATAATGAAACCTCGGTAGCTTTTAATGAAGCGGGTAATCTAAAGTTTATGGAATGAGTAGAAGAAATACAGCTCGCTAAGATATCCATATCCTCTTTAATATTATAATAATAAACTCGACATTCTCACCAACACATAAAAAACTTTAAATTTCTTATAATAAATGTAGTGATATAAAAAATATAAAATGAAAGCTTCTCATTAATAATAGTGATTGTTATATTAGTCAAAAACCCTCTCTTTGGCGCTGTTCGGAAGCGTTGACGAGAGCACTTCCCATATAAAAAGAAGCAAAATTTTTCTGTTTTTTGGAAAAACTTTTGTCGTCACTAAAATTTTTGTTCTTCCCCACTTCATCGTATTGATTAAATTTTTTGATAGCCTTCAATGTGCCAGTTCTGAGTCCCTCAGAAAGTTGCTGTAAGCTCTAAAAAAATAAAAAAAAATTAAATTAAAAAACCTCCAAAGAATTTGCTGCAAAATTAAGTAGCAATTAAAATATATTCAAGTGTTTCTTAGGATGTAATTGAGGCTTTACTAATATTCAACGTGTATATATAAAGCTTGCAATAATATTAGAGAAGTATTGCTTACTATATATTATTTTAAGGAAAACTAATCTCTTTTTATACTCCAGTGAAGGTAATAAGAATAATAACAACTAAGATAATGAATGTTGAGGACCAAAGGATGCTTGTGAAGCAGACCGGCTTCTTCAGAGATGTCATCGAGCCTCACCGAAACGTTCCCGAACTTACGAGAGGCTCTAATAAACCGTTTTATTTCCGATTCAGTAAAATCGCTTCCTTTAATAATAATAATAATAGTAGTAGTAGTAGTAGTAGTTATAACACTAATCAGTAATAATAAACCGCTATTCACTAAAGTTTGCGATTTTTTCTCTAATGTTTTTCTCTTTAAAATCCTACCCTCCGCGGCGTCGTCCGATCTTCCGGCTAACCGCTCTACAGACTTGACTTTTCGGGGGCCCAAACAGTATACAGCCATCTATAAAACAAATTATCAACTTTATTCTGCACGAATTTTTTATTGGGGTTCCATAATTTTTTCTGCAAGTGCTTTTGTCTAAAATAAAAAAGGGCCTCACAAATTCGGAATCGTAGTGGTCCGCTTGAGTTTTCTGAATAACACTTTCGGGAATAATTTCATCCCAATTCTTCTCGAGCTCCCGCGTGGAAAAGTCCGCCACGTTGAACTGGGATAAAAAGTGCTCTCCTATTGGATGGGCATAGAAAATAAAAAAACAAAAAATTCAGTGATAAATATATAAAACCAGCAGTTTTTTCGATGCAGTCCTGCGTGGTCTCCGCCCTTTGCAAAATCTAGATACAGCAAGTTTTTCTATTAGTCGAATTTTCATATACGTAACTCTCTTTCATTATTATTAAGCTCATTACTATTATTATAGTTATTATGAATATCACAACTTCGTCGATATCAAGTTCCTCCAAGTTTTTCGTGGCTTTTTTATCTTCCTCTTCACTAAAAAGCTTCTCGGCGCCGAATTTTAAAATGGAATTCATCTCATCTTTATCAAAGGGAATTTTGTCTTTTCTTTTATTGGATAATATGGTTCGCCCTGCCATAAATAATAGCGATCAGCTAAAACTCACTTATCCAATAAACGGTGTTACTTGTACTATAAATTAATAGCATTAATAAAAGGTTGCAGTGTGTGCAATAAAGAGGCGCCAATGCCTTTATCGCTACCAAATTAACTACAACCCAAATTCACTATTTATGAAACGCCCCAAAAGTATAGGAGCCAGCGGTCCAAAAAGACCAGCTACCAGCCCTTATCCTTAAATAAAAACCCAATAAAGGGGGACTCCATTAATTATAATTAACCTGAGGCGTCCATTCGCTGTATTACCACGTGGTCTAAAATGAGCTTTTTCTTGGCCCTTTCGAAAATCTCTTCTTCGACCGACTCTTTGCTTAAAAGCCTGTCATACGTAGATGGAAATTCATAAAAAAAACATTCAGTCCATATAAACCAATATCGTGAAAAGGTAAAATCATTTATTATAATAATATATGAAACGGGGTCAGCGGCTACTACAAAAATAATGCATTAGTTTATCCCGTAATATTAGGGCATTAAATTAATTTTAGTCACTCCAAGCCAATAGAATACCGTATAAAGGTGTAATTGACCAATGAGTTTAAACCAGATAAAAATTTTTTATACACGTTACAGATATATTTTTATATATACCTGTAAATATTAACGACGTTTTTTTGGCCAATACGGTGAGCCCGCGCTTCAGCCTGCAAATCATTCTGGGGATTCCAATCCGAATCAAATATAATGACAGTATCGGCAGTGGCCAAGTTAATACCCAAACCACCCGCCTGCGCAGAAAAAATAATAATATTTATAATAATAATAATAATAATAATGAATACTTTAGTGGATAAAAGAAAGCAAAAGTCATCCGAATTGGGCCGGTTGAAGTGATCAAGCGCTCTTTCCCGTTGCTCGTTGCGAATGCATCCGTCCAGTCGCTGAAAGGTAAAACCTCGCAGGGTCAGATAGTCTGCCAAAATATCGAGCATCCGCACCTTTTATTATCCGTCATTATTATATATTATAACACGTAGGAAGAAATAAGAAACCATTTGCGAAAAGATAAGAACGCGATGACCAGTTTCCTTTAAACGGAGTAAAAGTTTGTCCAACAAAACAAGCTTTCCGCTATTCTTCACTATTTCCTTTAACCGGTCCGCTTCATTGGTGGTTTCGTGTTCCTATAAATAATGAGGTATTAATAGTCATAAGGACAGTAATAATAATGGTATACCTGAACAAGAAAAGGATGGTTGCAACATTTTTTAAGTTCAACAATTATATTAGAGAAAGATTTCTTCTGCCCTTTTGAGCTCAAAGCCTATAAAAATAAAAATAAATATTATTATGCTCTAAGTATAATGAATTTACCGCGTAGTTGCGACACAATATGAGCCGGTAAAGCTCCCTTTGCAAGCTCGAAAGCTCGACTCTCAATATTCGTTCCACTTTGTTGGGGAGAGACTTCTCTACATCTTTTTTGACTCTTCGAAGTAAATACTAACAGAATAGTATTAGTATTGTTATATTCACTATTTTTATATCCTTACAGGTCTCAAATCATTATGAAGTTCAGAAATTTGAGAGGTTTTATTAAGCTCGGATCCATATTTTCCTTGAAAATCTTCCCAACTACCAAACTTTTTGGGCATAATAAACCTTAAAAATTAAAGATATAGTAAACGTAATAAAATGAAATATGATAAAAACCTTAAAAGGGCCCACAATTCCATAAGAGAATTCTGAAGAGGAGTTCCTATTGGTAAAATTTTAATACATATAATAATAATAGTTTTTTTTCATAGCAAACATGCCTGTCACTAAAATAATGAAGTTGGTGTGAAAGTCGCTAAGAAAAGTGTGAAGTTGACTAAGATGGTTCTTTAGTCGATGAGCCTGACGTTCATGTATAAGAAAGTTTACATATAAAGTTTTAATAACTTCCGCTATATAATAAAATAATGAAAACTTATACAAATAAAAATTAATGTAAATTTCAAATAAAATAATGAAAAAATAATCAGTTATAAAAAAAATTAATTATTATTAATGAAAAAATAAAATAATACTGAGAAACACACAAAATACTTCATCCACAATCATCGCAGCCCATTGGATACGGCACAAAAGATTCACATCTTTTACGACAAGTTCATAAGTAGTCAGCAACGCGTTAAACTTGAGCTTCCCGTTTTCCGTGTAAAATTCCTGATGTAACAATTTTTACAATAATAATGAAATTAATCGAATAATAAAGTCTTAAACGCTAATAAAAAAAACACACGTGTTCTCTAATAATTTCACGCGATTGCCTATCCCCAACATATGTAACGCAGTTTAATTGGGGAACCCAAGCTTTGAATTCTCTCTGTAATATTGGTAATAAATAACGAAAGGAAAAAACTAAAAATAGTGATCCACCTGCCAGCCAACAATAGTGGACAGCGGAACGATGACCAGAAAGGGCCCATTTAGGTTATACTGGTACTGTAAATAACCTAATACCCAACAAGTAAGTAGTAAATACCAAAATAACGTAATAAAATAATGAACCCAAAAAAGAAACACATTGGATAGTCTTGCCGAGCCCCATTTCATCCGCCAGAATCACGTTGGAAGAATGGCACCTGAAAAGCATAAAAATAATGAATATATATATATGAGATAACAGAAAAAACCAAGCAGTATGAAGAAAATTGAGGCCCAATAGCTGATAGTCTCTCAATAGAAGCTTAGCAGACCCAATAAAAGATGGCTGTTTCGTTATTTCCCGAGCAAATGGGCGCCTTCTCAATACGGGACACATAAAGCTTAAGGTATTCATTATTATTATTATTACTACTATAATAATAATTATTATATACTTCGGAAGTCGCCGAGAGTTCGTTCGATCTAAATATTCGTCAATCAAATGCTGAAAATTTTTAAGATCTTCAACACTTTCCCACGTGCCTATAATAAAATAACAATGTTTACAAAAAAATTAACGGAAAAATAAAAAAACTATCGCTTTTCATTTTGTATCGCTTAATATTCATAAAAATTAATTAATGACACTTTTAAGTAAAATTTTAATATAAAATTTATTATGCCCTAAAAATGCGGTCTGCTATTTTTAAATATTTCGTCAAAACCCCAATTTTTAATTAAAACAGTAAAACTAGAGCAAAGTTTATAAAAAAATTCGAACTTTATTAAGCTGATCTTTATACCAACTTTCACAAACAAATTTGCAAAAAGAAAATTAGACAAAGAAATAAACAAAGTTCGAAATTAATGTACATAAATAAAAAATTAAAAGAAAATTTTAAATAAAATTAATCTATAATTTTTCAAAAATAAAATTAAAATAAAGGAAAAAAAAGTTTTTACGAACAAAATTTTTAGCATTTACAATTAAAATCTAAAATCTTTTTTAAAAAAAGCAGTGTTTCTAACAATCTCCTATGATTGGAAATAATAATTTTATTTTACTTATATAAGTTAGAAATTTATATAGTATAATAAAATATTAACTAGCAAGTCTGCCTATAAAAATCCACAAATTTTAATTTGTAATAAAGTTTTAGTTTTATAAAAAGTAATAAACCCATTAATTATTGTTTAATTTAATAATAAATTTTATAATTATGTTGAAAAACGTTTATTATTAATTGTAGTATTCAGTAAATCAATACTTTTTAATTACTTAAAATAAAATAAGTCAATGTTTATAATGAAAAAAGTAAACTTAAAAAAATATTAAAATATGAAAGCAACACCACAAGCTGCTAAATTCATAAAGAAATTCCAAAATCTCTTAAAAAAAAAATTAAAAAAGACAAAATTTAGATCTAAAAAACTGACAATCGGCGTACGGAAGGCCGAGCCACTTGCAAAAGTAAAAGGGAAGTATTTCTCCAGTTTCTTCCGAAATGCTTTCTTTATAGTTAATGATTCTCTCAACTTTTAAATGGGACTTCAAAACTTGTTGAGTCATTTCCTATCATTAATTTAATAAGAGGCGGTATTACATGGAATATATCTGCTGGAAAAAATTATAAAACAATTTAAAAATGATTTATATAGTCTGAAAGATATCTGAACGTAAAAAAGAGTATTTTGCAAAAAATTTACAACTCAGTTAAACCGAGAATACATAATAAATTATTAAAAAAAAATTTTATTAGATAAAAAACATATAAATGAATTAAAATAATAATTGAAAAAAAAAAAACTGTGCTAAAGGGCCGGTTAAAAAAATAAGCAAAAATTTTAGCATTATTTTCTTACAAAAGCTGTATAAAAAGAAGCTACAGTTATAAACTTAAAATATAAATAATTAATTTTTCCTGAAACTAATCTTTTTTGAATTTTAATTATAAATAGAATTAATTTCAATATAAAAGTTAAACCCTCTGAATAGCATTGAATTCGCAATCTTCTTTAGACCATACGTTGCGAATGCAATAGTCGCGCTCAGCAACAAGTTTTTTGTAGTTCAGTAATTTACCGAGTTTCACTAGCTTATGACCGAGATCTTCTTCTGACTCCCACGTGTTGTGGATATGAGACTGGCCAAGCCATTTGATCTTATAATAAACTACAAACAAAAGTATAAATTAAATTAATAAAAAATAATTAATTAAATTTCAGTATAAATATAATTTAGAAAAACTCTAAAATTAATAAAATATATTTCATTTAATTTATCAACAAGTTAATTTATTTATTACACATAAATTTGAAGGCATTTTATTAATAAAAGTTTAAAAAAACGTAAAGAATTGTTACTAACTTTGTGCTCACCAAAACTTTGCAAAATGTAGAGAAAAATAATTTAAAAAAAATCATAAACCAATCCCACATTTTTATAATTTAATTTCCTTAAAAAAAATTGCAATTATAAAAATAATAATCCATAATAAAAAAAACCAGTTTCTAAATCAACGCCCTTATAATCTTCTGAATTTAATTCATTACTCTCCAACAACTCTTTCAAAATCTTATGTTCGCAAATTTTTTCTAATTTTTAATTTAATTATAATATAATTTTTAAAAAAGTTAATGATACCAATTAAAAGTTGGTTGCTCTGCGTTTCATTAGCATCAGAAGTAGCACTATCCTGTTCTTTTTCAGTATATTCAGAAAGAGATTCAACTTCGCTTTCGGCGTAACTTTTAAAAATTAGATAAAACAATTTTTTTTAAAGGTAATGATTAAAATTAAATTGAAAAAAATGATATTTTATAAAAATCTTTAATCTTAACAAATCTCGGTGCAGAAAATAAACTAAGATTACCTTAATACTTAATGTTAGTTATTTATTAGTAAGTTTTATAAAACACCAAGAAATTCTGTTAAACAAATTAACTTACTAAAATTAATTAATTATACTTAACTTAAAAAAATTTCTACCTTAAATAAAATATTTTTATAGATAAATCTGAAATCATTATACAAATGTAAACCGTCCCGACCTTTTGACTTTGATATTTCGAGTGTAATAACGTGATTGATTTTCTCTACATACACCCCTCTCCCCTTGAAAATAAATTTATATTATCAATGAAAAAAAATTGCTGACAAAATTTATAACCATCTTCCCAGTAATTATTTTTCTTTCCAAATGAGAATTTATTAGATTTTTTTCTTTTTGCTGAACGTGAGTAACGAAGTGATTTACTGCTTTTTGCTAAATGGCGCAAGTGTTAAAAGTTTTTTTTAACAAAAAGGGATTTATCTGAAACTACTACAATCTTCCGACGAATGGTAATCCGAAATTTCATCTTCATCCTAAAGTCATAATTATTAAAGGCAATATAATAAAATGCAGACTTTTTATAGTTTATTAATAAATTTCACGTCGTAAAAATCTTCGTAATAGTCACTATCTTCATCAGTAGCCACTAGCTTGGTCCCTAAAAAAAATATAATGAGAAATCCAAACATTTATTGAAAATTTAGAACTATAATTATTATTCAAGCTTAAAGATTACCGGTAGAAATATTAAAAACTTAAAAAAAGTAAAACTGGCAACCTTTTCTATTATTTACTTTTAGATTAAATTCTGCATGGCGTTTAGGAGCATCAACAGAGTCTTCGTCGCTAACTTGGTATCGAACCATTCTTCTTACGCGGCTTGATCTTGAAAAGAATATAATAAACGTGTAAAAAACTGCTTAGAAATAGTTAAAATAATACCGTCTTTAACCTGCCATGCATAAATAAATACTAAGACGATCTAGAAAAATTACCTCCGTAGGCCCCATAATTCTGGATTATTTTCCCACTCTTCCACATCATTGTTTAAAAGTTTTGTTCCAAAAACGCCGTGTTTGCTTTTAACTTCGTTATAACTATTACTATATAATAAAATTATTTTTACTTTTAAAACTGTTGTGGTAAATATTTAATTAAATTTGTCTTTCATTCATATCTCATATATATATATACATATCTACAATCGCGTAACATTTAAATATAAAAGATAGTAAAAACAGCAATAATTACTCTGTAGCACTCGCAAAATAAGCACATGTTGAAACAAATTTTAAAACTAGAAAACTTTTAATATTGATAAGAAAAAAAAAACCAGACAAGAATCAAGAGAGTGCCTATTTAAGTAAAACGGATGATCTCTACTCTAATACTTGTGTAAGAGGTATACACTTGAATTTATAAACAAACCTCACTTCGAATTCCGAAAGCAAAGTTTCAGTAAAATAAAATAGTTTAAAAAAATTAGATAACTTACAAAGCAATATCTATTAACCGACGACCGAAATACAAGTTAATGAATATAACAATAAAACTTGGAAAGTACCACGTCGAGCCGGAAGCATGCAAGGACATGAAGAACGAACTACTACCAACTAAAAACGGGGCAAAGCAAAGTTCAACTAAAAATGGGTGGTGGTTAAGAAAAGGAATGTACGGAAGCGCACTCATTAGAGATGGTTACCAGTAGGATTTTTTACCCAGCCTTCGCCCACGCGGTTAGTAACGACTATAGTAGGTATGTTCATGTTTAACTTTATTCAAAAAAGATTGAAAAAGAGTAAAACGTTAGTAAAAAACAAATTATTAACATTTTTTTAAGGAATAAAGGTTTCTTATTGTAACACTTTGCAACAAAGTTTAGCTTTAACACTGCTTTTTTTAAGTAGGGAAGAAAGAAATTTGTACCTTTAACGAAGGAAAAAAAGACGTTTCTTTTACTTTTAAATGAGTTCCCAGTAATTTCTGCACAAGGATTTAATCTTTGCAGCCGGGTACTTTCGCAGCTACCTGAGGAATAAACGTTATGTTTTATTTATAATAAACCTAGCGTAAGCTATTTGGTCCTTATAAACTATATTAAACAAAGTTCTTATTATGTGACTTAGTAACTTGCAGTAAAGTTTTTAAAAAGAATGTTTGCAAGCTCCAGTGTTAAGCTCGTATGTTTTTAATGAAAAAGATAAGGTTTTTGGATGAAAGTGATTCCTCCCAATGAGCTATTTAAACTAATGTTTAAGTAACTTGTCTAGTCCTTAGCCTCTCTTACATTCAAAGATTATGAAACTTCCTACTTAGTTCCCTTAGACATTTCCTGTTTTCACCGATAGAGCCAAAAGGTACTCCCATATAATATTAAGGACGGATGACTTTTATCACGAGAACTTTATATATTTTCTAACTTTTTACTCAAGTTAAACTGTGACACAGTCTTTTTGTCTGATTAAAATGCTAAAGACTAGGAAGAAGCAACTTAACTCGGGTAACTTAACTTTCCGAAATGATTTAAACAAAGACGAGGAGATGGGAAAAAATCCTGTTTTAGCAATATAATATTTTTGTCATTAAAAAGGGGCCCCCCCTGTTAAGAATATGTCAATTTTAGTGTCTTACTTTTGGTGAGATAAATAAGTACTATTATATTTGTGTTTGTACTTATAAGAGGGCGCATGAGAAACTCTTGGCATACATATTACCATATTTGGTTTAATGAGGTCGAGATCGTGTATCCTTTGGCAAGTGGCAAATTGTTCTTGTAAGCTAGGGTACAGTATAGTCCACAAATCTGTTATGTTTTTAAAACCAATACCATTTTTATGTTCGCTTCAGTTATCTTGAGGGCTACAAGAATAAAGGTTTTGCATAACTTTTAAAAGTTAATTAATGTACCAACCACAGTATTTAAGTGTTTTTAAACAAAAACCTTATGACACGAATGGTAAAAAAAAATTTAAAGATGAAATGCAAGCTTATATAAAACTAAAATTTTACTACGTACTTATAATACGCTTTACACAAAAAATCTTAACTAAACGTTTAAATTTTCCATGCCTCTCACAACTATTTTTATTCTTTAGTTTTTTTTTAATCATGCGCTCGAACCCATAATCGTTCTTATAATAGTTTGTTTATATCCTGCGATATATTAAGTTACTTTGGAACCAATATAAGCTTTAAAAAAGTTTTTGAAGCAGTATTATTAAATCTAAAATAAAAAATAATTTAGCATGTCAAAAGTGGAATGAAAATATGTTGCTCGTCACCTACTATTTGTGCAGCTATTAAAAAAAGAAAAGTTTAATTAATAGCGATTATAAATTAAGCCGAAGTCTCTGCGCAGAACCTCGATGACCCGTTTCAAAAAAAATCGTACTTAAGATTGCAATAACTATTTGACTAAAATAATATGCGTGTGTCTACGTAGATGTTCAAAAAAGTGTACCGAAGTTAAAATAGTTGATTTGCATTGTTATATAATAGATTTTTGCGCTAATGGTTTTTTGTTAATTTTAAAAAACAATCTTCCCTATGTTTTTATTTGTTTCTAATTGGTTGCTTTTTATACAATATATAAATAGAGATTCGAATGCAACAATTCTACGGTAACTGTTATTCGCCTGACTTTTTTAAGGTATAACTTGTACTCACTAAGACATTTTATAGAACTTGGAATCAGATGCCTTATATAATATAATATTTGACAGCGCTTTCAACTTAGTTCGGTGCTTCATTAGTTTACATCAACAATGAACTAAAAAAACTTTATCTCATATGTAAATTTTAGTAGGTCAGCAAGCTTATTTTCTATGATAGTAAATTATAATAATTTTAAACAACTTGTATTGACACTATGCCTCCTGTCTGGAGCCTTCCCGTATTAGTTAAAAGCCACGATAAAATATGCACCACCGTTTAAATGGGGACAAAAAATTAATAGTGAACTTAAAGACTAAACTACTTCAACCATTTCTCCAAATACTGAAGATAATATTAATTTCAAATGTCTACTACAAATTGCCGTCTTCACCAACTCGTTTTATCAGACATTTTTTAAAAAACAACGCTAAAGCGCCCCACCACTTCACTTTTATTATCTATTAGTTTATTTATTTATCATTCCAACAGGTATTATACCAAATATGTATTTTTAATTAGTAATTTAAATCTTCCATTAGATATCGTTTTTAAATTAACCGTTACTGATTTGCTTGTCAAGGTTCATGTGAGTCATGAGCTTTTTTAAACTTTTTTCTGTTAATTCATTTTGCCTTTATTTAATTATTGATTAGTTTGTTGTTTAATGAATTTTTTAATGTTTTTATGTATATTTAAATTGCTTTAACCGCAGATATTATAAAATGTACTATCAATTAATTTTCTGAATACGGTCTAATCCTAATGATATAAATTATTTGCAAAATCAAGCAGTCTACGCAGGTGCACAAATCATTAATCATAAAAATTTGTTAATTTTCACCAAAATTTCTCTTTGTAGCTATGTATAACATTAAAGGTTTAATTACTTTTGCTACCCCAGCCCCCAAAACTACACAAGGATCTTTCTTTTCACCCTTGACCTCTCGACTTTATGTGCGCGGCATGCCGCGGTACACACAAGCGAATGGTGTCTTATACACGAACGATACCGTTGTTACTGCTTTTCACCTAGCCAAAGTTGCCGGCCTATTGAACTAGCGTCTGCAGTACCAACCTAGTAATGCTCGCCGGTTTCTGTCTTCTTGAAAAAGTACTACTAATGCGACAAAACAGCAAAAGCTTTCATCACGAAAAGCGGTATTTCACCTCCACTTTTGCTGACCTAAAAAGGTCAGTTGGTGTCTCACAGGCGAAATATTTAGAGGTCTCTGTCAAGGCGGCCGCACATAGACCATGTAGCGGTGAAGGTTCAAGGTAGAGGCTTTTAATCTGCATATCTTTTACTTTTTGCCAAGCAAACCCTCTTAACGCAACAAACGGTTGTGTGCAAGAGGGCGCCCCTGCCGGCTAACTACTTGACTTCTTGAGTTGCCCTAAATACAGGCGCTACGGTGATTTGTAAGCAGTAGGTTGGGTCGTATTACTTCCTTCTCCCTTAAGCGAGCGCCCACCCGGTGTGTTGGCGTATTTAACACTCCTAAAGTCGCCTAAATAATCACTTGTAAATTAATAACATAATTGAGCGCAACTACTACACTGTAAGGTAACTCTATAATACTTTTAAACGGTATAACTCTCACGACAAAAACAGTTAGCTTTTTTTCCTTTATACTAAGGAAGCTAGAGGTATGAAACAGGCAGAAGATTAACTTTACTATCTTCAAAAACCTAAAAGTGTATTATTGCTCTTAGGGCAGAAGACAATAATTCTTATTTTTTTAATTTTTTTTATAAAACATCACATGTTGTATGAAACGATTCTAGAATTTATGAGACCGAAAAAGTGAGTCGCAGCAGTGGGAATCGAACGCACAAACCTTGAGTTTGCGCGGGAGCCCTCTTAATGACTGAGACGACAACTTTCGAGCGTGGTATGACGGTTTTAGGTATCTAACCTGTTAAAATGAATCTTCTGTTACGTAACCAAATAAAAATGTTTAGTAATCACATACAGCAAGCTTCATTGAGATATTTTTTAAGGGTTTTTTTAATTTAATCATAAAAGCAGTAAATAGTTAAAAAAACACACGGTAATTTAACGTTAGTTGCAAGTCATTTAATAAAACAGGAAAAGTTTCTTTTAAAAACATTATAACTTTACGTTTTTAAAAGAATAGCAGTATCAACCCCTTGCTGAACCTTATTTAACTTTGTTATGAAGAGAGTTTGTCACCAAACAACTTGTAGACCAAACTAAACTTTTGCAAACTCACTGACCTCTAAACCGTAAATAAATTGCTTTTGTTTATTTGCATAAAATAAGGAAACTTGCATTAATGAAAAAATTTGTATATTTGAATTTTTACAATTGGTTAATAGAAAACTCAAAACAATAGTTATGGGGAATATTTGGAATCGCAAAGGTCAGGGAGAATTTATGCTTCTATTGGTTTAATAAATTAAGCATTATCTGGTCAATTTGTTTAAACTCTTTGAATGGCTTAGCGCAAATCATAAAACTAAAAATAATGAAATGTCATTGAATACTTTTTCATAAAAACACTTTTATTACCACTTAAACATTATACTATATTATTCACTAAGCATTTAAATCAGCTGTAGTCTCCTTTTGCCTAGTTTGATTGAATACTGAATGGAAACCATTAACAATTTTTTAAACGTTCAACAAAATATTATGAACAATCATTTTACTTTTTTCAGTACTTTTACATAAAAAATAAGATCAAACTAACGCTTCGCTAAATTCGTTCATTGGAGGTAACCTCAGCACCTATAAAAACTCCAGTTTTTCTTAAACTTCTGAGTCTTCTAAAGTTTCTGCTATGCTTAGGCCGTTTCAGAAGACATCATACTCGAGAAGCTTGCCGTGTCTTCGCTTTGTTCTGCGGTGCGCACAAACTTTAGCCGAGAAGTATGCCAAAGCAAGGGTAGGCCTTATATGCAGCATTTTATAATTTAAGGGTGCTTAGTTTCTCGAGCCTTCTTTTTAAATCCTTAACATAGTGTGGTGCTGCTGCATGCCTTGTCTAAATTTATCTTAAGTCTCAGAGTAGTTATTTTTAGAAAGGCCACACTTAAATTAATTACATTTCACTCTTGTTTTCTTTACTTATAATAATTGTTAAAAAGTTTATATAAGCAAAAGTTACTTATATATTCAATTTTATTTACCTTTATTATATTTTATTAGAGTACTGAGCCCAATTTTCTAACATGCTCTGGAATATTTTTTGATAAGGCGGCAGGTACCTTTCTATAAAAATCATCTTGCTTATAATCCGGGAACAATTTTTTATTTTTTTTTTAGCCTTTCATAAAAATATATCGCCTGGATTACTTAAACATCTCAAGACTGTAGATTGCGTCTTAAGAGTAACTTTTGCTATCGAGCATGAAGGGGACATTGAAGTCATAACAGGCTACCGAGCGCAACATAGTCGACATAGACTTCCAGTTAAAGGAGGTTACTAACACTTTTAAAAATTCCAGCGGAGATTGTTAAGCTTTTGCTTGTATGTGAAAACAGGAATTCGGTATTCTTTGGATGTCGATTTGCAAGAAGTTGAGGCTCTAGCAGCTTTGATGACTTACAAGTGCGCCGTGGTCGACGTTCCTTTCGGTGGAGCTAAAGGTTTTTAAATTTGTATCACTTAAATTATAGTTCTTTTATATAATATCTTTAATTAAACATCAGTTTAAATTACTATTATTTATAGTATATTAAATTATTTTATTATATATATTTCTTAAACAAGTATAGTCGCGTGCCTTTAAATTTACTTATATAAAAATATATTGAGCGGAATTTATAATTTTCAACCAGTTTTTAAAGACGAAAATATTTTACTTTATCTAATTTAAATCCCATTTAGATTATAATTTAGATAACTTTTTCTTTGTTATTCATACAAAGTTATAGAAAAATTATGTTTATTACCAATTTAACTACAGGAGGGATTTGTATCGATCCTAAAAAATACTCTGTGGCTCAACTAGAAAATATTACTCGTCGTTACACTATGGAACTCTGCCAGAAAAACTTTATCGTAGGAATTAATTTCATTTTTGATTTAAAAATTTTTTAAGTTATTTTACTTTGTTATGGTTACTTATTTAAGAAAAGTTTTAGTAAAGAAAAAAGATCTGAATCACCTGTATCAAGTTTTTTTTATCCTCTATTACTTTATTAAAGTGTTAGTGTTTATAGATATTAAATAATTTATTTCTAAGGAGAGCAATTTTCAGAACTAATTTAATAAATTCAAAGACTGATAATACTAAATTAAAATGGTTATCAGCAATCCGCCAACTGGATAGTGCGAGCGAACCATCTTCGATTTTAATTAGTTTTCAGAGCTGCCAAGATTTTTATGGTTTTTTTTAGCTTAAGACAGCACGCGGGCAACTTCCTTACATTCAATTGATTTTTAAGTTCTATATATTATGTGGAAGCGCATCATCTTTTGACCTTCATATTGCGCGAATAAATTTTTATTATTTTAAATTTAATTTAATTGTTTGAAAAAATCTAATTTATGTAGCTTATACTTACGCAAATAAAAAAGAAATTAAAAAATTATTTCAGTCAAACTATTTTTAACTTTTTGATAAAATTTTTATATTTTTAAACTGTTTAGGGGCCCGGATTGGACGTTCCGGCGCCGGACTTGGGCACGAGCGGGCGGGAGATGGCGTGGATCAAAGACACTTACCAGCAATTTAACATCAACGACGTCAATTCTTCTGCTTGTGTTACTGGAAAACCCGTGACCCAAGGAGGTCGTATAAATTTCTTTGGATTTTTTATTTTAAAAAAAAACCCTAATACTTTTTTTCAGCACAATTAATTTTATGTAATTGTTGCGATTGACTTTTTATTATTATTAAAATAGCTATAAGTGCTCACGCTATTTACTATATTTTCTTACAAAATTGATTTATCAACTAAAAATTATTGGCAAGTTTAAGAAAATTCTTTGAGAGATAATTGAATAACGATCATGAAATTTATATTTTTTATTTAAAATTGTTTTAATTAGAGTTTGTGCCTTTAAATATTTTTATATCTGGAAGTTTATATAAAAAAGGAAATTCAATTTTTTATTACCAAAAAAGTAAATCTGTGTTGAATATTTTGTTTTGTAAAATAGGAAGCGGCAATCATAAATAGTAAACTTTTACTAATTTGAAAAATAATAGTTGTTTTATAATAATTTAAATTTAATTTCTTATTCTCCAAGAAGTAGGGCTGAACCATTTAACTGCTAAATTATTCACAACAAATTTGCGAAACACAAATTTCTGAATATAAAATTTTTTAACGGAATTTAGATATTCCAAATTAATTTTAATTACGATTTTTATTTGTTTTACTAACACGGATAAAACTTATTGGTTAATTATGGCAATACTACGCATGGAGTATTTCAAAGTTTTATTTAAATGTTTTCACAGGCGTGCGTGGTCGCACTGAAGCGACGGGAATGGGTGTCTATTTTGGGATTCGTGACTTTCTTCAGTTTCCATTTGTCCAGCAAATGACAGGCTTAACTGTTACGCTCATTATCATAATTATAATTTATTTTATAATAAAATACTTTTAAAATGTAAAATTATAAGGAGACTATTACGCTTATGCTTATAATTATATTTAATTTATTTTATAATCATAATACCTACAAATTTTTAAAATTTTTAAGGGCGGGATCGAAGGGAAAACCTTTGTGATTCAAGGCTTGGGAAACGTGGGCTACTACACTGCAAAATTCATCAGCGAAGGTTTCTTGCGCGCTCACTTTCTATTGGATTTTGTTACTTTTTTTTTTATAAATTCTTTTTAGGCGGAGGCAAAGTGATTGCCGTTGCGGAGTGCAACGGGGGGATCGCCCATCCGGACGGCCTTAATGTAAAGGACGTCTATACTTATTGGAGGAACTACGGCACATTCGAAGGTCCCTAAGAGACTGCTTATGCCTGGCGTAGCGGATTAATTTCTTATAAAGGATTTCCCGATGCGAAATTTTTGGAGGATCCATTGCTGCCTCTGGAAATGGAATGCGACGTTCTCGTGCCCGCCGCCATCGAAAAAACAATTCACGTGGGAAACGCAGATCACATCAAAGCTAAAATTGTGGCAGAGGCGGCAAACGGGCCCTGCACTCCTCGTATATTGCGATTGTTAAATATCAAATTAAATTGCAACAATAATTTTAATTCAATTTTTATATAATTAATTTGTATATAAACATTTTTAAATTTTGTTTTATAAATAATTATATAAAATTCAGGAGCTCAAGAGATTCTTGCCAAGAAGCGAGTTATTATTATTCCAGATTTGTACCTCAACGCTGGAGGTTCGTTGATTTATTTTTTATTTTCCCTCGTTATGTTTATTGACTCCTTAATTTCAGGTGTTACTGTTTCTTACTTTGAATGGCTTAAAAATTTGTCGCATGTTCGCTTTGGCCGGCTTGTAAGTGACCTGCATTTATTTTTGTAAGTAAATGTGGCTCTTGAAATATTGATTGCAGAATAAAAAATGGGAGGAGCACAGTAAATCTCTTTTGGTTAATTTTTTAGAAACCCAGGTTAATCGGAAACTTTCCGAGCGAGAAAGCACGTCTTTAGATTATTTTTGAAATTTTTAAAAAATTTAAAATTTTAAATATTGAAGGGAAATTAGTTATTTATGGCGCTAAAGAAGAAGACATCGTTTATTCCGGATTGGAAGACACAATGTATAATGCAGGCGTGGAGATCGTGGAAACGGCTGAGAAACTGGTTGTTCCTATACTTTTTCTTAAGCGTTTTATGGCTTTTTTAAAACCAAATTTTGGCTGGATTCAGAATTGCGATCTTCGAACTGCCGCAATTTATAACGCTATCTCGAAAATTCAAAAAGTTAGTTACGAATCAGGAATTATGTTTTCTGCGTAGAATGCTTTTTTTAAGTGATAATAAATTTTAAACTTTTATTTTTAACGAAATCATATACGTAAAAGTATTGCTGAAATGAGTTTTCCAAAAGTTCAATTCTTTACATTTTTGGGAATCTACGTTACTGCAACATATGATTTACTAATATCTGTGTCCTTAATTACAATTTAAAATTATGATAACTTTAAAAAAAGATAATTTTTTGTCCCCAATCGATGTATCGAAAGAGATTCAACTTGATAGTATTCTTAAAAACTTCACCAAAGTTTAAACTTTATCGACTTCAAAAATTTTTTTATAAGATTTCTTTAAAAAGGAAGCAAAGCTTTTTTAATTCTCGGAAAAACTTGAAAAAGCAAAAACTTTTTGAGAGATTTATAATTTTATAATTTGATTGTTTTTTTATTTATATTTAAGAGCTCTCAAGTTATGCCGCAGAATTAAATATCTCGATCACCGACTTTAACTTTAGTTATTCGTATAAAAATCAAAATATGATTTATCCATCAGAGAGGCTCCCTTTATGTATAACAGCATTGTATACTAATTGTATATACTAAATTACACGAACAACGTTTTGAAGCATTTAACAATATTTAAGGCACTCTTAGGGTATGACGTGTAGTAAAACTTTTAACCGTTTCGTTGAAAGTTACGAATAAAGTGTTAAAGAGAAGAAAGTTAAAATAAATAAAAATTACAGTCCTTAACTCCCTTTCAAATTGTATAAGCAAAATAAAATAAAAGAGTATTTTTTTTTGGAGCAAAATATTTTGTACTTGTAACAAAAATCAATTATTTAATTTGCTGGGTTTTTAACCAGTGTACTGCTGGGATGGGTATTGGTATCGATTAAAAACTTTCAATACCAGATAAATGCACGTGCGCATTCAAAACATTATTTTGCAAATGTTATATAAGCCCCTTTCAAGGCTCAGGAAAAGCTCCGGGGGGTGTAACTGGTTAAGATACGTAAAAACCATCTTGCCGGAGGGGGGGATTGCACAATAAATCTCGCCCTCATGAAATCTGGTAGAGTGCTCTAGGGGAAAGCGCTTCAACCCTCCCGTTCTGGGAAGTCATATCCATAGGAACTTAGTACTACGGTGGGTGACCAGGAGGATAATTACTTTCCCCAGAAAGTGGAGCAGTTGTGGTACTTTCCGTCTGGAGATCTGCGCATGTTATCTAGCGCTCGCATAAAAACTAAGCGGTTCGCGCTTGACTTACAGAGTATCCGCAGAAGTCCTTTACTAAAAAAAACAGGAATGACTTCTTAGTTTTGGCCCTTTGGGTGAGTGTGCGAACCGCCGTTCTACCTTTAATAAAGCTTTTTTGTTTCGTAGTCTATTGATCGTCAGGGGCGAATAAACACCAGTTAACTGAAGACCATTGAACCATACCATCATTCAGTTGAGTAGTGGAGTTGTTTAGTTTTTTCTCACTATTTTTCACTTAATGCTCTGGTGGCTCCTTGTAATTTACTAACTGCTACAATTTTTAAAAACCAATAAATTGAACTAAAAGCGATTTATACTCTAGACGAGCGTGAAAGCGAAGTAATATAGAAATTATAAAAAAAAAAACAGCCAACCATAAAAACATACTTTAATGGCATTCTTAAATTCTTGGATTTACAAATTTATAGTTTTTGTTAACTTACAAACTAATAAGGTTGTATTGAAATTGCTTTTTTTTCTATCGAATTGCTTTAGTCTATTTTTATGTTTTACGTTTCAAGAAAGTGTAGTAAACAAAAGAACCAACAAAAGTAATAAATATTAAAAGGTAGCCTATAAGTGAAGGAGAAGAAAAAAATTAAGTACAAATGCAGCCAACAAAAGTTTTATTACTTTATAGTGATTATCTTTTTCTAGTCGTTAAAAAGTTGATATTTCCTTTTTAATCAAAGCAATTTAAACATTTGCAAGATCAGCACCACATTCAAATATTGTTCTGAAGTAATTCTGGTATTGGATTTCCGCAAGGAAGTTTGGTAGAGGGATCAAACAACTCACTAAAAAAAGTTGACTCCAGCGCCATCTTCGCTGACAGCCGCTTTAGAGGATTATACTTTAAAAGACTTTTTAAAAATTCAAAAGTGTCCTCTTCAATTTCAACAAATTTTAAAATCTTACAAAAATTACACTGAATTATTTTCTTAATTAAAAATAGAATCGTGCACATGACAGTGAGACCTCAGTCCAAGAGCCCTTCCGCACTTCCAAACCAGCGAAATCCGCGTAAGAAGGATTCATAGAAATCATGTCCTCTGAGGTAGGCGTACCCAAGATCTTTGTGATGCCCAGCAACTGCTTAACAGTCGTTTCTCCTGCGAAAAGTGGTCGGCCCACGAGCATTTCCCCAAACACTAGAATATAGAATTAGCAGAGAATTTAATTCTAAATTAACAAATTTATATTTTTTTAAGCCCGACCGCAACCAGCAGACCAGTTGTCCACCGCCGTCGTGTAGTCATTGGCATCAAAAAGTAATTCAGGAGCTCGGTAGTAGCGAGAGCAGATGTAAGAAATGCTGGGCTCTCCCTCCACTAATAACTTGGCACTGATAGTTTAGACAAATTAAAATCTTTTTCTTTGAGAAACATAAACAAATTTTCTTTGAGCTCAATGAATAGCAGACTTTTATAAATTTTATAATCAAAAGACGAAGAACAAAAAGTGTAAATAATAAAGTCGCTAAAAAAAAAAAATTTCATATTACAAACACTAATACCTGCCGAAATCGCAAAGTTTCAAGATTCCAGTTTTTAGATCCACTAATAAGTTTTGCGGTTTAACGTCTCTATGGCAAATCCCCAGAGAATGCAGGTAAGCGAGCGAACTAAATAATTGGTAGATGTATAACTACAACAAAAATATGAAAATCACAAAAAGAAACCATCTAAAAATATATATAAATATTTTTAAAAGTTATTGAGCCAGCAAAATTTAAGATTATTTAGTTTAGTTTTGATTTTTTTTTTTTTGTATTAAGTTTCCTTCTAGTAAAAAGTTTTTAAAAAATGAGTAAATTTGCTAGCTTTGGAATTAAGGGATCAACGGCAAAAAGTTTAATTGTAATTACGCGGTGAAAAATACATAGAAGTCGAAAGTGTAAATTTTTATAAATATATTAGAATTAAAAATACTGATTAGCTATAATCTTTCATAAAAAGGTTTTAAATAGTATTCTGTTTAATATAATCTTCTCGCTGTTTTACTTAAAATGTCGTACAAAAATAATATAAATGTTTAGTACTTTACTAAGAATTAAGGGCATCTGTTCTCCTTTTTTTAAATAAAATTGACAAACATTTGCAACTGTGGTTGGAACGTACTCCATAACAAGATTTAAGAAAATTTTCTAAAAAAAAAAAATAAAGATTAATAAGTATATAAGAAGTATCAACAATTAAATAAAGCAAGCTCACATCTTCAACATTCGTAAAAAAAAAGTATTCCATCTTGATTATGTTTGGATGCCTTAGTTCTTTAACCAGCTGCAGTTCTCTATTTCGGTATTTTGTGTTCTGTAAAACACTTTTGATGGCAAAAAACTCAGATCTTCCAGTAAATTTTACCTAAAATTAAATTTATATGATAGTTAAAATAATATTATGACAAAATCAGTTTAATAAAAAAATTATTTCCAAAGAACAAAGATTTGAAAATTAGAAATGAAAAGATCCACAGAAAACATAAAAGGGAGTGCCTGCTTCACGACGCCAAAAGAGCCAACTCCTGCAACTTTTATTTCGTTATACTCAATTTCAGCAACTTGTCCAGCTGAAGAGGTAGCTTTCACCTTCTTTATTCCAGCGTCTACATTTTCTAAATAAAGATTGTATAAAGGAAATTGATAAACATAATATACTTTAAAGTACTTAATAGATGGTGTTCCATTTACAATTTGCTTTGTCTCCCTTAGAGGTAAAACTTTCCGATTCCATATAAATCACTTTTACTAACTTTATTTTTTAATTAATCACTTTTAGATATTAAAAGTGAAATACGGATACAACGTAAATAACTAAGTAGGGCTCTATATAGCATATTACTATAACCTAGCAAAATTTCTTAACCCAAAAAGGAGGAAAATTTCAAAAAGGGGTGTTTATATAAGATTTTGCGTTTAAATATTCTGTAAAGCCCAAAAGTGGTAACAAACAATCGGGGACCCAGTGTAGTCGTTAGAATAAAGTGTGATTTTAAATTATATTCATATTAACTGTTAATATTAATTATAGATAAAAAATGATACAGAATAAAAAAATATTGATCTTAAAAAGTAAATAGTATGTAAGCATTATTGGTAAAAATATTATATAAAGCTAATGAAAATAACTTTTATTAGACCAGAAAGGCTTTGATACAAGTAAATATATTTAATTTATTTAAAGAGAAGCCATTTTTTTAGACGCGAGTTTGGTTAAGATTATTAAGCGCAAAATATGTTATAATTAGATCATCAAATTTAAAGTAAGCTTTTTTAATATAAAAAATATTTCATCGTTAGGGTTGGCCAATAAAAACGAGCAATAGGGTCTATCTATTCAAGTATAGTGGAGATTTTTGTTTAAAAAAGATGCTGTATATCGCAAGTAAATGACCTTTGACTTTTCTTAAATAGACAACATACTTTTTATATACTGCATAATTCCCACAATAATTTTTACATATTTTCATGTGTAGAAAAAGATCCCCGTTTATCTATTTAATACAAAGTGTCAATTTTAGCCAGTCACCTTCTTGAGATTATTATAAAAGATAGTTTTGGCGCATTAGATAAGACATGTTCAAATATAATAAACACCGATTTCCTGGTGTTAGTCCAGGTGGCCCAACATATTTCGCTGTTTAGGCGCCTGCCTGAGCGGGGCCCTCGGGATCTATATGGGGGCTTCTCGAGATTTAAAGTGGTGCCAACTTAGAGAAGCTAATTTTAAGAAAAAGACAAATTATAAGCAGTCGACTGGTTTTAACCTCCCTTGAGGCTAAAAAAATGAGCAGAAGGGTTAAACATTCAAAATTGTCAAAATTACATATTACATATATTTAAGACTGCTATGCCGTGGAGCTCTCGTGTTAAGCACTTAGGTGGTTATAATGGATTAACTTGAAACGCTCATGTTGAGAGCTAAGAAAAATTAATGCTGCCAGGAATGCCCTATATCCATTGATATGCAGGCGCAGCAAGCTCCAACTTGAAAAGTAAACTGCTTTTATATGGAATTCACAATTATCCCATTTATGATGTATGCTTCTGTTTGTCGGTCTTACTTTGAGAGTCTTAAAAATAGGCTACAGATTTTTAAAACAAACCCCTCAGAATAATCACAGATGCTCCATAGCTCATGCGTATTGCTCGGTTACATCGAGACCGGCAGATGCAAACAATCTAAACTTTGTGCTTTAAAATTGTATAGGTTACCTCAGAAAACTTAGTGGCTTTTAAAAATTCGTTTAAAGGAAAAGTAAAGCTTTTAAATCATTCTGAGTAACAATAGAAGTAAAAATGAGTAACGTTTAATAGTAAAGTCGTAATGTGTCTCGTTATTTTTAACTTTTTGAATAGTTAGAACTGGCATTATTAAGAGTACTGTTAACGATATCTTTGGGTAGTGTTTGTTCTGTAAGGTAAATTTCAAAGCTCATATTTTCATTTTATATAAAATTGTACGATCAATCACTTCTAAGTTTTTTTGATAAAGCTGAAAGTGAGACTTTGCTTCGTGACATACCTAAATTTATAGTTGCATTTTGTGAACTGAGTTTTTAAGAACTTTTTCAATATTTAACAAAGCACTTCATTCCCCTTAGAGTTTAGTTACAAAAAACTGAGTTAATACTTGGATTTGTACTTCCATAATAAATAAATGCAAAAAGCAAAATTAGAAATAACTGAATGACTCAGGCCGCTTCTTTGAAGTTTTTTCGAATTAATTCAAAATTGTGATTTTTTTATCATTTTCTGTACTTCAAGTGGGCGTAAAATTCAACCATTGACTGCCAATGACAGTATAAAAACTAGCTTGAAAGTGTAGAAATCTTTTACTTTTGCTTGTCACTGTATTAAAGATAACCTCGTCTTCATTGTATTAGTTTAAGGAAATACAAAAAGATTAGATAAATTGTGGGGTAACGTAAGTCCATTATATTATATAAAATAATATACTTTTTACCAGAATTACTCAAGTGCGGCAAATTTTTCAATAAATTGAGTATAAAAAATTTGGTTGGTAAAAAAAACTCTGTAAAGTGAATATATTTTCAAACTTTGTTCGTATTTAAGATTTTTTTAAAAAATAGCGTACATAATTCAGCGATATCAAATTTGACAACACCTTGCCGAGTAGAAAGATAATTAAAAAAATAAACTTTGACCTTAATATATGATAAGTTTTTTTTATAAGTATGCCAATACTTCAAATAACTTTTTTGCTAAGCATTATCAAGAATAATTTCTTTTTCAAGTGCTGCATCGTTTTGTACTTAACCCTTATTTTAGGAAGAGAATGACTAAGAAATTTAAAGCTCTAATTTCTCGTGGTAGATCCCCGCCGTATAAAAAAAAAATTGGACATTAAATTTATGTTGATTGTCTATGGTAGACTGACTAAGAATATGTTGCTTATATCCATAAGAGATTATATCACAAAATTTTTTTTTTTTACTAATTTTAAAACTTCAGAATCTTTTAATAACGGTTTTATAAGATTTCTTTGATGTAAGTCTCAGTGAAATATAATGTGGCTTAGTCTTTTATTATTCACAGGCCTAATTAGAATTCGGAACTTTAATAACTTTTAATAAACCGATTAATATAATCAGAAAAAAAAAACAAGTTTGAGCGTTAACTGTTCAAGTTGCTTCATTATTTACAACTACATCTAAATTTGTACACAAGCTTAACGCTTGCGCTAATTCTAATTCGCCGTTGGTTTGAGAATTTTTTATTAGTTCGCGAGCATATTCAATAGCAAGAGAAGAAATTTTATCGTCGATTAACTTCATCTCCTATAAAATGAGTATAAAAAGTTGTAAGGCTAATAAAATGTATTAAATAAATAAAATATTAGTTCAATGTTTTTCAAAAAAAAAAATTATGTATAAGATTGTTTGACAGAGTAATATGTTTTTGTTAATCAAAGTAAAACATTAAAGTTAGTATAGCTTTAAACTTTGAACCCATTAAAAGGAAAACTTTTTTTTTTAAAAGAACTGTACTTGCTTTCTCAATAGATAGCAATGGTTACAGGATTGATCTTTAAAAGTTTGGGTTTCAAAAAATTGATAAATATAACTTAGTGCTTAAAACTGGAAGCAAAAGGTCTAATTTAATTACCCTAGAAAAAAAATTTTGATAGTATTTTTATATTCCACTGAAATAATTTATAATTAAATTATATTATAAAGGGGGAAAGGTTACTTTTCACAGAACAACTTTTGAAAAAGATAAATATATGAAAGATATAAAATTGGACAAGAATTTTAGAGTCAACACAATTATTTAGATTTCCTTTGTTACTCTGTAATAAGTATAAATTGAAATTTAGCCAAACTTTAGTAGCCTGCTTAAGAGATTCAGTAATAACATCATATTTATTTTCAGACTCTACAGGCTGAACAGATGAGCCCTTTTGGGAAGATCCTGGAGGTTCCACGTAGAGTTGGCCGTCCTTCAAGAAGGCTCTAAAATTTGATATTTCTGTACAAAAGAATTTGTAATTTTAACAAGTTAAAATCTTTTTTAATAATAATAAAAAAGGCATCTCTTTAAACTTTTTAGTTTGACAAAAGTTTTAATTTTCAAAAAAGGCTATTGCTTTAAACTATTACCCACAAAATTTTTTCATAATTCAATAACTTATAATAAATGTATATATAATAAAGCTTAGTAATGAGATTTTCAAAACCTTTGGGGGCTTCCCTATGAGCAGTCTCTCGGTTGCGTTCTCTGCGCTTTAAATCTTTAACCAATTTATCTAATTTTTTACTAATAAAAAAAATCGTCGTGTCGGTGTTATCAGCTATGCATCGCCGATTTCTTCTTTCTGAAGGTATAAATAAGCATATTACCTTCAGAATATTTTGGATTTCTTAAATAAATAGGAAATGTGATTATACTTTGTGCATTTTTAAATTTTCTTTATACTAATTCTGTTTTTAAAAAACAAATATGATAAGGTAATAAAAACTTTAAATATAAATCCTTATACCAAATTCACAACATTTGTTATGTTTTGTAACAAATTATTATGCTGCAACAATTTATTATATGTTGTTTACTCATTAAAACCAAAATTAAAAACGTTTGAGAAAAATTTTTAAGTTCTCTCAATTAAACTAAACTTCATAATTTTTTATCTTCTATAAAGTTTATACAAGAAGTGTATTTCGAGAAGTCAAACTTTACTCGAATGCAAGAAAGCATCTTTAAGTTCATTAACAAACTATCAATCAAACTTTGAGTATAAATTTGCGGTAAAAAGGTAATATAACAAGGGACGCTAAAGTATTCAATGCCAGAAAGAGTCTTATAGTGATGAATAAAACAAATGTTTAATCTTCTGATAATTAAAGTTGCAAAGTATTTTCCAGCAAAAAAAAAATAGTAAAAATTTCTAATATTTTTTTTAAAAAACAATTATTTGTACTTAATAGAAATTTCGCCTACTTTGGTCGATTTTACAAATATATAAAAATTCAAAATACAAAAATAATTTTATAAACTTTTTTAATAAATATTATTAACGTGTAAATAAATTAGGTTCATTATATATATATTTATATAAAAAAAACCGATGAATTCTGCAAGCGAACGCATAAAGTTAGTTTTTGCCGTGGCCACGTGCTCAGCTCTATGCGATAATAGAGAAGCGGAGATTTTTTTCTTGCAATTCAAAATCCAATATTTAAAAAGCGTCTGTATGACACGTGCTGCGTCATGTTTCTCTTCGATTCTTACTTTTTTCTTCTTTTTCATCCTTTGTGTGTGCAATGCAATCGCTAAATAGTAAAAAAAATAGAATAATAATAACTTTGAAAATTATTTTTTTTAAAAAAATTTAACTGAAATTTATAGCAACTTGTAGGAGAAAATCATATAATTATTTACAAATTAAAATTTTATTTAATAACTTTATAAAACCTTGAACATGGACGGAATAATAAAAGTAAATTTGAGATTTATTATGACACTAAGAAAAAACTTTTTCATGTGGTATACATGAAATTAACAAAAATAATAAGAAATTTTTTATTACAGTTTATTATATTACGAAAATATTTAACTGCAACTAAAAAAATTTTTATAATTAAACTAATAATAGTCCGCAACCTGTACAAATTAATTTTACTAAAAATAAACTACTAAGTAGCAATTTGAAAAATATTTTAAAAATAATTTTAATAAAGTTTAGTAACAGATTGCTAATAACTTTATAACTTTTTATATATAATTGCAAGTAAAGTAAAACTAAATTGAAAATTAAGAAAGTTTATAAGTCAAAGCATAAAGTATTTATTCCAGTAACATCTGAACAACAAATTATAAAATATAGTAAATCAATATTACTGAAGGATTATGAAATCAACTGTTGGACGTAAATTAATTAGTAAATTTTCTAAAAAAAAATAATCGAATATAAAAGTATTGTAACAAAAACTTTTTAATTCTATTCGTTAAATATCGCTTTATAGGATGATTTTATATAATATAGTAAAGTTTTTTTCTTTATTTTTTTTTATTAATTAATTTCTTTCGATTTAAATAATTTTATAATCTGCATTAAATCCAGTAAACCTACCAATATTATGGGAAAAAAGATCTACATTCGCTTAGATGCTCAATCTTATAAAGACGCACGAAAATGTTATATGTAAAGTATTGAGAAAAAAAAAATGGAAAACCGGTTCCGAGCAGTCCAGCAGGCAAAGCAAAGAACCACATGCCAAACACACCAGCAAAAGACGCCAAAAACTTTAATATTAACCATTAAAATTTTTAAAGTTATAAAAAAATTATAAATTTCAAACAAAAAAATACAACAAACTACTTGTGCTATTTCGGTTAATTACTCTAAAAATGATTTTAATTTGATTATATTTTTTATATTATACAGAAATTTCTTTACACAATTTTAAGGGATTTGTTTAAAATTGAAAAAGTAATTTATCTTTTCTCATTGCTACTATAAACTTTCTATAGTGACATACTTTAGTTATTTTTTAATATTATCTTTTATAAGTTCATTAAATAATAAAGTAAATCGGATAGATTATCGGAAAAAACTTTGAATTCCAATTCTATTAATAAATTTTATATAAATTAATTGTAAAAAACATTTTGAAGGATAATTAAAAGTAAAACTATTTGTTATTACAAATACAATTAAAAAAGATTTTTTTCAAAGAAATTAGAATAATCAGTGGAAAATAAGACGTTATTATTACTAACTTTTAGAAGTTTAAATCTTTTGTTAAAAAATTATAATTATTTTGATTCTTAAAATTTCTGTGCACGACAAATACTTTGAATTAGTGTAGGGAAACTTCTCTGATTTATGATCTAAACTCGTTTAGGATTAGTAATAGTCTTCCAGTAGTTTATAAATTGTATATTTAAAGTAATGAAATCTTTTATTCGAAAAAACAATTCTAAATTTAGATTAAATTAATTTAAACTTTATAATAATCTTCTTGAAATGAATCCCTAGTAGTTACAACGATCATTAAAAGCATTATTTTCTTTTTTAGCGCTCGTATTAATAAAATATTATCATTTAAAGTCCCAAAGTTGATATTTATTACTAAGAAAACTTAAAATTCAGTAACAGCTTTTCAGTAATAAAAAAAGTTGGAGACTATTATTTTTCTACGTTTTTTACACACGAAACCAAAAATTTAAAAATATAAATTGGATTCAAACATTCCAAATTTCTAACTTTTTTCTTAAGGCTTAAAAAAATAAAAATACCAATAGATTTCCAGCAGAATAATCCAATTAAAAAACAATGCAAACGCCAATTTTTTAAAAAAAATCTTTTTATAATTAATACCGATAAATAAGTATAAGTTTATACAAAAAAACACTTTTGTCTTAGTATTTTTTAAGACTACTTTTATTATACTAAATTTCAACGCAAAGAAGTAATTACCGGCACTGAATTTTCTCAATAAAAAAGGCACGGAAAGTTGTATAACGAAAAACTTAACAAATTTATAATTTATTTATAGTGACTAAAAATTTATAAATTTTTTTATAAATCTAAATTAAAAAATTTGTATTTACCAGATTAATTGTAGATAATTTTTTATGAAAAAAAGTCTGTGTGATCGTTTTACAATAAATCTTAAACAACGGTATACTCAACGTTACAAATTAATTTTTTTTGAAAAATCTATTTTTTAAGTCCACTTTTACGGCAAAAAAATTGGTTAAAATTAAAATAGAATTAACCAAGCGAGAGCGATAGAATCAGTACGGGCCAAAAAATGTTAATTAAAAAGAAAAATTATACTTTTCCCCAATCCGATAAGGGCGTGCTATCGCCGTAGCCAACAGTTGTTAGCGTTATGCAGGACCAATAAAGAGCTTGAGGCAAATTGGATATGTTCTTATTAACGTTACGCTCAATATAAAAAATAAGAATCCCAAAAGCGACGATCTCCATTAGCTTAATATAGAGAATCCCAAAAAAGGCTCCTATTTTTTTTTTGGACAAACAGAAATATTAGATCAAAAGAATTGCTTGTTAGCTAATAACTTTTTATAACGAGTTTAAATATAAAAAAAATTTAAAATTAGCAAAGTAAAAAAAGAAAATAAAGTTTACCCAAAATTAAATTCTAAGGTTTAAAAAAATAAATTAAATATAAGCAAGAGACACAGTGTAAATCAATTTATTAACAACATTTTCACTCAACAAAAAATCGGTACTTATAAGAAAAATAAGTTCGAAAGAAGAGCAATAAACTATTAAATATACATTTAGGAAATATAAAACCAACAATATGAAATTTACAAATTGAATGTTAATAATTTTTGAATAAATATTAAAGATCTGAAATTTAACAGAAAATTTATATTATTTTTACTTGTAAACCCTAAAGTTAATATGAAATTTATATAATGTATACCTCGATTCTCGCTTAAAACCCCAAAAATTAGCGGAATACTTCTAAAAAATCTATAATATGATAACTTATTGTTTTTACCATGTCAAAGTTTATATTAATAAAAAAATTGCGTAACAATATAAAAGTTACTAATAATTATTACAAAAATATTATAACTTATTTATAGTAGCACTATAAATAATAAAAAGGAAGCAACTACAGTCACTAAAAAAAAAGTAATTATGTAAATGATAATAAAGATTACAAGTTTTAAATCAGTAATTACAATACTTAAACTTATAAAAGTAATCAAATTTAAAAGTATAGCCCGTTTAACATTATTATAATTAAGTGCAAGTGGTAAACCTTTCCATTCGAATCATTCGTAAAAAGTAAAGAACTATTTCGTTGCTAGAATGAAAAAAAGCTCTATGGGAATATTTCTTGGTAACATGAAAAGAAACGATGATGATGGAAAACAGGATAATAAGTAAATCGACGAGTCGTTCATAGGACAATACATACTTGAGCCTTTTGGTTTTATACTCTGCAACGGATGTGCCTGTTAGAAAAAAAAATTGAGTAAGATTGTGTTTAATTAAATAAGTCGTAAGACATACTAAAGTGCGTAAAATTGAATTTTGCTATATAAAACTAGCAAAAAAAAGTGATTTTGGGGACTCTCTAAAAAAAGTTTATGGTAACGGCTAGGAGACAAACATACACAAAGTGATTAGGCTGAAGTACTCGAAAACCAAGATAGTTAGCAAAAAAATTTCAAGAACGTCGATGGCAGCATATCTACTTTTTACTCTCGAGCTCGTAGTTTCCAAAAAAGCCAATAGGAGACTTAGAAAGAGCAAAGATAAACTGGAATAATTAATAAGGCTCAAAAAAAAATTAAGTGAAAAATATAACAGTTAAAACGATACTAAATATTTTATGATTGTTAGCGAGCAACTTAACTAAACCCTCTAAATTGAATATTTTTAAAACATATACACTAAATTGTATTTAAGGTTCCACTTCTAATGATCAACAAATGAAATCCAGAATTATTTAATAATAACGATAAATTTTAAATAGTAGTAAAGGACATCAATATCTGATAGCACCGGCGAGCCACTGTTGAAGGTCGATTAAGAAAGTGAAAAATAAATCTCTGATCTAGCTTTAGGCGATTACTTTTAGACTTTATAATTTGGTTGGCTGTATCGTCAGTGAATCCAGGATGGACATCTTGGTTTTTTAAATCAAAACTGTAACTAGCAAAACCAAAATCTACATTTCTTTTATTATTATAGCTATTTGTATTTATTGTATTAACCAGATGAGTACTTAAGTATTCCTTTTCCTCTGCCGCCTTTATATTTGCCAAATCTTTATCTATGAAGGTAATAGAAATTTTACATTAGTATTATTAGCAGTTTATTTTGTTATATAGCAAAACTGTAAACAAAAGATAATACTAAACAACTATTTGAGAGGTTTACAGTTACCAAGGCCTCCCCCCTTATCTCTCATTTCTAATAAGTATTTGGAAACTACAAAATTAACAATTTGTGATTACCACCTATTTTAGTTAAAAAATGTAAAAGTCGATTTTCTTGCGCAAACTGTCGTATAACCCTTGAACAAAGCAACTACAGATACCCCTCGTATGCATTGCTCGATGTCACCCCTTTTTTTTTAAAAAAGAAAACATAAATATTTAGTTAATAATTCTTAAAAATTTTATTAAATTTTTCAAAAAGTTGCCCCCATTATACAATCCTTTTTTTTATTGTTACGGCTAGTGATCTGCAAAAAATTTATAATTAAAGCGTTTGACGGTTAAATTATCGTGCTAATATAATTAAATAGGTTAAGTAAACTTAGTTAAGCGACAACGGTAATACAAATAAGAATATACCGTATTAATCTAAATTTAAAGCAGGATAAATATAAAGCTAAAAAATTGTTGAGCTTACAAGAATAAGTAAGGTTTTTTGTAAGATTACAAATAGGGAAGAAAGAGAAACGAAATAAGCACTAGAAAGCTAGGGAAGAAAATTGATAGTAAAATAGACAGACACTATAAGGATTTGAGATTTTGTAAGCAGAACCACCAAAACTTTATTGTGTTTGCAACAATCTTTTCTTTAATTCTTAATTACTTGTCCAGGAGGTCAAACTGGCTTAAACAACTTTTAATCCTTCGTTATATTGTGTTGGAAAATTGTGACCCAAAATAAGATCTGTAATATATTTACATTGCAGATAATTTTCTCAATTTTTATATAAGTTTTCTACCCATATCAAAAAAATAGGGACAGTTACTTCGAAGCTAAAACACAAATAATTTACAGAGATGTTTGTTCAAAAAGATATTTTCATTAGGGAAGAACACTTGAGACACAAGGATATCTCATACCCAGAACACTCACGAAAGGTTAAGTTCTCTGTTTTTCTTACTACAAACATTACATTTACGCCATTTGCAGTATTCTTACAAAAAATAATTTATTACAAATTTCTGAAATACTTTACCCGATTGTTTAACAGGAACGGAAATGAGCAGGTAAAGGGATAGGTTGAACCGTGTGCAGTAAATACTTGAATGTTTAAGTGTTCCTGCTTTTCTTCCTTAGTTTCACTTAATTTACATATTTAGAGAACCTACTAATATTGATCTACAAGTTAATAAAATGGGAGTGAACAGTTTATATAGAATGGCGATGAAGAATTTTCGGACGATTTTACTGAGGAAATTATGCAAGATAAAAGTAATAGTGCATGCTCTTCTACTTTGAAACAAGTATTTGTCAAGAGAAGAGGAGAAGCAGTTTGACAAGTTTTGGATTTCGCTTCTGACTATGCCACCTCATCAAGAATATCTTGTATAATGCTTTAAAAGCATTTCATGTAAAGGATGGGATCACCTACAAGGGAATAAGTTTAAATCAAAAGACATACCAGAAGTTTGTATAACCCTGCTAACCCCCAAACACCTATCTGTGTCTAGAAATGCCTATAGGTAACCCTATTTTGAGAGATATTCTGCTATATAATCGACGTATCCAATCCATGAGATAATTACGAGAGTTTCATAGGGTGCAGCGATTCTCGCTTTAAGCTTAAACCTAATTATACTGGCGACTTAGATGGATGAATCACATGCTTTTCTTAGCCTTCTGTACTTAACGAGACTGTTATGAAGACCTTAGCTTAATAGAACAGCAGAGAATACGACACGTGAGTAAAACCACCATGAGCATGGCATTATTTTTCTTTATTCTATGCTGTTTGCGTTTGACAATCGCTCAACTCCTAAGGATAAAATGGAAGAGCCCCCATTTTAAACATTTTTTCATTTGTTAGTAAATGCAATTTTAACTACGAGACATAACGCCTAATTGTTGAGAAAAGCGATATATATTTAGGATTATTATTTTATAATAGCAGTAAGATTTAGAAAAATTGTTTAAAAATATGACAGTTGTATAACTGAATTTGCATTGTATGTAACAAAAGTCGGTAGTTAGGCTTACAAAGTATTTATATTTAAATAAATTACTCAAACATGAAAAATCGTTGCAACTATACCTTGGGACAAAATCGTTAAGTTGCAGGTTAATATAACGTTACATTTCCTTTGATCTTAACAACCGCTTCTCGAAGGCATGGTGGCTGCTATATATTTAACGAAGCAACTCAGGTGTAAGTTCAGTCCATATGACTGCTAATTTGATTTTAAACCTGGAATTTTACATTGACGGTTATTACCTAATTGCTGCTTCATTTTATGCCAGTGTTTTAATAATAATAATGAAAGGGTCTTAGGCTTCATCTTGTTGGAAAACCCTATTTTCCTCGGCATAAAGCTCATTAATTTTCGAAAGAAGACTATTTTTAGATAATTGCTAATATTTCTCTGCGATCACAATACTGTAGGTAAACTCAAGTTGTCCCAAAGTCAGCACCCCTTTTTGGGATGAAGGTTCGCTTATTGCAGTCTGCATGAAAGCCTCATTTTGACCTGGTGACTCATCGTGAAAAATATTTCACGCACAGATATCGGATTTAAGTTCCCTTTGAAAATAATTTTTGTCTTAGCCTTCTACAATCAATGATAGTTTAGAATTCGCCCATTCTTTCTATTTTTCTTTTGTTTTTTGTGAGTATTTTTCATTAACCTTTAAGTAAAAAAAAAAATACTCAGATTGAAAAAGTACTCGATAATTGCGCCATTCCCATTTAAATTTTTAGTCTAGATTTATGTATCCGTTGTCTACTAAATTTACGAGATAGTTTTTTCCACTGTGCCGTAATGTTTCGCAACTTGTTTCGTCGTCCTTTCTTTTTTACAAGTTTATGAGATTGTTAATTCTTAATAAAATTAACCTAAGGTGGCCTAAACTTTTACCCTTTAACATCTCCCGTTTTCTCAATAGTGTTTAGGGCGTTATAAACAGTCAATTTTGCAGTATTTAATAATTCAGCAACCTAATGAACGGTATTGGCCTTGCCAACACTGTTTGAGAATTACTTAACGTATATCCTTGCTTGTTGCTGCACCTTGGATCATTTTTATGACCAAATCTGACAGATAGATACCAAAAACAAATTAACATTTTGTGACAATTGTTGTAAAGTCAACTCCGTTCAAAAAAAATTAACTAATTGCTATACAATCTTGTCCCAAAAATCTGTTGTCGACCTTTTTTTTACAGATAGAAACCAGATCATTAAAAATATAATAATTGCGGATATATCATGTTTATCCCGATTTATAACAGAAATATAGGTACATAGTGAAATATCTTCATAAGCTTTGTAAATAGTTAAATAAAGTTGTTTTTTTTAAGCAGTTACATATGCAATGCTTTTTTCAAGATTAGTTGTTAGGACTAGTATACCAGGCCCTTACTTCACTATTAACAAAAATGATGGTAACTTATAGAGGTCGATACAGTTCTAAAGCGCGTATACCTAACAAGCTCACAATATATGAGCTCAAAATAGAATTACCTAGCCTAGATAGAAACGAATGGAAAGTTAAGATCCGCAAAATATATCAACACTCAAAAAAAAAACTGTACAAATTAATGGAAATCAACAAATTCTTTACCCATACAAGTAGTCTTAAGATGGTTTCTACTGTCTCAATTACGAACAGGAACATTACTGCCGATAAATGGTATTCACAATGAGTAGTAAACGAGTATACAAAAGTTAAACTCACATACGTAGGAGGGCTAAAAAAAAAAACCCCCAAATAATAAAAGGTTATCTTCTAAATCTTATCCAGGAGAAACAAACAGTTATTAAATTTACATCTAATACCACTCTTTGTCCCTATGTTCCAAGAAGAGAAAGAGCTGTGGTACTTATTTGCTTCCAGTATGCAACATGAACACCATATCCATCAGAAAATTAGAATACCAGACCTAATTTACTTTTATACTAGTACAAAAGCGGTGTTGATGCGTTAGACGCAAATGAACTACAATGAATTTCTAAGAACAAAGTGATGGCCCATGGGACAAACCTTGCAGGCACAAACGCTCACATTTCGTGTATCCATATCTGCACACACCCGCAAAGCCAACAACTTAGCACACCTTTTTTTTACTTAACCGAATTCAAACTCCAAAAGTATCTTATGGTGTTCGCTTGGCTTCTAAATTTACAAAACCGATAAACGCAGCATTTAAATAATCTAAACACAACAGGAAGTTAAAGTCTCTAAAGTGTGGCATTTGTCCAATTGCTAAAGATAAGCTAGCCGTGACTGCTAAAAGTGTTCCACTCCTATGTATGAACAATGTGAAAAACAACATGCCCAAAATATATTGTATATATCTCTTTAAACTATTATAACGTAAGAAACCCCACCGCAACGAAAATTATTCGGTCAACTAATTAAATATATATAATTCTTTTTACATTTACAAGGGGTTACTATGTCATGTAGATAGCCGATACGTTGCTTTTACGAGGAATAGTACTTGCCAATTAATTATATACACAAAGTAGTTGTGAACAAAGTTAGTAGGCTGGCAACCAATTCTGAATTTACGGATTATGAATATTTCACAAAGAAAAATATGATAATTAACTAAGTTTATAAGTGTTCTTAATTAGTTGAATAATTTATGGTATGCGTGGGAAGGTTATTCGAAAGTTATAAAAAACAATCATACATTTACTGAAGTGTAATTCTGGCACAAACATAAGTATAGCTGGATACTTTTCAAAAGGTTAGTTGCAAGTTTTTTAATTTTATACTTTGTAAAAAGACGAAATAGGAGCAAAAGAAATTGTAAAATATGAAAAAATGAGATGAAAATTCAATAATTAAATTCGTTTAAAGTTCACCATTACTAAGAGGAAGTAAAAAATCAAATTAAAAATAAAAGCAGTACTATAAAGCTCTAACTTTTTTTTAACAAGCAAACAGTTTTTTCAAATCAAACCATCGTACTGCATTGCCTACCGTCCTCCCCCAGGTTGCTCGCCCTTGAATATTTAAGAGTATAAAGACGAAAGATAATTGTTTTATCCGTTATATATTTACTTCGTCTTCTTTTTAATTGAGAGGTCGATTGAAAGTTCCATACCAAATGTATAGCTACGAAGAGTGTGAATACTTTTTTTCTTTAAATAATAGTGAGCAATAATAATTACAAAAGCATATATATATATATACCCATAACTTTGGTAACTAAAACTATATAACAATAATAACCCATAAACTACAAGTAGTTAACAAGAAAAATAATCCACTTCAATTGTAAAAGCATATTATTAATATAGATAAATTTTAGACTATATAACAATAAAGCTCATTTTTATTATCAATAGTTAGGTGGGGTGGAAGATAAAATGGAACTCAAACAAATCAAAAGATTTCCAATAATTATTACAAAACTTTATGTCAATTTTATTTTATTTTATAATATATCAAGTATGTTTTAACTAAAATTTCACTACGACATTGTCAATGCCTGTCTATTTAATATTTTGAATTGTTTGTTTTGCAAAATGAGTATTGTCTTTAGACACGTGAGAACTGAGGTTTTGTACCTGCTCACCAATTGGTCCAGTTGTATTGTATCTAACAAATTATTGGATAAAACTCTTAAGCATGAGGTTTGCTTGAGTGGCTAATAACGTTTACTACTCAGTGAAGCATTAGACGTTTTATTTTTTTAATAACTGTCGTATCAATGTAATAATAAATGAAACCAAATTATAAAGTCTTATTCAGGTGTTATTCTATATATACGAGGACAGCCATAATGGTAATTACTTTAAAATATTAAAACCTTCTTTTTGGACGGACAGAATTGTTTTTTTCTATTATTCTTTTTTAATCTTATCTTTTTTAAAGGCTCCCTTAAAATACAAAATTTGCGGCTTGTATTCGAATTTTTGCTCCCCAAGACGTAATATGGGTGTTCTTTCCGACTTCATTAATAATGTAAAGAAAGGTTTCGAGTCTAAAGAGATGAAAGACTCGATTGAGCAATTAACTTCTGAAGCTAGAAAAAGGACACAAAATGTGGATAAATTAAGGAAGCGAACATATGAAACTATTAATCCTTTTGCTGTATGGCTTTTATCGGTTTAGAAATTGTAATACTTAGATTTTTCTGGCAGGTTGCGACTATTAAAAAAGTTATTTTAGTCTTAATTAAACTTCAGAAGATGGTTAACATAGTTTTCCCTGTAAGTATACGCCGCAAAGGTTCTGCCTTTACGAGAAAGTTGACTAACGCCACAGTTGAAGCTACACAAAAGACGGCAAAAAAGGTTTCTGTGTTTCTTTTGTAATTTATTTCAATGTAATTATTATATTAATAAAAAGCTTGATCAAACTGCAGTTTTTAAGAACGTTAAAAAGGGCACCAACTTTTTAAAAGAGGAGCTTGTTGATGGCAGCGTTCTAGCCTCTGCTAGATATCATCCTTACCAAAGCCCAACTCTACAAGTAAAGGAAAAAGTTTTGAAGTCAACCATTTCTGCTGAGGCATCCCAAGTGCCTGAGAATTTGTGTGTTCAATTGATTTTCGTTTCTAATTAATTTTTAAGTTGGATGTAATTTTCAGAGATGCCCAAGATGTTGTATTACATAAAAGCTCGCGTTGGGAGGTTGAGTGGCAAAATTTTAAAGATAATAATTCTGTTTTACAGCGTAAGTAATTTTTCGGTGAACCTTGACTTGTTTAGTTATAATAGTAATAATAATGAAGGCGCTTATGAATGGAAAATGTTTTATGACGAATCTGACAATATACTAATTCGTGGTTTACGAAACATACACGAAAAGTTTTCTGAGGCTAAAGGTTGTTTTATTTAAATATATTAGCTGTTATTATTATATAGTTCATAAATTATTTTAGAGTCTCTGGTTGGAGGAAACGATACTTTATTGGTTCTTGAAGAAATTAAGAGGCTAGATCCCTCTTTTGAAAAAGAAGATTTCATAGAGGTAGACGTTTTATTCAACCTTATTTATCTCTCTTTGTTATTTTTTACTAAGTAGCTCGCTCACTCGCAATACATACCCTTGCTTTTGGAATCTTATTATAAAAAAGACCTTGATCTCTTAGAGAAATGGTGTTCTGACGCTGTCTTTAAATGCTTAACGACCATTTTTAAGAATCAACAAAAACTTGGAATCTCGGAACATTGCGACATTCGAGAAATTTCTTATGTCGACGTACCTTTATATATACTACGAGGCCGTATGCTGGCTTTTAATACTCGTAAAAAGATCTTTGATGCCGTACGAATGGAGCAAGGGCCCGTACTAAACGTAGTTGCCCGTGTTCAGCAAGTCTGTGTGGGCAAAGACCGCGCAGGAAATATTATTCACGGAGATCCGGTTCGGCATTGTGTATGCGCATTCATGTTGTACTTACTTCGATAAACATGACAGAATATTGTCGAAGAAGCTTTTTACTATATAGCGTTTTTCCGAGAGCAGGACGTCTATCAAGCTGGCGGATGGAAAATTCAAGACTTTGCGATTCACTATAAGAGACCAATGGCGTTATAAGCTTGGCCAAATGGTTTTACTTTTTAGAGATTGAAAGCTATTTATTAGATGAATACTTTTGCAGAAGTTGGAACGGCTAATTAAAATGTGTCTGAGGCCAATCCATGGAAGTTTATTACTTCTTTGGGGATTGGGGAAAAGCTTTCTATGCAGTTCTGGTTGGAGCATTAAAAAATAAATGAACGTAACTAAAATTTTGTAAACTACTTTTTCATGCGTTTGAAAAGACGTGCGCACTTGTTGCCAGTTGTATAAAACGTCTCTTGCCAGTGCATCCTTGACCAGAAACTCGAGGTCGGTTCCATGCGCGCTGCACGGAAATATAGGCGGATTAACCAGGAATTATAACACGTGTTCGGGGGGGGGACCTCAAAAGCGTCTGAGCGTGTCCAATGATAATCATGGAGAACCTGAAGGGCGCATAATCAGACTTATTGTTTAGCTATTTACTGCATATCGTAAGAACCGCGCTCGAGTGAGTGCCACGTTCAGCCGGCGGAAGTCGTTCCATAATGTCAGGGCATCGCGTGTTCTAAGAGCGCTATAAGCCACCCGCTTAGGAAAAATGGCCACGTGGATACCTGACGGTGGACAGAAGAACGATATCACGCTCGCAGCCTTGAAAGGATTCTATTGTGTGCACTTGGAGGACGCTTGACGACAACTCTGGCCTTCATATAAAATAAGTTTAAGAGGGTGTATATAAATCACGCGCGGGACTAAGAAGTTTGGCACGCACTCTGAATAAGTTAAGGCTGCCTTTATTGCCTCAACCTGCAAAGAATGATAGTAAAAAATAGGTGCGAAAACACAAGATGGCTCTTACCTGAGCCTCAAAGAAAGTGAGAATAGCGATGTCCTGGTTCAAGTTACAATCGAACTTTTCTTTAAGCGTCTTGACTATTTCCGCGATAACTTCAGCCTCAAATTGGTTAGAGTAACTGAGATTTATTGCCGTCTCCTAAATTTAAGGACCGTGCAAACAAGATTCGTGAAGACCCTACAACACACACATACGGTAGAATGTGGGCAGTTTATAAAGGAGTATGGCCCCAGGCATCCGACAGCGTGGCAGGCCGCCTGCCTGGCAACTTCGAGCCCTTCGGCATTTACCAAGAGGCCCCTGTAATAACTGACTTACAGAACGTGAGCAATTTTTAAAGTTGTGAACTATAAGCTATCAACGCACCGATAATTAGGAAATTTTAAGATTTCCGGATGCATTCTGTACTGGATTGTTAACTCCACGTGGCTATAGTCGTTTTTAAGTAGTCTTTCCAAGAGGCTTCTACCGTAGCCCCTTGGAATAATATCTGGGTGCTAACAAATCTGGCGCTTAGATGAGGAATCGGTTAAGCAAATGGTACTTGTTTTCTGCCTCGCAGGAAGTAGGCGTGGCGGGATGTTGAGTGACATCGCCTACCAGCAAGCACTTCTTTGGAGCGTACTGCTAAGCAGCGGTAATAACGAGAAAACGCCTCACGGGTCGCTAAGAAGCAACAACAAAGTAGGCTACGCATGTTTCCGGCTCTGAACTTTGTCCGCACTCGTCCACTACGAAAGCCTCAAATGGCCGCATGCATTTTCGCACTAAACCACAATTAGTTGTAGTACGCACTACGGCACTTAAGAAAAGTTTGAGACAATTGGAACGACTAAGAACATATAGCGGTGAAAAAACAATGACGGCGTGATTGCGCAGCTCGTTAGCAAGAACAGCAGCCCTGACGCACCATTGCTTGTGAATCTGTTATGAAAAAAGTAGCTTGAGAAATATAAATAACTTTTAAAAAATATAAACGCCTCATTAAGCAAGGCGCAAGCAGTTTCGGCTTTCTTAGCGGAAAGACTGCGTGTATAAGAATCTAAAAAAACATCGGCAAGCTTATAGGAAGCAAGAATTACCGTTTTAATTTATTTAGTAGGGTTAGTGACGTACGCATAAGTTTTTCTTCCTTGTGAAAACAAAGCCATTTTGAATATCCCGGACGTTTTCAATAGCGGCCTTATAAAAAAATAAAATCAATGGAGAAAATTACTGGAACAGTTAAGCACCTGAAGCCCTTTAATAAGGAGGCAACCCCATTCGGGGGCCATTCCAACTATTTCCTTGTTTAACAATGAAAGTTTTACCCGAATGTCCTCCAACTCTGCAGTTATTTCTTAAAGAAAACGTTTAAAACCCAGCAACGAGCATGGCGCATATAAAAAGGCAGACCAGTAGCATCGGCAAATACGGGCTTCTTCGGGGGACTCTTCAGCGCGTTTGCCAATATTTGCAAGCGAATAAGTAAAGCCTTTGCGTGACTCTGGCGCACGATTGCCCACGTCTCAATGTATATGGAACGAAGGTTTTCCTCATCCTCGCTAAAAATCTAGCCAAGAGTGGAAATTATAAGTTGAGAGAGCAAAATCGGCAGTCTACCTTATCTGCTGTTGAAAGCATAACAACTGGAGGGCAAGGTTGACTGGCTTTATAAGTTTCTTTCAGAAACATACCAGCAAGAACGCGAACGGCCTAAAATATAAAAAGGTAAAGCTGTATTACTCAAGAGAAAGAAAGCGTTACTTTGTCAGACGGAGATGAGGCTAGACAGCGCACTTTAGCTGTCCAAAAAATCTGATGTCCAGACGCTTTCAGCGCTACTTTAGAGGGTGATCATGGAACGTACGTGCAAAAGCGCTGAAAGAGTCGTCGTCTTTCCTGTGCCAGGCGGAGCGTGAAGGAGTTGGAGTTCCCCAGTAGAGCTTTCTATAAAGTTGAGCAGTGCCGCTACGTATTGTATTTTACATAAGCGGAGAAAACAACGCTCTTGTCACGTATCTGCTCACCTTTCTGTTGTTTATTAAGCTTTGTCAGAGCAGAATGGGTAGGACTTATGATTACGGAAGGACTTGCCTGCTTACTAATTTTATTACTTACCTTCTTTAATCCGTTTGCCTATGCAAGAATATTAATTTTTGACAAATTCTAATACTTTAGAGGTAAATTACCAACTGGTTAAAGTATGAAATTTTAAATTCTTGGGAAAGTGTTTCATGCATGCTAAGTTTCAAAGTCAATGGAAGGCCAAGGTTCTTAATCTTAGGAATGCCAAAAATAGACCATTTTACTTCATGTAAGAGATCTCAGTAATGTATTCGACCAACAATTAAAAACTGCAGGCTAAACAATGAAACCTTCGGAACTAAAGCTACCTTTTTGAATAATAAAATATAATTAGAGAAAGATCGAAGTAGGCGTCTTTTTTTTACTTCCAGAGAACGTCTCGAAAGTTCAACTTCACGTAAAAATTCTCAATTAAAAGTGAGCAACTTAGTTTGGGTGCTTTAGAAAAATTTATCGTTATAGTGCGCTGTCTTTGCCTGCTTTGACCTTCACGTAATTACGTGACGTTCGAGCAGATCAACTGGAACTGACTGAACGTTCGTGAGAATGGCACAAATTTTGTTGATCATTGCCACTTTCTTAAATATCATAAACTGTTCGGCTTTGTTAGAGGGCTTGTATAATAAGTGCTGTTCCTTCAATAAAGCTAAAGTGAGTCGAGTGTTGTTATTGCTAAAGAAGTTTGTCTTGCCAAACCAGAAGTCAGAGGTTTATAAACGAAAGATTGCTAAAGGTAAGGTCAACTTTTAAAGAAACTCTTGATTCACTTTAGTAAGAGAACATTTTTTGAGCTTCAAAGTGACTGGAACTTGGTTGGAATCACGAAGACTTTATTTAGTTAACTTATTCTACAACATATTATTAGTTACTATCATAAAGCCCCAAAAAGTCAAATTTATAACACTACCCTAAGGGGTAATCTCAAATAACTCATAGAAAGGTTTAGCAAGGTCTCTAAGTGAAAAGTCTCCTACAAATGAAAAAAATTCGAAACCTAACTATTGCAAGACCTTTTCCTTAACAATAAACCACTAATTATTACCTGCCAGTGTAAGTCTAGCGAGTCAAAATTCTGGTACAGCTCTTTAGGTAACAGCAACTTGACACTTAATTCCTCTTGAGAGTATTAATACTTGATAAATCACTTTTAATTTCAGTTATTAATAAATTTGCCCATTTTACCGTTATCGGGTCCGTTGTAGTAAATATGCAAAAGTCCAAGTCCCCTCCAAGACACACACATTACCTCAACCTTGAAAAGTTTTGCAACGAAGGAGAAGTATCAATAACATTATATAAGGCAGTCATACAGACGTAAAAAAAACCTACTAGTGTGTTTGGGACTACGTTAGAAAATTCTTTTAAGGTGCCAATCTTAAAAATGCCGATACAGAGAACAGATTTTTTTCGGTGAACACCAGCTTTCCACTCATTACAAACAACAGGGAAAGCTAACGTGAATTCCGTGGTCAAATTTTGTAATATAGCTCTCTTAAAAGTTGAAAAAGCGTGTAAACAACTTTTAGACCAAACGCAAATAGTTAATAAGTAAAAAGGTACCCTTACAAATATTAAAAGATATATATATATATATCTACGCGAGAAATTTCCCTAGTCTCCTCCAGGACGCTTTTTAACAAAAAAGTTCGATAGCTTTCAACGGTCCTAAAAGCAGTTGGCAGTGGCTTTATAAGACTAACATCGTTCTTAATTTTATAAGAAGAGGAGCTTGTTTTTAAAAGATCTACAGGCCAACTTAATATCTCACAAAGCAATACATTCATTAAAGCTTATTTTTTTTACTAGAGCTCATAAAAGAAAATTAGCAACTCAAAATTTAAACCTTTAAACGTGAGCGCTATAAAAGTTTAAATAAAAATAGAGATGTAAAGCTAAAATATACAATCTGAAACTTTGCGTTTTATTTTTTTGCAGCCAGTAAACGCCGGTTGGAATAAGCGCAGTGTTGGTAAATAAGCCATTAAGAAACCTTATTTTTGTTAAGAGCGGGAGGAGTGTAGGTTCTTTATTTATGTCCGCCTTCCGAGTTAAGGACACCGAGCTTTGGCTTCGGGCTAAACTGGAAGATCCCTGGGCTGGTGAAAATATCTCTGCTCTTCTCACACCAGATATTTTGGAGTAATATCTGTGTTTACAACTTTACTATTTTTTTTGCAGCTTCTACTATATCTAAACTTTTTATATTATCTCAAAAAATTTAAAATTTTAATGACCTTTTGTTTTCCTGTTATAGAGAAATAGCTGCAAACTTTAACAGTTATGAGCCACAAGTGAAGGCCAAACTATTAATATCGATAATAAATATTAAACGAAGCGCTTTGAAAGGATTAGAAGAAAAATTAAAAGCAATCTTTAACTCAGCTTCACAAGACAAAGATGAATGGGTAAAAGTGGTATACCATATAACAAAGACCTATATAAAAAATTTTACACTAAACACTCATGATTTTGAAACCTGTGGTAATGCTCTTGAGTTGTCCTATAAAGAATGTGCGTCGGCTCGTAAGTTAATATTCTTATTTTTCAAAATTATTATTACTTGTAATTTTAGTAAACACTAAAAGTACTTATTGTTGTTATTTAAATTATTTATATAAGTAGAATTTAGGATAATAAAACTTTTTTTGAGTTTTTCTTTTGACGTATATTGCTTTGTTTGTGCACAATTATAGTGCGGAACTCTAAAGTAAATTGTTATCCCCAATACGCTTGTTATTTGAACGAACGCGTTTCTAAAGAATTGTTTTCGCAAGAAGCTGCTGATATTGTCGTTAATATTAAAAGTCGTCCGAAATCCGACAAGCTTGCTACAGAAATACGGGAAATATGTACAGCCGCTTATATAATTGTAGTTCTTATTATTTTTCTTTACTGAATAAATAGTTATTGTAAAATAGTTGACTTCGTTATTTTTATATTATTAATACTGAAATTTGAGGTTGTAAAGCAGCGCTTGCCGAAAACTTCAATTCTGTATTGTCTTCCACTTCTAAGCAGGAAAAGAATATGAAGGTTCCAGCTTTAGGATTTAAAAAAAGCGCCTTTTTTAACGATCCTTCAGGTCTTTTTTTAGTTTATATTTAGATTTCCCTTAGATTAACTGAATTTATTTAAGATCGAAGATCACATCCTTCCTCTGTGCACAGAAAAATTTCTTTCGGGACGCGCTTGCCTTTACACTCCTCCGTCAACGGCATCGGTTTCTTAATTTTCTGCATTCGTTTTTATAATTTTTTAATTTTGTTCTATAGAAATAGGAAAAAGCTATAATCAACAAAGAAGAGGGATGGTTTATATGGGCGTAGAGGAATCCGGGCTTGTGGAACAAAAACAAATAAAGAGGAAAAAAACTGGTTTCAACTGGAAAACTAAAGTTCCTCATATTTTATATAAAAAATTCGACTAAGTTAGATGCCGAACTGGCCGTATTGGAAGAGGAAAAACTCGTTAAGAAAAAACTTAAAGAAGAAGAAAAAGAGAAAAAAAAACAAGAAAAGCTAGAAAAGGCGCTTGAAAGGAAAAAATCTCTTGCTTTGAAAAAACAAAGAAGAGCTGCTTCGAATACTGAGGTCGCACTCCTTTTTTTCCCCTGCAATGCGTTACTTTTTATTACGTTGAACGCCGCACAGCCTCCCCCTCCGTCTGCTAGGGAAGATAAGCCTTCGACTTCGCCGTTGCAAGATGCCAGACAAGTATACCTTATTTGCTTTTTCATTCAAGCCGATTTTCAAGAGTTATATCTATGCATCTCCCTGTTTTGGAGAATATGAGTTCTGAGCTACCCTCACAAGAGAGGCAAGAAAACGATGGCGAACTTTCTGATCTCAAGGAGAAGAGTAAAGTATGAGTCCTCCTTTTCTACGTGATGTAAGTTTTTAATCCACTACTGTTTCTGTCTAGCCACTCCTTAAAGGGACAAAAGCCAAGAAGGAAATAAAGCAAACTAATAAAAGTTTGGAGGAGGAGTCGGTTCGGTTGAAGAAAGCAAAGAAAAAAGCGCGGCGGGAGAGAAAAAAAGAGTGGAAGAAACACAATCCTCTGCCCAGCGACCACGTGCAGCCTTCCTCTGCTTCTAACAAGGAACGGGATCTGGATTTACAAAAACTACCAGCGTTTCACCAGCAAAAAATAAAAACCACAGAGCACGTGGTTGAGCCGGCTTTGATGGGGCCCTTTAGAGTACCAATTCCCCCCGCCCCCTGCTCCCAGGAGCCGGCTTTTCTCGCGCGGGAGCAACCCCCGAATTTTTACAATGGCGAGAGCACACGACACCCGCAAGCACCTCCTTACGGTGCGCCTCGCAGTAGTTTTTATCCTTACTTGACTGGCGTTCCACCCTCTCCTACGCCGTTGGGAGGCCCCAGTGCCTCGCCACTTCTGTATGATCGGCTGCAGCAGCCCGGTTATATGGACACCCATCCTTATGTGAAACTTTTAAGACGAGTAGAGCAGGAACACGCTCAAACTTTTCAGTTGACTAATTGCCTCACTGATGTAGATCGGATTACCATTGCCCGCTTTATTGACGGCGACCGAGGTCGTTATGCTTGTGCGTTAGCAACTGGTAATGTGTTATGGATATGTTTATATAGAAAATCCGAACCCTGCTATCTTCTCGAATGTACATCACATATTAATGAACGAAGAGTATGTCAAGAACTCTAATGGTGAAGATACAATAGAGCAGATTATCTTTGAAATGAATTACGAATTTAAAAGTTGGAAGCGTTTAAAGCGTAGCGGGGTAGTAAAAATGACTGGCTGATATGTTTTTCTTAATACTTAATTTATTAAAATTAAGATGGGTGCATGAGTTTCGTCTGTTTATTTTCTTCTTGTAGCTTCTCCTGTAGAGCAGACTCTGTCTCTTCTGTTAGAGCTGCTGCCGTAGTAACTAAAGTGGTTACACGTGGATGGCCTTGGAGAGCTCCTCTTTTCGAAACAAACGAGGTCGTGTCTCTCCCGACGCCGCCTTTTTATCAACCAGTACAGCCACTACGTTGGAGCCTGGCGTTTCGTACATTGGCTCAAGTAGAATCCTTTCCTAATTCAAGCCAATTTTGGGCAAACAGAGACTGAACGCAGTGCGCTATGAAATATGTACAATCACAGTGCGGAGCCCACGCGCGCCGATGTTTTTTTCCAGCGCTTTAGTTGCTATAACGTCGAGGGCTTCTTCTGTTATTATCAACTCGATCTGTTTAGTAGGAAACTTTAGTATTAGGTTTGTTACTTTCTAAATTATACTTACGCCGTCTATCTCGAAAAGTGCGCGATACTGCTCAAGTAGAGCATTTTTTGGCTCGGTTAAGATCATTATCAGATCCCTTTTCGTTAAAGCGTCTAGGCACACGTGAACCGGGAATCGACCCATGAATTCAGGGATGAGGCCAAATTTGACCTATAGTAAAAGTTAAACTGCGGCTGCACTGCACATGCGTTATTTTAAGAACCAGATCGATGGGGTCACACTGGTGCAAGACCCGTCCATCAGTAGAATTTTCATCGTAAGGTTCGCTAATCTTTGCGCCAAACCCTAAAGACTTCAATATTTATAGTTTTATATAAAAGTAAATATGATCTACTATATAAATGAACGTTTTTGCAGCAGCGCTCATTGATTATCTTATCGAGGCCAGGAAAGGCACCACTTCCGATAAACAAAATGTTTGTGGTGTCGATCTGAAGAGTTTCTCCTTAAGGCTATAAAGTAAAAAAAAATGCTACTAAAAGATTCTAGGTAGTACCTCGTGGATTCTTATTGCCTCCCTTCTCAGGAACATTTACAATGGTCCCCTCAAGCATTTTTAGTAATCCTAATTTTAATAAGCTTTATAAAAATATACTTATTAAAATAAAACCTTGCTGGACTCCTTCTCCGTTAACGTCCTTAAACATACTTCTACCTTTTGCCTCTCGAGCAATTTTGTCTATTTCATCTAAAAACACTATTCCCATTTGCGCTCTTTGAATGTTAAAATCAGCCACCTTTGCTCAACGATATTTATACTTTGTAGCAGCTGGAAATATAAATTAAACCTTCAAAAGTTTATATAACACACTTTCAATATCTTCTCCTATATAGCCGGCTTGGGTTAACACAGTGCAGTCGCAGATCGCTATAGGAACATCCAAACACTGGGCAAGCGTTTTTGCTAAAAGAGTTTTACCTACATCCGTTAAAAAGAATCTGCTTTTCAGATATAATTAGTAGAGATTGTTAGTAGAAAAGTACCCGTTCCGGTGGGCCCTATTAATAAAATATTACTTTTGTCTAATACTTGGAAGTTATAACTATTATAAGAAAGCTCCTGGAACATAGTCTTCGAAACTGCGCAATCAATCTGTTAAAAAGTTTGTTAAGTTAAGCTCCCTTACATTATTTTCAAAAAACCTGTTCAGAATGGTTCATCAGGTCTTCGCAGAAAATTTCTTCAGTTTTTTTTTCAAAATAAGGATTGGCACTTTTAAAAGTGTAGAGAGCCTCATCTAACTATTAAAGTTCAAGGAGTTAAACAAATTTTTATAAAACCTAAAAAGTTTATAAATTCCTTTTGAACAAGTCGTCCCTTAATATCAAAAGGGCTCCTTAACTTTAATTTGTAGTATTTTCCAGAATTAACCCTAATTCTTTTATAATGGTTGTATACAGCAACAGAGAGTGTTTTTTTAGCTTCTTCTTGACCCACAACATATTCACTAGTAAAATCGTATAACTTGTTTTTAAAAAAAGATTAGAAATCTATTATTGGAATGTTTACAGCATAGGAAATAAACTTAGTAAGCTATTTGAGCTACTAACCTGACGGGGGGTCAAGAGCGTTTCAGAGCTGTTAGCAGGCAATTGAAACTTTTTTTCATCGAAAAAGGGCTCAAGGCTATTATAAGCATAGAAGCATGAACACTTTGAACAAGAGTATATTCCCTTCCCTTCTAAAAATACAAATATGTTACGAGAAAACATTGTGTTTCTCTCAAAAGTAGTACATTATATTAAATTGGGCTTGCCTGAGGAAAGGGGTACAAGACACTTAGGACAAAACTTAAGCAAGCTCTTTCTATTTTTATAACTTTTTAACTGAGTGCTAGAATGTAAGCCGCGAAAGAGAAAATTTGATCTTGAATTTATTAATCTAGAAGCACTCGACTGACTATAGACAGTTTTCGGTAAGACTGGTTTTTTTATTAACATCGTGTTAGTACTTAACGTAAATAAGGGAAGCGTTAAACGTAAATTGCTTAATCTTCGGTAAAATTTTGCGTAAGACATAGCTGGAATGTTAGGTCTTACAACAACTAATAAAGAGTAACTAGAGTTATTGCAAACGCTTTTTATATATTTTCCCGCAAGTTTATATATATATCAGTGTTTTTAGCTACTAATTATTATTGAACACTAGAGCAATAGATGTCAATACCGGGTTTATTAGCAATTGTGTTAATAATAAACACTAATTCTCCTCTTGAAAACTTCCAATTTAATAAGCGACTTCCAAATTAAGTTACTAGAAATTTTTAGTCAACCTGATTAGTGGTTCCAGATAATGTTATATTACCAGCATTCGATAAGACGGTAATATGAATTGTAGATGAAACCTTAGAGCTTCAAAAGATAATATTTTTATGAAGACTAAAAAAGTGTCGTGAAAAATGCACATCTTAAAGATTTTTTTAGAATTTCTTTTAAAACAAGCTATATTAGATTTTCTACTCATTTATTTCCAGGGTAGTCGTTAATGTGCTTACAAATAAACTACGAGCAAATACTATAGATATTTTAATAAGCATAATGATATTTGGCCTTTTTCTAAAGTTAATATATTATGTTTCAATCAAATATATTATTGTGTAAGTTGAGAATTATTAAGGTAACCGTGCTATATCTTAAGACTAACTAAAGTTAATTGAATGCCTTATAGGGAATAATTACAACGGTAACTTTGTATTAAGACACCAATTAAGGTTTTATCATTCGACTTTTTATACCAAGCTTATTTTTTGTGGTATTAATGTTATTGAAAAAAATAATTGGTCAGCTTTTGTACTTTGAGAAATACACACCTATTACCTTTCAACGTGAATTCTAGTTAACTATTAAATGCACCAAAATTTTAGAAACTCAGTAAAAATTTTAAATTACTAATTCTTAACATTTCATCCTTTTTTAAAAGTTACTTCGTTGTCCACACTATAATATTAACATGATTATTCATAATCACCTTTGAATTATAACTAGTGGAATTTTTTTTTAATTATTCCCTAATACTGTTCGCAATCGGGCTTAAAAAATTAACAAATAATCCGTCTTCTTTTTAATTTTATAACAATTGCTTTAGTATATTCCTGTAATTATTAAAAATTTAATGTGGAAACTATTAAACGGTTCCATCATTGTTAACACTTCCTAAAAGCAAAAAGAGACTAAAATTGGTTTACGGTTGGTAAGGATCCACTAAGCTATAGGAAAAAAGAGAGAGAAATAAATTGTTAATTGAAGGCAAAATAAATTTATTAAGTAGGTGTAAGCCAATGTTTTCTCTTAAAGCAATACTACTCAATTAACCAACTGACAGTTCGCAACCCTTTGAACCGACTAACGGTATATGCTAAGCAGGGACAAGGGACAAGAAAGAACCAACTGAGCAAAAATTTACTGCTTTATTGTAAAGACTTTACATACACAACCACGAAAGAAATTTGAGAAATTTTTAGAATGCATTAGTAAACAATAATCTAACTAATAAACAACATGCATCATTTTTATAAAACACCCCCTAAATTGCAGAGTTATGAACTAGTTAACCTAGGGACTAAGTAAACTGAGGACAAGTTATTACATTTAGTAAAAAAAGTAAGCCAACATCTCGTTTAGTATGATAATACTTAAAAGAAACACTTTTTCTTTTCATTTAATCTCTAACACATTGATATTTAACAGCTATATGTATTGACAACCTTGTCCCGCTTCCCCGCTTCCATCATATGCTATATGTTCCGAGGGTTGGTTGTCAGACAGGATACCTACGAGTATGCATAGGAGCCAACTTCCTTATACACAGCATTCATCCCTCCAGATACTCTAGGCCATTTCTATGTACACTGCTTCTCTCGAAGAAGGTGCAACCATGAATTGTTTCCTTACCTCCCATACTAAGAGATATTAAATATTATAATTAGGGTAGTAGATCTGAATTTCTGTTAGATTGTGATGGGTAGCCTAGCCTCAGAATATAGATATATCTGAGGTTCCTTTCCTCGTAGTTTTTTTTACCTTAATAGCGTAACACCGTGTTCGCTATTTTCAGTGTTGGATTGCAAAGGCTTAAAGATGTCGAGATAACTTATTCATTAGTAACTAAATATCAAACTGAAACAACTCTCGAGATACCGTAGTGATTCTAACTGTTCTTATTATGAACAGTTCTTGGAAATGCTTCCAGGACTAGGTAATTCATCATTGTGCGGAGAATACTTTACAAGCTTAGCTCCCTCCAAGTCGTAACTGGTGAGTAAGCTAACGACATATTTTCCTTAAGAAATTTTCACGGCCTTGGGCATATAATTGAATTGCGTAATACTCGAAAATATACCGGAAGTTCAATATTTCACTACTAACAGGCTTTAACGATCCTCGAATTCTCTGTGGGATGCGTCCAAATAAACAGCCACTGCTGTAACAGCATCCCATGAACGATTTATAGATAAGCACGGCTCAGAAAAATTAATTAGTATAATACAAGCTCTTTCAAGGTAGCTACGAATGTAATTAAACCAATGCATGCCCTTTAGGCAGACTTGTCATCTCCCACCTACCTTGTCCAAGGCTTTAAGTTCGGTTTTCACTGAATACTTCAAATACTTTACTTTAATGTCTCTCCGGCGGCTTTTGGAAAAAATGTCTTGCCGTCATACCTTGATATGCTTCTCGTATTTCATCGTTAATCGAAACTTGCCAATGTCATTTGTCTTCAAGTGCAGCAGTGTAAAAGGGCATCTCATTAATAATATCAACTACCGTCACTACATTGGGATAAGATATTTATGGCTTCCACCATTCTTTCGGACTACCCCCACAAGTATCAATTGAACGACAAAAAGTCTACCAGTTTTTGGAACAAGAGTAATCCTCTCGAAACTTTCATGTCTATACAATAATGAGCCGAAAGCAACCGACGCACTAATCTTTGACATGACCTAATATATTTATTTTCCCAGCTGCGAGTACACATTGGTTAAGAAAGCAGTAGGTTTATCGACTCCACTCAAACACTATTAAATTAAAATAGCTCGGCGTATCGTTGATTCAGTCATTTTTATTCATATTTTATTAAATCACTTTTCCCGTGGGTTATGAGATAGTATATATGAAGACGTAAAGGGTTGAAGCATTATCCGCTGTCTTCAAAACTCTAAAAAAGTTATTTGTAATTCAATCCCTAAATATGTATGTTCATTTTCTGCAATATACCCATTATTAAATGAGTCATCTAAAAAAATTTCTATATCATAATATATGGAGAACTTTGATTCAAGCAGCAGTGCTTAAAGAACCTTGTTCTTCTACTTACGATTGGTAAGCATTATTTTACTTACACTAAGATATTCTGGCCACGTCCACTTAGGTCCATTCCAAGGGAGACACTTTCGGTAAACCTTCGTATTTGTTGTTTAAACCTTCTTACTGATTTATGGTGAAGATTTATTTCTTTTCATATATCGCAGTCTATGTTATTAACTTCTGCATCGAATCCATCCCTTTAAGAGGTATCCCTTAAATTATTATCCTTTATATGGTCAGTATATAATGCCATTCTTCTAGTGTGCTGTGAGACTTCTCAGTTACACAATAACGGTAACGGTCAATATATCTCTTGGAGCAGCCAGTGTGTCGGTGTTGCTTCCTAAAATAGCTTTTCCTTTATATTGTCCTTTTATAAACTGTTACCTTGCTCGGAATTAATTATATCAACTTTATTTTCATCACAAAGTTATTTTAGACGATTTTAATTTAATTTTGCCCTTCAGACTTATAAAGCTTACTTAAATATAACTTTTCAGTGCCAAGGCGGCTACATGACCACTTACCCCCATTTCCTTTGCTTACAAGGTTTGTAAACTCTTAGTTTCTTCTGCATCAAGATTGACCAGTTGTCCATTAGCATCCCCGCTCTACTGACATAAGCTGTTTTTTGGTACGCAATTTACAGCGTCTGGTGGTATGACCTCGCTTGCTGCACATATAGCATTTCACAAACTTCCCTCTTTTTAAAATTTTCACCTTACCTATCACTAATTATTGAAAACTTTGAAAATCTAGTATTCAAATCCTTATATAAGAGGTGCTCTGGCTAGCCTGCAGTTGCTGCTTCATAATTAATCCTCATGATATCGCTGACTGCATCGATTTACAAGTACATTCTGCATATAGGAGGGCTTAAGTTCGAAGTTAGGTAGTGTTCCAAGGAATCTGGTTTGTTTCATACGATCAATAATTTGGCTCTATTATGGAATTCAATTGGTTTATTTTATACATTAGGGCCTTGGAATCTTCATTTTCGTCCTTTTTTATCATAGATAATCTTCCTTATAGTCAAAATCATACTCTCCGTAATAGAATTAAATTTATTGTAAAGTGATGCACGTTGCATGGGTTTCACTAAATTTCCTAATTTGTCCATTAATCAATCTTCTCACCAGCTCAATAGTAGGAATGCCTTGCTAACCAAGTTTTCTTCTATTTGTAAATTCGCATGTCAGTCAAAGCCTCAACAACAGCTTCAAACTGGTTAAGTAAAACTTCGGATATATACTCCACCAGGCTTAGTTTGCTACAGTCTTCAACTTTCGAATACGAGTTTCATTAGTCAATACGAACTCGTTCGCCATAGAATTTGTTGTTAATCTGTTAAATGAAAACTGCTGAATTTAACCGACTAACGGTATCTGCCAACGCAGGAGCGAGGACAGGTACCAACAACTGAAGAACAAAGGCTTACTACTTTATTATAGAAGAAGGCTTTTATAATACCTTCATAAAAATAATTCCTCAAGGTTTGAGATAAATGAAAATGTCTATAATACATTATTAATAAATATAAACAAATATGTACCTGCTTCATTTATTTATCATTTTCTGATAGTTAAGTGTTTTGTTCATCAAAACCAAATTTAATATGAAAAAAAAGAGAAATTACAAATTAATCTATCGCTACCCAATAATACTTAAACGTATAATATTAAAGTTGTAATAATATTTAAAACTTAAACATAAGGATGTCTTAGTGGTTAGTTAAACTTATAACTCTGCATTGCTAATTTTCCCTTCTTGAATTTTTTTGGCATATATGGAAAGGGAATTGGTTTTAAATAATTACAAAACCTAGGTAGGGATACTTAGCTAGCACGTTGCTGGTTGACCTCGAGTCTTGTACTTGGAATCGTCTGCCCCATGGTGGCGTTTAGCAGTTTTCCACTATCCTAGTCTATATAGTGGTAGTCCGTCCAGCCAAAAATTTTACGATTTTTCAGTCCTTTTAGGCAATTTTGATAACTCCTTTAGGGGCGTACAAATTTATTTCCTTTCGAAGAGGAAAATTTAGATTATGCGGCCTAAGATTCTGACCAGTAACAAATTAGAAAGTGAATAAGAAACGGTTTACTTATTACTCTTACTATTGGCGTTTTTTCTTTTTTTACTTTTTTTACCTTCTAAAAAACTTTGATCACTATTAGGAAATACCAACATTCCATTTTTTAATTTTATGGACTCAATATCCTTATTATTATTATAGTTCACGTGTTATTATCTTCACCCGCGTAGTCCACTAAAACGTAACTATAGCGCCTATAAGGGAAACATAGAGAAAAAGGAAGAGGAACATATAAAACCAACCTGCGCTAGCATCAGAGGGTACATAACAATCTTTTTGCTAGCATAAATACAACTGGGAGGACTCTATGTTGAAGTATGCACGCAAATAAATTTTCCCAAAGTAAGGGAATGAATACAAAAGTATGCATGTCCCCTTGAGCTCACTTCCAGTTGATTGCAATTTATGCAAGCCCTTAATAGGGATGCTTACGCGTCCACCAGCAATAATAATAGTTTTAGAAACTAAAAAAATATGAGGTGAAGGTAACCTTAGACGCGATAATTTAATAAAACATGTCTCTGCTTTAAAGGTTAACGTGTCTTTAACAATCCGTATTTCGTTGCACGCTAGTATTTTGGTATAATACAGTCGTCATGCTCCTTTATTTTAAACTAATTTCTTAAACCTCCAATTGTAAGTTAATCAAGTTTAAAAAAGACATCGCTTGCAAATGATGTGCAAGGTGCAGCAATTACTATCTCTATTAATGATATACAACAGGGATAATATTAATTTTTCTAAAAAGGAGCTGTATTATTCTGCTGGACAATTATTAAAATTAATATTTTATCACTATGAGCTCGTTTTGTACCCCTTTTATATGCCAAGTTTCAAAAAATTATTGATAGTAATAGAAATAATAATTAAACTTTTAATAAATTAAGTTATGTTAGCAGAATGATAAATAAATACTAAACTTTAGCAAGCGCTAAATGTATTTTTTTCCATTGTGACACACCGAACAAAGCTATTAGGGTAATTTGGACCATGAAAAAAGTAGTATTACACGCCTTTACTCGGACATTAAGTCTATTTAATTAAAATTGCCTAAGTGAAAACTGGCAGCACTCTTTACAGAGAACAGAAAACAATTATAGAGGGCTAAGTAGATGAGTTGGTCTTTGGTTAAGTTCCAGAAATCTGAGTATTAGCAATATTTTCATCTCAGTGATTACTTGTGGAAGAAAGCTAAGCTGGTACTTCTAAGATCATTAGTAGTGTACTCATAAAAGTGGGTCACCCCTTGCTGCTGAGTCAAAAATATTAGTATTAAAGCAGAGGCAAAAACCCGTAAAGCAGTAAAATAAAAGCAAAAGTAATTTAAGTCCGTCGGTAACATCTTACTCGCGCAAGTGCGCGGTTTCTTGACCTTTCTATCCATACGAAGGCCTGCGAGGTCCACCTTCAGTTGCGAAAGTATTATTTGGTCATTCTTTAAAGTCAGGGTTTTATTCGTTAGTCCTCAATTGCGCAGGTGTTGCATGCAGTGTACTGTAGCGCTGTCAGCTCGTATTTTGCGAACTACGTTCAATGTTATACACTCCCTAGTGGAGTAAGGGCGTTCATATGGCTGTGCACAGGCAAATGTATTTTACGCAACTATTTAAAAAACTGCAGTCAACTTTTAAAAATACATAAATCTAGAGGTTAGCTTTCTTCCTTAAAACGCCTTTATATTGCAATGTTGTTTATCACAAAAATCTTTTCATAAATTTCATGTGTTTTTCTTACAGCTTTAGCATTTATTAAGCTATAATATTATTAAACATATCAGGAATTATTAAAAAAAATTAATCGAATAAATAATATGAATAAGTAGAGTGAGACAAGCTAAAAGTAACAAAAAACAAGATAAAAGAATTCAAAAATGTATAAAAAAAACAAAAGTGAGAGAAAGAAAAGAGGTTTAAAATCCCCAGCTAACCTATATTAAACAAAGTTTAATATCGAAATATATTAGTAAAAAAAAAATTTAGTAAAAGATCTTGTGAGGTAAAACTGTTAACTCTAGCACTTTCTAGCTAACTTCAAAATGTAATTTTAAAATCGAAATATTTCTATAAATAATGCCCCAAGTGTTATCAGCAACCTTTTGGTTTACTAACTTAGTTTTTTATTTGTTTATTTAGTTACTTTTTTTTTGATTTGAGCTTCAATCCAAACTAAGCCCTGCAGACAAAAATGAACAGCTACAAGACAAAGAAGGGCCAAATAGGAGAAATCGCATAAATCTTTATTTTTTTTTTACTGGAATACTACAGCCGACCTTCTTAAGAGACCTTA